GCGGAGGGATACCCTTGATAAACGGAATGTCTTGGTCGATCTTGAAGGCTCGGACGGACAGCGGCCCGGTAACATCAACTTGGGGCAGTACAAGCGCGTCAACCATAGGCTTTGAGTGGAATAGACTGTAGGGTCCGTCAAGCAAAGCGGCAGCATCATCGAATGAAACCAATGTTCCCACTTTTCGTTGGCGGTACTTAGCTGCCAGTTCCAATGCAGCTTCACGGTCTTGTTTAGCTTAGGCACGCTTTCGCTGAGCCTTGGTCATTCCATTGATCACTGGACGCTCCGCAAACGTCCACGTGACTGCCTTTGGGCGTCCTTCTGACGGCTTTCTCGATTCGGCGGAGACTCGTGTGGGTTCGGTAGAATCTTGTAAGGTTTGGTCGGAGGGTGTAGCGTTGCCATCTTCCTCTGCTTCCGCACCCGTTTGAGTTTCTCCATCAGCTGCCACATCGACTTCAACAGCAGTGCTGCAGGACTCCTCCTCACTTCTTTCGATTCCGCCAGTATCTTCAACCTTGGTGGTTTCCTTTGCTCTGGAGGTCACTAGAGAAAGCCCCGTGAATACCGGAACCTCGCGCTCTGCAAAGACAACCACGTCGCCGGAGTTGAGCGCTTCGTAGAAATCCTGAAGCCACTTCAGCGCGATCCGAAATGTGGGTGTAGATTGAAGTGCCATTCTTGCAATGATCTTCTCCGTTGTTGCCTTGGCTTCGATGTACATCGCAGCCCCCGACAAAGCTCGCTCCTTCGCTCGAGACGGACAGCTCCCTTGCGTCAACCCTCCACACGGAATTTCTCCCCAGTCGATGTTGTTTTCTGGACTCTGCACAATCCATCGTGTAGGGAAACAGTGCATCGGGGGCAGTACTGTTTCGAAGTTGGACGTGCTCCGGACGTACATCACGTGGCGGCAGGGTAGCAAGCAGGTCTTCATGAAGATACAGTTGCAGGAATTCGTCTGTACAGCACAGATTACATGTCAGTCGTCAATACCAAAGATAACTGAATAGACCAAAAGTATACCATAACTTGAATAGCTTACCCTCGTGTTGACTTCATGCACTTCTCCAGACCTTGGGCTCGTGACAGTGGCTCGTCCTGGTGTGTTCAGCTCAACCGTGTAGTCTGCGTTCGGACCGGTTGCCAAGGTGTGCTGTTTGGCGACCAATTCGAAGGCAAACGGGCTCACCTGCAAAGCCAGCAGCGTCAGCTCGCGGTCCTCCGAATCCCGCGAAGGCCGGCTCCCAACTCGATGGTATTCTGCGAGATACTGCTCTTCGGCATAGTGCTGCAGCGTCATCAGCGTAGACAGGAGTTGGTCGATAGTGAAGGAGTCGTTAATAACATCCTTTATCTTCCCCCACTTGGACTCGATCCTATTGTTGGTGTTGTTCGTCAGGTGCGGCGTGTTGCCGCGCTTGTAAGAAACCCACTCGTCCTGGTTACTGTCCCAGTTTGCCATGAACGTGCGGTACAACTCGTGTGATATATCGCCTCCAAGCAACTCCAACACAGCTCCATTTGCATCTTCATACTCGTCCTCGTTGCTTGCGTACACCATCAACCGCATCAGGCTCTTCACCGACTTCTTCACCGATGGCGCCAGACGTGCAGCCTGCTTCTTCAGCCAGGTAACCACATGCCACTGACACAAGAGTTGCCGAGCGTTGGGCAGCTCTTCTCGCAGAACTTCTTTCTCATGAGCAGCCTTGTCCGTCATCACCACTTGGGTTTTGGCCCAGTCAGGGTTGTTTGCTTTGAAGATCTCCATCACTCGGTGCAGATTGTCTTTGTTCTCACTGTCTACAAGTGCATGATGGACATATTGACCCTATGATAAGGTTAGAATAGTGTATTAAAGTACAGCACAACAAAAAACTTGTCTACGTCAGTACCTTTCCGAACACGTCGTGCACTACGAAGCTGAACATCTTGTAGCGGTTCACGTTCGTGTCGTGCGTGGCATCAACGAGAATCACCTCCGGAAACGCTTTGAACAAGCGCTTCATTCTTCGGACTGGAACATGGCGACGCGAGCAACGTTGGAGTCGCTATCCACAAGAATTTGAGCAGAGTTGCCACCGTGCTGCAGACAAATCTCTTCCATCACTGCAAATGCGCGTTGCGCATCAGTAAGACCGGCTTGCTCGGTCAGTTTGTATCGCTGCACCATGTTGTGGACGTCCTTCCGCACGGTTTTCTTGCCTACAACATACCACCAAATATCCACAGCAAATAGTTAGGAACAAACCAAAATCACACAGAAAGTGATAAGACTTTACCTGTACGTTCACGCAGGTATTGCAAGATCCCGTGCGTGTTCGCCCCAGCCTTATGCAGCACTGCCACATCCTCCGTCAACTGCGGGTCCTTCACCGTCCGGTTCTCCGCGCAGCTCTCCCAAAGATGCTTGTTCAAGTCTTGATTGTGTTTGCCGGTGGCGTTCACGCGTAAACGCCAAGTTCCGCTGAACGTGGCAGCGACACGCACATTCAATCTTGCCTTGCACTTCGTGTCGCGAACGTTGTTGTGGTGCCGCTTTCCCTTGCCCTTCGGTTCGTAGGGCTGACCATGCGTGCAGACCAGCGTTTTCGAGTACGTCACCCATTCCGCCGGAACCAAGGTGATCGGTTTCCGGGCCTTCTTTGCGGATCGCTTCCTTTCCTTGTCCTTTTCGATAATTTGCTTGTTCCGCAGGAAAACTGACGTACTTGTTCGCATGGAAAACTGCTGGAATGTCTGAGCCTGGAAGTCGTCGAACGAGGTATGGAACGTATCCCACGAGTCGAACGTGGTGCTGAATCCGTAGAACCACACAGGCACAACTCGCTTCACGCGAAGGTCATACGTGCGGGACCAACTTCGGTGAGATTTCGGTTCGGGTACAAACCGAATCTCGTCCCCTTCGTCGTCTTCCTCGCTGTCCACTTCGTCTGCGCGGTCTCCACTCCCGACGTCACCTTCTTCCTCTTCGACGTTGCCCTCATTCCCACGCCAGTCTTTGTCGTCTTCGTCAGCATCCTCGCTCTCTTCACCGTCGTTTTCAGCGGCCGATTCGCGCTCTTCATCATCGTTGTCTTCGTCATCTTCGTCACTGGCGTCTGGGTCGGTGCCGAACGACGGGGTCTTCTCCTCGTAGTCGGAGTCGCCCGTGCCGCCAGGAGACAGCTCTTCGTCGGCCTCGTCCAAAGCGGAAATGGCTTCGGCAAGGGCGCCGCCGTCAGAATCCGAATCTGGCTCTATGCCGAACATCTCGCGCGCGGCACGTGCTTCCCACCGCTCGTACATGCTCTGCTCGCGGGCTTCAGCCCGGGCCTTCTGCCCAGCCTTCTTCCCATCTTCACTTCGCAGCATGGCGGTAGCACTCCGAGTGCGTTTGTGCCTCCCGTCCATCGCCAGTCGGATCTCCTGCTCGTCGCGGCACGCTGCGCTTCCAGCACACCGCGATTGTACACTGGCAGCGGGGGGGGGGGGGGGGGGGGGGGGGAGATCGCGCAGCGTCCTGTCCGTTTCATGCCGAAGTTCGCGCTGGCGCTGCCGACTCCGACTCCGCTCCGACGCTTCGTCTCGGTGCTGCTGTCGTCACACCCGTAGTTCTTCGTGAAGGTGGGTGACGACTCGCTCGACATCGCCACCCTCACGTGCTGCTCGCGCGGCTCGTCGTGCAGCACGACGCTGCTTGTCCTCACGCCGTGACTGCTTGACCGCGGACCGCACCTTCGCCACGGAGCCGTACGCCGTCATCATGTCGCTCGTGAGCTCCATACCGAGCTCCATCATCTCGCCCTTCGCCGTCTCAGGCGGCTCTTCGTCGCCTTCTTCAGTCATCGGCGCGTCGGATGCCGCCGCATCGCCTTTCTCAGTCTTCATCTCGTCCTCCGTGCACTCCCTGGTCACCGTGGTCGCCGGCACTGCGTCCGCGGCGTCCGCCGGAGTCGCCGTCACTTCACCTTCGTCTCGTTCATCATTCTTGTCGTTCTCGTCCGTCGTGTAGTGGTAGCGGAGCGCCGCCATGCTCGGCCTCACCGTCGCCACATACCTCGTCGCTCGCTCGCCGTCTCGCGACGTGAGCTCTTCATTCAATTGAGCCATGGCGGCCATTCGCACCGCCGCCACGCTCCCGTCAATGGACAGCATCTTCACACCGTCCGTCTCGTCACCACCATCGGCAGCCACCGTCACCGCTGTCGCCGACACGTTCAAGCCACGCGCCTCGTTCATCTCCGCCGCTGTCACCAGCCGCTGGGGAGTTTGTCGCGTCAACGAACGACGTAATCCCCCTACGCCGTTCGCTCTTCGTTTCCCGGGGGGTTCTGCTCACGGCGGCGCTTCAAGTACTCCTCATTACGGGCACGGGCGTCGTCGTCAGGGCATTCGGCAGCAATGTGCCCAAAGTGATGGCACGCGTGGCATTGCACACCAAGTTGCCGTGAGGCGGGCTTCCCGTCCGTCGAAGCATCACCAGCCTTGGCCATCCGTGTCGTCGCCTTCGACGCCGCCTTTGTCCTGCACACCGCACTCTTCCGCTTCATGGCAGGCGCCGGCGCGTGAGGGACAGCCGTCTCCTCGTCCTCGTCGCTCTCCTCTTCGTACTCGTCGTCTGCGGCCGCTGCCATGCTGACCTTGGCCTTCTTATCGGCCTTGGCCGACACCATACGTCTCGCAGCAGGCGGTTCTGCAGCGCGCGCCGGACGGTCACGCTTCGCGCTCTTCTTCGCCCAATAGCGCCCATTCCACTGCCGTCCGACGGGTATGTCCCACGTGCCCGTGAACTTGTTCCAGACGCCCTGCGGGTTCGAGAAGTGCGTCAGATCCAGCTCTTGCATGGTCGTGCCAGCTGCCAAGTCCGTGGGGCCAGCTGCTCAAATGCCCGGAATCGCCATCAGGGGTCCCGTCGTACCGCTCATCGGCACCATGTACGGGTTCGGGGCCGTCGCCCAGGCTTGGTCAATGTTCAACATGCCGCGCGCTACGTTGTCGATGGGGTCATCTATTTCGGTGGCCTTGTCGACAGCTTCTTTCAGTGTCCTGGGCCGAGGCGCCTGCTTCACCAGCTGCCTCGTCGTCTTCTCCAGGCTGCGGTAAAATTGAGCGAGCGACACCCGCTCACTCACTCGGTTCTGACCGCACAGATCGCGCAACCCAGCTGCGAAGTCGACGAAGGTCTCGCCAGGGATCATACGGCGTTGGCTCACGCGCCATTCGGCAGCCGAGCGGTCAGGACGTTCTCCGTACCGCCGTACCAGCGCCGCCTTCAAGTTCGTCCACGTCTTCTCACCGCCGCGTACCTCCTGGTCCATCTGCACCCACCAGCGTGCAGCGTTGTCTTGTAGCTTGTTACCGAGGACGTAATACAGTTCGTTGTCAGTCCAATCTCCGCTTCCTGACAGTCGTGCTCCTTGTAGGGCAAAGTCAACACGCGCGATCCACGTGGATACGGACACCATCGGCGAGGGCAGAAACGTCGGCAGCTCCAGGTCCCGAATCGCGCGTCGTCGGTTCCAAGGTGCTCGTCGAGGTACAGCAGCTGCTGCTGCTGGCGCTTGGCGGGGCGGTCTGTCGTCGCCGACATCGTCATGTTCGTCGTCGGAGCTGGAGTCGTCGGGGTCACTGCCGTTACCGCCGTCAGGATCGTCGCCGTGTCCGCTGCGTCGCCCGAAGGCCGTCGATGCCGGGGCTGGCTGCGCTGTCACCGTGCTTGCCGTGGCTGGTGGCGGAGAACCCCGTGCGCGAGTACTCGTCGCCGTCTCCAGCGAGGCGTTCGTGGTCGTACGTCCCCTCGTGTCCGCGCCCCGCTGCGTCTCCACCTCATTCATGCGTGTCTCCATCCGGTCCATGGACGACACTAGCTGCAGGAGCGCCGTCGTGAGCGTCGTCATCATGGCGGGGTTGGTGGTGTCGGGCCTGGTGTCGCTGCCTCCACCGTCTTCTCCGTCAATGGTCACTTCGCGATCTTGGGACGGGTCGTTTCCGTCCGGGCCCAACCCGTCGCCGTCGCCTTCGTCATCGTGGCCGTCGCCCTTCGTCTCTTCGTCGCCGTCCTGCACCCGAACCCTGGATGTCTCTCACACACCCGGTGTTCCAGTAGTCGTCGTGTTGCCCGTTGCACCGTCGCCTTGAGTCGCGCCAACCGGTATGGTAACCGTCATCGTTCTCGCCATCTCACGGGGCGCGTTCGTCGAGGTCGTAATGCAGTCTTGTTCGTCCACGTCTTCACTTGTAGGCCCCTGTATGACCACCATACAATGTGCTGGTTCTCTCCGCACGCGAGAGTTTGGTCGTCACAGTGCTGATCTCAGCCAAAGTCCGTCAGGCCGTCGGTACCGGAACTTCCGATACCCCGCCGGCGCGTGCCCGACTGGCAACGCAACCAATTGTTTTTAAACTAAGACAAACTCGTAGCAGCCGGCGCTGCTGACTAACTAACAATACACGCACTTCCTAGATACGTACGCAATGAACAACTTCGTCGCCCTCTAAAACACTTGGATGTACACCACCGCTGTGCCCGTCCTCACTTCGCAGTCCACAGAAGACTCGGAGTGCCAAGTGCTCTCCTGTCCGTCACTCACCACGTCGCTCAGTAGCCCGTCCACCGAAGCAGCCGTTCGTTTGTCTTGCAACTCGCTCCCGAGCTGCGTCTGTCGCCGGGGCCTCTGCGCCCTCGCCGTCTGTTTCAAGACTGAGCTCGACGCTCGAGGTCCTGAGTCCCATGCCCGCCGCACACGTGCAGCAGATCCTGGCGACCGTGTGGTCTCCGGAGTCCGCTGGGGTTCAACGTCCCACTCGTCCCTCAGCCGCTCCTCGCATTCGTCATTCTTCGCCAGGCTGGGGTTCAGGCCGCTCGTCTGACCCAACCCGTCACACCCAGATACTCTCGCAGAGGAGATTATCTAGCTTTGCGGGGTCGACCAACGTGAAAATCCGAGTCCGGAGTACTTAAAAGGCGATTTCGGAATTAAAGCTGCGTCGAAGAGGAGCAAGATCCCAGTTCAGGTTTTCTTAACGACGCCATATGAGAACGCAAAGAACTTCTGGAGCTGTGCAGCCACTGAGAGAGATCAGGAGAGCTGAGAAAGAAGTGGAGGAAGAATGGAGAAAGTACGATCAAAGTCCGAGGAAGACAGATGTGGTCCCGGGGGCTTACGCTGCACTTTCGTGCTGAAGCCGGTGATTGCAGAGCTCAACGATTTTGAGATCGATGAAGCGGTGGAAGTGATGAAGGATCTGGTTCAGGAGAATACTTGCTTCTCTCGATTGTCGCTGTCTCTGTTCGTTGATCGTGTCCGCAACTTGGGATACAATCAACGACTATTAAAAGAGCAGGTTGGCCAGCATGGTTCACATGTTTTGCGGTACACAGCGTGTCTCGAACGACAGTTTTGAAAGCGATAGCCCAAGTGTGAGACCAAGTGGCACTAAATCGGCACCACTTCAGATGGCTAGCCTATGCCCTCTTTTCCAAGAGAGCACGCGCATTGTCGGCATTAGAGGAGCTCGCTCTGATGTCTGTTGGGAGCATGAGCGCGGAGGATATGGATGCTTTCTTAACCATCGTCAATTCCGATCACCCCGAAGAAGATCTATGCGGCTGCCCACGCGGAAAGCGTGAAGAAAGGAGTGCGGCGCTCAAGGCAGACGCTCCTGTTTACTGGAGACTGGATGATCGAGGTCAACCGCGGAGAGGTTTACAACCATTGGCGCTAGAGTCAGATACTGCTGTTGGTATTTTCAGTGACGTCGGAGTAAGTGCGCTCGTGAATGTCATGATTCCTGGATTTGGACGATGCCAAGTGCAGCGGAGCGATCTGGCGTTTGCTGAGACCAGTATTGAGGAAACTCGTTCATGCGGCTTGACGTCGCTGCATGTTGGATTCGACAAAAGGAGCCCGTGTAATGCTGGCGGTTTGCCTCGCTTTATTACTGCGATCGGGCACACACTGAAGGTTCTGTCGCTCAAAAATGGTGACGACCAGATAGATGAAAACTCCATTCTGAGAAGTTGTCCTAATCTGGAGGAACTCACGGTGATGTGAAGGAACGAGGTGGATGTGCGCCTGAACTTCAGCGAGTATCACGCCAACAACATCCCGCTGCCTGATCTCTCATACGGATGACGCTGACGGAAAAGTTAAGCGCCTCGGACGAACCTTTGGCAAAGTGCGTGCGACGCGTACGGGTTTATCTGACCGATCGGAATATCCGTCAGAACGTCGAGAGCATTTTGAGCGGACTTCTGCAAATGCTGGAAGCTAACCACGTGTTGGAGTATCTCGACGTCACCCTTCCCTACGACCACTCAAGCAACCTCCTTGCTTCGTTCCAAAAGCGCCACAAGGAACCTACGGAACGAGCGCTCGTTTTTCCACTTGAGTGCAAGCTCGCCTTCCTCAGTGCGTTTGCACCCTGCCACTCTACTACGCGTACAACCAAGAAGCCGACGCGCATTGGTTCACTAACTCGGTCCTATTCGCACGTTTTGCGGGAGCAAAACTCGAGGTTTACGTTAACGACGCAGATTTTTGAGTTAGTCAAGTCCTAAAAATCTGTCTGAATTATCCAAAATCCACTTTTCATTTATCGTATAAAGTATGGGGGTCCATTTTTGGATGAAAAGTGATCAATTCCATTCAGCATAATTATGTCGTTGGCAGAAGTTGTCGCCGCGGACGTGGACGCCTCCAGCTCGTCCACTATTCCGCTCTTCACCCACTGCCCCTCCCCCTCCTCCAAGCGCTCGAAGAATGGCTCCTCCCTCTTCGTGCAGCTGCTGGACGGTTCCTCTCTGTTCGAGGCCGAGGTCTCGACCTCTCACAAGCCGCGGGCGCTCGACTGCTCGCCCCTCGAGTACCTAACAGCCGTCCAAGCAGCGCTGAGTCCATTGGCTGTGGGGCAGGAGCCGCGCTTCGACTTCCGGTGGTCGAGGGCCAAGCGCACGCTGACGCTCATGGAGCGCGCCGGGTTCGCCATGAAGTTCTCGGCCGTCGAGTTCGCTCAAGTGGCGGACGACGCGTCCAAGTGGCAGCAGTTGCTGCACCAGGTGGCGACGCAGCAGAAGGAGAGAAGAGAAGAAGTTGACGAGAAGGAAGAGAAGATCTTAAAGTTGGAGAAGCTGCTACTGCAGAAGGAGACGCTGCTGGAGGCGACGCTAGAGGCCAAGCAGAAGGAGGAGGACAGGCTGTTCCAGGGCTTCTGCGCCGTGCTGAATGGCAAGAAGGACGAGATCCAGAGGTTGAAGAACGAGCTGAACAGGGCGCAGGAGGCGCAGAGTTATGGGGTGCAGGAGGGGGGGAAGAGGAAGGTGGCGGCCCCGAAGAGGGCGAGGAAGGCGACGGGAGCCAAGTTGAAGAAGAAGAAACATCAAGAAGAGGAGGAAGAAGAAGATGTGGATATGAGCGGGGAGGATTCAAGTCGAGAAGACAGTGGAGGAGAGAGTACTGTTACCGAGGAGGCTGATGACGATGAAAGAGACGAACGGAAGAAGGCAAAGAGGGATGCGATCAGCGCGTACAGTCAGCTGCCGACGAGTCTGAAGCCGAGTTCGGTGCAAATCAGTTCTGTAGAAGACTTGTTGTCCAGCATGGACGATATCATCAAGAACGAGGAGGAGGTGAATGAAGCAACGCAGAGGGGGGAGGCGAGCAGTCAAAGTGTGACGTTGGAGGTGGAGAAGCAGTCGCACGTGATGGAGTCGTCGAAACCACGTAGTACTGTTGCGAGGAGCGCGCTGGCTGTCAAGGTGGAACCGACTCCGCCGCCGAAGTCTGAGCCGGTGAAGCCTGCTCCTCCAGTTGACGAGCCGATGGACTCGGAGGAGGAGGATATCCTAGACATGTTGTCGTAGGAGTTTTATCTATCTACATTCTTCAATTTTGATTTATAGGTGCGTTAGGCGGGCAGCCTTGATTGTCATTCTTGTCTGTCATAAGAATTTTACGGTAGTCGTGGATTGGGTTGGTCCGCATTTGCGAAGCGACCGGCACATGTATGTCTTGAAAGTAATAGGTATCGTAGCCCCAAGTTATTAATTCCGAGTGTACAAGTACTACCTGCGACGAATATTTGAGGTTATTGGTCGAGCAAGCGGGCAAACAAGTCCTAAGTATGGAAAAAGAAGTAGGTGGAGGGGAGCAGAGGTCGGAAAATAAAATATCATATTGTATTTTGGTCTTGGAGTCACAGTAATAATCATTGCAATACAGGGTCAGACAATAATACAGTATTTTCACAATTATTGGCAATAAATATATACGGGATTTTCGTAATGAGCTTAGTTTTTGTATGGACACAAGTGTTGATATTGTATTGGGACAATTTTCCAGTGCACGGGAACAATAATAAATTATTCCGTGCTAAAAATGCCATTACTATTGTATTTAGTAAAACAAATAGTGTATTGATTATTTGCGAAGGTGCATGTTGTAGTTTTTTCTTCGTAATGACTCATTATGTGGTGTACCCTGTTCAAATTATCCAAAAATAAATCATTTCCCAATCACTCATGGCGCGGCCGCACCGCTGGGGCTTCCTCTCGCTCTGTGTTGCGCAACCTGATCAGCTTCCGCTGGTCTCACCGCGAAGAAGAGATCTGGGACATCGGGTGCCGCCGGCTTGAGGTTTACCTACCAACCAGTGGTGACACCTGCAGGCCCGATTTAATATCTCCAGATTTTCCGGTGACGACCGAATCCAACAGTTCTGGATTCTATTCAAGAAAATCCGCGAAGCTCTGGTGCCTGCTGTCCGCAGTGGCTTACGTGGATCAATCAGCCTGGAAGATGCTGCTACGACAAGAGTGCAATGTGCATTTTGGGGAGCCAGGGGAGGAGTTTCTGGAGAGGGAGGACCCAGTGGAGTTCGTCCTGTGCGTGCTTGAAGATTGCACCCAGTGCTATTTTCCGGGCAATCCGTCTAATTATTCCGGCACACTCGCATAGGAAATTATCCGATTTGGCGGAGTGGATCAGCGTGAAAATCCTTCGTTGGATTATTTGAAGGCGTTGAAGAAGATTTCGGGTATGGATTCCAAGCTGCGTCGAATGGGGAAGGGGCTGGATCTGGAGATTCCCGTTCGATTTTATTACTTGCTGGCCCCTCTGGATTCCTTGAAAACTATCGTGATGACTGAGAGGACAGTGCACGAAGAATGGAGAACGTACGAACAGAGTCCGAAGAAGAAGGAGGACGCAGCCCCGGAGTGTCTACGCTGCACTTTCGTGCTGAAGCCGACAATTGTAATTTTCAATGATTTCACGATGGTCGAGGACATGGTGAAGCAGGTGAAGGAAATGGTGGCCCATAATACGCACTTCTCTCAATTGTCGCTCTGGCTGGAACGCTACCGTGGATGTGTGTCAAAAGATGTTATTGGCCAGCTCATGGCACTTCTGCTTGCCACTACAGAGAGTACGTCGTGGGGTGCTGGTGAACGCTGCAGCTTGGGAGATTCTAGCATGGAGTCGACCACGCTACCGATTGGCACGCTTCACCTAGAATGCCCCGATAGCTTGGAGAATTTCGAGATGGAGGGCGTGTGTTCTGCGATGGCAGTCAATCGGACGACAACAAAGGCGTCGTTGCGTTTGGAAATGGACCCGGACAACCGTGCTACGAGCAGACACTGGTGGAAATGGTTTGCTTATGCTCTCTTTTCCAAGCGAGCACGAGCATGTTCTTCGTTGAAGGAACTGTCGCTAATTTCGATTGGGAGTATGAGCGTGCAGGATGTGGAGTAATTTTCAGTCATCTTAAGGTCGGAGCACCCCGAAGAAGATCTGTACGGTTGTCCCCGTGGAAAACTTGACGAAAGGAATGCTGTGCTCAAGAAGGGTGTTCCTATCTACTGGCGGTTGAATAATCGAGGTATGCCGCGGAGGGGTTCCGGTCCCTTGTCGTTCGAGCCAGATAGAGCCTCTATCCGCACCTTCAGTGACGATGGAGAAGGTGAACTTGTGAATGCCATGGTTCCAGGTTTCGGGAGATGCCAAGTCCGACGCAGCGATCTACTATTTGCAGATATTGGCGTCGAGGACTCCGGCACATGTGGCGTGACGTCGCTGCATCTTGGATTCAACCGGTTCGACCCATTTGAAGCCAGCGGCCTTCCCCAATTTCTGTCGGTTGTTGGACCTTCACTAAAATTTCTAGCGCTCAACAACATCCGGGATGAGATTCACGACAGCGCAGTTCTGAGAAGCTGCCCCAATCTAGAGGAACTGGCGCTGTATGGAGTAGATCTGCGCCTCAACTTCGCTGATTATCGCGTGAGCAACTTGTCACTTCCTGAGATCACGTATAATTGGGATGTTGTTGTGGCACTTTCAACAAGGTTGGGGATCCAAACGACCCAGTAGCAAGATGCGTGCGCCGGTTACGGGTTCGACTGAATGACCTGCGCTTTGTCCACCAAAATGGCGAGGGCATTTTAAGCAGCCTTCTCCAAATGCTGGCTTCAAACGACACGTTGGAATACCTTGACGTTGCCATGCCATCACGACCCTCGAGCGATCTTGTGGCCTCATTTCAAAGGCACCACCGGGTGCCTACGAAGCATGCGCTTGTTCTCCCAATTGAGAGTAAACTTGCGTTTCTGAGTGTGGCTGTGCCCTATCACACTGCTACAGCTACACGCAAAACGTGGAAACGCCGTGCACCAAGGACAATGGAACTGGACCAGCACGTTCTTTCGAAGATCCTATCGTTTGCTGCACCTCCAGTACTGCGGGAAGTATATCTTCAGCATACTCGTAGCGAAGGGGGGTTATTGGGATCACTGTTCGATTTTCCCATATAATCTGACGGAATTGGTGTTGCTTCATTCGAGGAAGTCAAGTTTTAACTGCACCTACAGCTGACAGCACGACGCAGCAGCGTTAGTGACGAGAATCATATTTGGTACTTCAGTACTAGGATTTCTTGGGGTGGAGTTTTTTACTTGTCTTTTGTGCATTTTGAACTAGTTACTTACATAAATACTTAAGTACATTGTCAAGTTGTTATTTTGTCTTTAATCGGCCATAGCCCCGGGGACTAGGCCTGGGTTTACTTCCAAATCTCTTTCCGCTAGCTAGGATACTACGGAAATACACGTATCGACTATCTGCGACTATAGCGCAGATATGTGCGGCGAAAGCCACGCGAATCTAAGAATGTTCATAACAGTCAGGTAGTGTCCGACACTCTCGGGTCCTGGTTTGACTTCAAGCTGAGCATGGGCTTGCCTTTCTTTTGTTAGGTCGCAATCCCCCTCGCCCAAGAGACTCAGCTGCCTGCACACGCCAGCAACAAGCGACCAAGCGACCACTAGAAACCTGCGCAACCGGGATCCCTGTCGTGAAAATCTGCATGGACTCGACAGCGTGTGTAGAATCGTCGCCACTGGTCTACTTCGAGTCAATCAAGAGCTGGAACCTCGACTCTAACACCGACTTCAGTCTATTGCCTACATGCGCGAGCGGCTACATCAGCTTCTGCGAGTCGTTCTTCGGCACTTCGCCTTGTGTGCTCATGAAGCAGTACGATGTCGAGTACCGTCAAACATTATTTTGTACCCCCTGCTGTACTATAAATCTCGGTCCCTGCCAGTCGTTAGCCTTCGCAGCCGTGCGCAGCCACAGAACCAGCCGCAGCTTGCTGTCTTAACACTTTGTAGGCCTCCGCATTCCCGCAGGATTGCTTCCTGTTCACCTGGAGACCATTCTTTTCCTCAAGGTGAACCGCCAGCTGTGGGGTGTGAAGACGGTAGCAGACGTAGTGAATGCTACAAAGTGAGATGCAGGCCGTAGTGGTACGATATTGCGCGGTCAGCAGGAATAATGTATGTATCCGTACCAAGAACTTCCCTACAATTAGTTACTTTGTTGATTTACGTATGTACTTAAATTTCATTGCAGTCGAATAGTGGTTGGCACCATGATTTGTTTTATCTTTCAAAAGCCAACAAAAGTTATTTAATAATGTTGTTTGAATGTAACGATAACACTAAGTGCGGTGTTATCTGAGGTGAAAGTGTTGAAGGTACTACAGCTCACAACAGCATTTCGTCCCGTTCGTCTAGCTTATCACCTTTTCCATTACGGAAACACACCTGTCTAAGAACCGGATCTGCTGCAAAGGTAAAAATCTCTGAAATGACGTGACGGTCCATTCGCCAGCGTAAGCTCTGTGGTCTCTCGGCTGCTGCGGGTCACTTCTTCGCCGGACTCAGTGACTGCAACACGCTCAAAAACGCGAGCTTGGCTGCAGCTGACAGTGGATTGAGCGGTCGGCAAATTGGCCCTTGGTGGTGCTCGTAGAACTCGTCACCGTATCTCTCATAACCAGGAGGTACAACAACCTCGAGATATTCCAAGCTTTTGTTGACGCTCAGCATTCGCAAGAGCGCCGATAGACGACGCTCGATGAGGTTTGCGTGGTCGAACTCTGATAGAGTCTCGCTCTATTCTTCAAGTGTACTCGAAGTCGTCGTACGCAGGTTGTAAGAGGATTGTGGACGTCGCTCAACTGCTCCGAGAGCGTAGTAATCTCATCCCAGTCGAAGTTCAGCCCGTGAAAGGGCTTGTCCTTGGCGCGATACTCGCGGAAATCGAGCCGGACATCGACATAGTAGTTACTCCGCACCAGCTCCTCTAGCAGCGGACAGCACTGCATAATCACATCATCGCTCATAGCAACTCGGGGGCCTGTAAGGGTCAACGACTTCAGCTGATACCCTACAGCCTTGAGCAGCAACGGGAGACCGTAAGAAATGGGCACTTGATCTTTGTCAAACCCGATGGTGAGGGACGTTATTCCAGACGAAATTGGCTCGATGATATAATGTTCGACGAATGCCAGATCATCACGTCGCACTTGACAACGTCCGTAACTGGAATTATGACGTTGACCCATTTACTTGTTCCGTTGTCGCTAAAAGTTCGAATCAGCGTCACGGGCTTATCCAATATTAAGCAAGGAGAGCGAAGATCCGGCCGACCTCGGCTGTCAAAGCTCCAGCGAATCTCAGCTCCTTTCTTCAATAGCGGTAGTCAGAGTTGGATGCAAGAGATATCTCCAAGAGGTAAATTTAGCCAATCGGCGCCATCACCCGTCTCTTGGACTCCATGAGCTCTCTAGCCTCAGTAAGATCTCTTGGGTTCTAAGATTATTTTGACCAATCACTGACGTTTTTCTCTTGCAACCGCTCTTCGCGAGGACAAGTTCTTCAGGGTGCTCAGACTCCAGCACAAAGATGAAGTTCTCCATATCCTTGACTGTGCGTCTGTAGACGGCAAGAAGAGCCAGTGGTTCTACGGACGAATACACACGCGCTCGTTTCGAGAAGAAGGCGTATGCTATCCATTTCCACCAGTGACCACTTATAGCGGCCAAGTCACCATTGCTCCAGCTGGTCATCCCTAGACGTAACGACAGCCTTCTCGCAGTTTGATTCACCACAATCGCCTCAAACTCCCGCGCTTCCAGCAACGCGTTGCACTCGAGGTGAATTGCGGCCAGCTGGCGAAGGTATCGTTTTAACTGCAACGGAGAAAGTCCCAATGGCGGGGGGGGGGGGGGTCGACGCGTACTATCGAGCAAGGAGCTCATGATCCGTCCGAAGTCCGATTTTGTCGAAACCCCATCATCTTCGTCTTCGTCGTCGCTGTCCCATTCATCATGCCCACCTTGATTCATTTGAACCTCCAATGAAACCTGCGAAAGCCACATATTTTCATGGATCACAGTCTCGATAGCCTTGGCAATTTCAGAATTAATTGAACTGAACGTTAGGTCGAGCACCATCGGAACCAGGACGAACGTACACCGCGGCAAGCACAGCCCCTCATATTGAGGCGGGAGGGTTTGGTCGTACATTTCCCACTGTTGCCGGATGCGCTTCTCGGCATTGAATACTTGCAAGAGACCTGCTCCTGGCCGTCTCCACGCCTCCAACGACGACAGAATAACGCGGACAGGAATCTTGATATCCACGGACGGCTTTGTGCAGCTAAAAAGTGCTGCAACATCCTTCAGCGCTTGTAGATAGGGCCTGCTGTCGTGATGCAGCTGGCGAGTACCACAGAACATGACCAGGTCCTCGTCAACGTCCGCGAGCGTGTGGGTGTCCTCAAACGTCCACAGTTTGAGGTAAAAGTCTTTTAAAAAGTGTACCTTCTGAGAGTCCAGCCCATCTGGAAGCCCTTGCCAACTCCAGCTTGATGGAGTCTTTGGGCAGATTGAGCAGCGCTGGGGGTTCTTGAATCGGTGATGGTTTTTACTGAAGCATCATATACATTTCGACTGCCCCCGACAGGACAGCGAGCGATGGGAGTCGCGTAGCAAGTGCCTCGAAGTGAGACTGCCGTCGTTACAAGAGAATTATGGCTCTACCGTGTTCATCACTGGGTTTGATGGCAAGGATGACCACCAATCTAGCCTGCAGTGGCTTCGTGAGGCGCTTGGGCTGTTGGCAATCGTGGAAAGTTTGGACTACGCCGCGTGGATTCATATTCTCGAGCGGCATTGTGGCATTAACCTGGGCGAGGAAGGGGAGGCAACGTAAGAAGGGGAGCTGAGCATCCACTACTCCCCCGGTCAGCACCAACTCCTCTAGACTTGGGCAACACTGGAGAATCGAGGACAGTTCGTCTCTCGGTGCATCCAACGCTAGGCGTTTTAGTGAAGACCCGACAGCACCAAAGAAGAGCACCAAACCGTCGGTAACGGAAGGTGCATCCTTGTAGAATCGAAGATTGAGGGAGGTTATACCTCTACCAACCACATCGCCATTGCTGCTGATTACATCACCGAACACCAAGTCGCGCCGCTGCACCCGGCATCGACCGTAGCCAGGAACGATAGCGTCAACCCATGTGCTCTTGCCATCGTCGCTAAAAGTCCGGATGAAAGGCACTGGCACATCGAAAGTGATGGCTTTAGTGTTGGTCGAACCGTTGAGATCATCCAGCACACATCGAATACGCGAGTCTCCGCTTAGCGTCGCTGCACTGGACCAGGCGGGGAACCGAACAAGTCCTCTTCCGGGTTATCGAACGTTAACATAGAGGTAAAGGCCTGCATATCTGACCGACTCATGCTGCGAATTCCAGCGAACGCCAATGATTCCACGGACGAGAGCGCTTGCGCTCGCTTGGAAAAAAGCGCGTACGCCAGCCATTTCCAGCACTTTCGGTTTCTTTCTTGCTCTCGAATGTCCATGCAGAGCCGCAGCGTGAGCTTCCTTGTCATCTGCGTTTGTGCCACCGCAGAACACATCGCTCCAATGTCATGAACTCGCAAGGTGGAAGCACAAAGAAAATCAATCTCGCCGAGCTGCAGCGGGGGTCGATCACTAAAAGCAGGGTGGTAGCTCGTGTTCGCGATCTCTGGAGGTCTGCGCGTACTGCTAAACACACTGGAAAGGAGCCGGCCGTAAGATCCCACCGAGGGCATCACACCGACATTCAAAGAAACTGACAGCAGAGACAGCCAAGCGTTTTGCTGCAGCAGGACCTTGATCGTTGGCCCCATGTCTTCACACAGATCGATGACGCCCAGCTTGCCAATCATCCGCTCCAACACAAAAGTGCACCTCCATTCTCCGAGCACTGCGGCTTCGTCCTCGCCCGATCGAAGGAACCTTTCCCACTGCTCCTTGAGGGTCTGCTCTGCGATTCCAGCGTCAACAAGCTCGTTCACACCGTCGCTCGGTTCGGGAGGGGCAAACTCCACCCGGACGGGAACCTCAAAGTCGAAGCCCGCTTCTCGACGGTGCAAATTCTGCTCCAGAGCAGCAATTTGCTGCAGCGTTTCTCTATACTTCGCGCTGGGATGAAGACGTTGGTGCGGTCCGAAGAAGAAAAGCAGGTCGTACTCGTGTGCCCCGAGGTCGTGAAAGTCACGTAGAATGCTCGTTTGGGCATCATGATCCAGCATTACAGTGTACCGAACCGGGATCTTCTCCTCGTAGAGCGGCTCTCCTTCGACGCCGAGATGCACGCCGCAGTTTTTCTCCAGTAAATACCGCCACGCGTCGTAGTCCATGTGCGCTGCAGCTGCCAGCAGCGCCTTGGCCTCCCTCGTCTTCTGGAATTCGTGTAGGAAACGCACTTCATCGTCTGCATCCTGACCCTCTTCCCGCATTGGCAGCGTGACGGACGAGGTCCCCAGAGACCGACCGCGTTCGGGGCCTGTGTACGTGACTCGGCTCTTGAGCGCGTCGCACCAAGTAGCCAGGAATCCCCAGCGCTGCTCTATCCTCGTGCTCTATCAAGAGAGGCGAATATTTGGAAATGGGGGAGCTGAGCTGCCTCGCACCTCGATGCGTGCAGCACAAAAGAAAATCACTCGAACCACCGTAACAATGTCTACAGGCATCCCTTTAGTGCTGCAAGGTCGTCGTGTTGCGAAGTTCTATTCGAAATTCCAGAAAGCAGAAGCGCTTCTATTCAGACTGACAACGCCGAACCCAGACGCTCTACCCGCTACCTCAGAACGACAGCTCTATCTTAGCAAACTCTCTAAGCTTGAGCCTCAAACGCAGACTTTGTCACCTCTATGTGTAGATAGCCTGCCACTACCTAAAAAGGTGTTGTCCATCCCCAGAGACTTTGTACTGAAAATCACTGGGTTAGACTGGCGTTGTAGGCGCCATCGTACACGTCGTCGGTACCGAAGTAGGCGTTTTGGTACTCGACCGGGAGAGTCAGATTGAACGCCGGCACTTCGTCCACGCAAGACTTGTCCAATCCGTTGAGCTTGCCCTTGTTATTGGCATACGAGGCCAGAAGCTTTGCGCCACAAGTACTACCAGAATCGAGCTGGGTATACACGATCGTTCCGTGGATGGAGGTGTTGAACGTGACCATCTCCTTTTGGTCTCCGTCCAGCGTGTCCAGCAACGCCTCGGCGTACTCGTGCAACGTCTGAGCGTCCATCTTGCTACTGAGGAGGAGAACGCTGGCCTGGCTGGGGATCGTGGCGGTCTTGTTCCAGTACTGATCGCGCTTGTAGATGATGGGCTTCGCAGGATAGTTGCCGACGTTGAATTCATCACACGACTTGGATTTTTCCTTGGAGAAGGCGCAGTACAGCTCGGGCTGATTCACGAATACCCCAGCTGAAATGAGAGCGTTCTTGAACCGCTTGTCCATTTCAGCCTGCGAAGGCTGCGGGCGCTCCCACATCTCCGAGAAATAGAGGAGGCTGGTAAGTAGCGTGGACTCAAAAGCGGCGTCCTGGGATGTTGAGCTGGCGTACGTGTTGTAGTAGGCGATGAATTGGCTCAGAACTTCAGCGTCCTTGGCCTCACAGCGTTTCATGCGGTAAACGACCGGGGGGATGAGCTTTCGTAGCTCCGCATCCACCAGCATCGTGCCAAAAATCAGCGTAAGTGCACCCGAAGGTGCAAACTCTCCGTAGTATTTCAACTTCTTCAATAGACTGGCACAAGTTGAGTTCGGATCTTTGTCAAAGTCCGCGAGTAACCCTCGAAGGGTTGTTGGCACCGTGTTTGGCTCCTTGAAGTGACTGCTGCAGGTTGCGTCCTCATCGCACAACGCTAAGAAGCGATCGCCCACAATACCAAAGTCGATATCCCGTTTGGACATGTAGAAGAACTTGTCCGCTGAAGCTCCGGACGCTGTGGCGACGCCGTCCAAAGCGTATCCCGTCACCTTCTTGGGGTTTAAGTGCATCAAGCGCTCCACGAATAGAGTTCCATAGCTGGAGCCGTACACGATGGTACTGGCGTTATTCGTGTACTTGGCAATGAAAGTCGCCAAGTCCGTGGCCGAGCTTGTAACCGAGAACGCAGCGAGGTCACCATACTTATTCTCGAGTTCCTGAGCACAATCCGGAACTTCCGATGAGGCGAACTCCTTACCGTACGGAGATCCCGTGGTGGTAGACTGCGCGGCAATGCAGTCCAGATACGTGCTGCGACCAAGACCGCGGTAGTCCATAGTGTAGAGATTCGCGGTACCATTTAGTTGAGTGAGAACGTCAATCATCACCAATTCCACTGGAAATGACAGCCACAGCCACGTCAGAAAAATACCACAAAATACGAAAACCATACCGAGCACACTTACTGTTAGTGGACGAAGAGGGGCCTCCCTCGAGGAACCAAACGTTCGTAGCGGTCTCTGGGTCGCCGTTGGTTGCCGGCATGCGCTTCACGAAGACGTCGATGGTCGGGTCGGCGAACTTTGGCGTCTTGCAGATGCCAGGGTAGCACAAGGGCGCACTGAAGGTGGCGCATTCCGTGTACTGCCCAGTCGAGCTTCCTTCATCGGAGAAGGTGAAGTCGGTGCACTTGAACCAGCCATTCAGTCGGGTCTTGACGGAAGCTTCCGAGGCCTGGGAGACGATGGCCGCTAGGGCGAAGAGCTGGTAGAGACGCATTGGCCTCTTGTTGGCAAATTCGGAAGTGAGTTGGAGTGTTGAGGGGCTGACGAAGGGCGCCGTTATTGACTTGGTGTTTATGAATAGTACGGGTGTGTTGTTCTGTATTCATCCCGTCGTGATTCCCGCTGTTGGTCAGCGGTTGCTTGACACAGCCTTGACCGACTGAGCGTCGCATTGTTCGAAACCATACGGCTCCAAGAATGATGGGGATTTAGACATGGCCATGAACTTATCACTGTCTCGATAATGTGTCGCACCTGAAACCTCAATTCACCAAATTTGGTCCTGTGGATAAGTAAAAGAACGGCCATGTGGTTGGTTGGACCCAGTTGACTATATTAGGAGAAAACTATGCGTAGAGATCAGTGTAAAAAGGCTACTTGGTTATGAATCTCTGGCGGATGATAGCTCTGACACAAAGGTTTATTTGACCAAAAGCCCAACGCCCCGGCATTTGCTGAAATGATGTCTTAGTACTTTGATGTTTCAGGAGCGACCCAATGTCGTTCAGGGCTACCGGTATAGAGTATCCAAGTATACGGTTTCAACCTTATCTGCATGTTGCGCGAGGACGTAAGGCTATCGGTATATACTTCATATTTGATGTAAAACAGGCATGGTACATAATACCCTGCGAGCGAAGCGAACCGATCCCCAAGCGCAAGCGCGGTAGTTCTTTTTTTTGTTCTCCAGATACAAGGGGTTGTTTGGGTACGCATTGACCGTGAGTAGGACCGTATTGTTTTAAGCTCTATTGCTTTACGATTTGTATTGAAGATGCGCAGAATATCCTACATAACTCCCCAGGTAGGCTAACTTCTACAGCCTTTCCTTTGCCGTACAGGTTGCTATGTATAATTTGCAACAATATGGCAAAACATGTATGGCAAAAGAAAGATTGCATATTAACCACCATATCAAAGTCACGATAGCACTTTTTCTTAGTATTGCCTGTGGTAAGTACAATTGTGCATCACAAAACTGCATGCTATACTTCTCGTCATCTACATACTTATACATTATTTTTTAATCCTGTTTATGGAGACTTTTGTATGTATTATCCTTACCAAATGTACATGCCTTAACATGCCGCGCCTACGTGTTATAGTGTGTGCATCCCATACAACTAGCCGAGCGCCGCCGCTACGCGGCGGTCAGTTTAGGTAAAAACTACTAGGTGTGTACGCGCCCCCGTTCCGCTCGCCTCGTCGGCTCGCTGCACTACTCTCAATGTCAGGTTAGTAATACAGAGGTCGGGGCGGGCCCTGCGGCCCCGCAATATCCTATGGTGGGGTCGCCTTCGGCGACACTGCGTGGACAATTGAGGAGAATCTCTTTAGGATGATCAGCTTCAAGCACAGCAGTACATGCCTCGATGCTTTCTACGCTCATGTGGCTTAGCGGAACTAGCGCAAGCGATTCCCACTTTGAATGAGACCGAACTCTTTGTGAGTTCCCACCAGCAAGGCAGCGTGTGGAGCTCCTCTGGATCGGAGTTTAGTGAGATGGAAAGCGAACCGCGTATTTTGTTTTTGACCCTAGGTTATGCACCAAATGTTCGATCTCGAGAAGAGCCGAGCGTACACAATTTCAAAACGCTAAATTTGCATCGAGGTGACTTTGTTGCTACAGACGAACCAAAAGTACCTGACGAGAAGTTTTTTCCCCGATTCGCGAGTATCAATGCTGATGCAGCCTGTTGAAGCTGTAGAATTCATTACCCGGTGAGACTAGCGCTTGGAACCCGCCGTTTTATTGCAGCTTGGCACGATGGCACTGTGCCTGTGCTACATGCATCAACAACAACGGTCAATTATAGATGCAAAACTAAGGCAAACCGTTGACTCTGCATTTATCTGGTACAGGTCGATCTGTTTTTATTGTTTTTCTTGGGAAGCAAACTATCTACACATAGAGCCTCATAGAACTATATAGAAGTACATGCTACGTTCAACCTGTCCTAATGCTGTATGTAAGGGAAATGGCCAATCTCGGGCCAATTTTGGAGGGGTCCAACTTTTTCGTCTGTAACTTTTGATCTACGCTAAAGGAGTACACAGCTGGTATCGATGAAAAGCTTGTGATTTTGCTGAGTTGATTGGCTATTCAGTACCTTGTAGCCCACTGAAATAAACGCAGTATGGGTTACTGAACAACAGCGACAGCCCTTGCCAATTAAGGGCCGATTCGTTTGACTTGGTTTCATTATAGAACCGAAATCTGTCATTTGTATGGTATACTATAAGCGACCAGTCGATATGTGTACATGTATGGGATGCAGTAATCTCGACGGACAGTTTTCCTGAAGTAATGATAGCCAGCATCAACAACTGAAAATAAAACGTGCTTCCAGATCATAGGAAAGCTGAGCGCTGGGACAGATACATTACATTCAACGATAACACGGCAACGGTAACGCATAAAATACATACCCAAGAGCAAAAGTTACGATACAATTTATTATGAGGAATAAAATACATGCCTGCGCAACGATAGCACAACAGGTGTGGCCCCTCTTGTATTGCGCGAGCCACAGTTCATCCATGCACAGCAATTTGTTGGTACTGATGAGCACCAGCATTTTACGCCACAGACAGTGTCCAAGGGTTCCTGTGGTCACGAATAAGCACTGAGCTACAAGTGTTGTCAGTAGTAATGTCCTGTTCCACCCAGCAACATTGACGTTGTTTAGGACGCAGGAGGTCCGACTCGAGCGTATTTGCCTGCTACAACGCGCTACTTCAATGATCAGTTTTGTAGTTTTGCTATGCGCCTTCGATGCTTGCATATTGTATAAGACAACAACGCCTAGGGCACTTTTTCTTCATTTACAGTAGATATTTAACGGCATGCCGTGCTCTCCACCCCTCAACACAGTAAGCCCCAATAACGTTTCTGACAATCTCAGCGCCTCAGTAAACACCGACGTGGTGCGGCCAAGCCAGTAACAACACCGCAGCATGGCAGTCAATACTTGCTGCCCATCATCCAAATACCGCAGCACCGGGACTAAGTTAACGGTTTTTGCTGTACTGGATGTCTTGGAGGTTATGATATAGTGAACCAAAACAAACAAACAAAAACTTTTAGAAAACAAACGCATTGAAGCATCACGTCTGGTCGTGCATACATCTGCAACAAAACCAAATAGTTATCTAGACGGGCTCATCATCGTAGAGAAGCTCGTCCATGATACGGCGTGAAATGCGAAAGTAGACTTCTCGGAGCACAGGCTCCGCTGCAAACTCGAAAATATTTGTTAGCACGTGCTGGTTCAGCGGCTTCGTCAGTTTTGCTCCGGTTCGTCGTTTGATGCTCATTTCTGGTTCAGTTGCCGTACTGAGGAGCGCGATTTTTCTCCCACGCGGTAACGGTTCAACCGCGCGCCAGATCGGTTTGAGATGGTGGCGCCTGAACATTGGCAGATAGTGCTCGTAGCAAGGGTGGACAACCACTTCGCGATATGCCAGGTACTTGTCCCCAAATCGGTTGTAACGTGATGCTCGAGGTCTCCTGAATGATTTATGCGAGCTCGTACCCGGCGTGTACACCTGCTAAGGGGGCTGTCGTTATCTGCAAGAACCGCCGCAATAGCCGAAGTGGAATCCCAGTTCTGGTAAAGGTTCTCCATTCGCGTAAAAGCAGCAGAAATTCAGTCGAGCATCTACTACTCCTCCAGACAATGACAACTCCTCTAGACTTGCGCAACACTTGATAATTGATGATAAGTCATCTCTCGGTGCATCCAACATTAACCGTTTGAGCGAAGACCCAATAGCACCAAAGAAGAGAGTCAAACCGTCCGTAACTAACAGGGGATTCTTGTCGAATCGGAGTCTGAGAGAGGTCACTCCTCCACCGCTATCAACCGTGTTGTCTCTGCTGCTGATTTCATCGTCGCACACCAAGTCGCGCCGTCGCACTAGACATCGGCCGTATCCAGGAACGATAGCGTCAACCCTCGTGCTCTTGCCATCGTCGCTAAAGGTCCGAATGAATGGTACTGGGTCGTCCACCGTGATGGTTCGAACATTGGTTGAATCGCTTAGATCACCCAGCACACATCGAATACGTGAACCACCTTTTAGTGTTGCATCTCTCGCTTTCGCTGGACCAGGTGTCGAATCAAACAAGTCTTCTTCCGGGTGATCGGACGCCAGAATGAATGTAAACGCTGACATGTCCGACACAGTCATGCTAGAAATGATCAAGTCCACCGACTCCACAGACGAGAGCGCTCGAGCTCGGTTCGAAAAGAGAGCGTAAGCGAGCCATACCCACCACTTGGAGTTGTTTCCGTGGTCTCCTCTTTCCGTGGACAAGTCTAGCGATAGCTGCCTTGTCATCTGCGTTTGTACAACGGTAGAACACAACGCTCCAACATCACGAAGCAGCAGGTCGGAGCCACACAATTTGTCAATCTCGCCCAGCTGGAGCGGAGAAGTATCGTATATATCTGTGAGGCCAACACCAAAACGGTGGTTCGTGTATGCGGTGTCTGGGGGTCGGCGCGTACTGCTAAACACACTTGAAAGAAGCTGGCCGTAAGATTCTTCATAGGGAATGGAATAGTCATCCAAACAAAGGTCCAGTAGAGACAGCCAAATGTTCCGGTCTAGCAAAACTGCAAGTGTTGGGCCCATGTTCAGACCGAGGGTACCCAATCTTGCCATCATCGGCTCCATAACAAATGTGCATCGCCATTCTCCGGGCTCTGGTGGCACCGTCGCTCTCCATGGAAACAGAAAGTTTCACCCACACATGAGCCTCCAAGTCAACCCCCTATAAATGTTGGTCAATCGCAGCAATTTCCCTTAAGGTCTCCAGATATTCAGCTGTGGGGTGGAGCCGCTGGTGCACCCCAAAGAAGAAAACCAAGTCGAATTCGTGCGTCGCGACGTCACACAAGTCACGGATACGGTTGATTTGGCTCTGGTGGTCCAGGACTACCACAAACTGAACTGGAGTTTTCTCCTCGTACGCCGGTTCCCCATCGACGCCAAACTCCACGAGACACTTTTTTCTCCAGCAAATACCTCCACGCCGCACGATCCACGCTTGCTAGCAGCCAGCAGTGCCATGGCCTCCCTTACTTTCTGGAATTTTGGTCGGAAGTCTTCCTCTTCGGCGGTATTCCGCATAGGCAGTTCGATGCGTAGTAACCGACCGCACTCGGGCCCGTGCGCGTGACTCGGTTCTTGAGCATCGCACCAGGGGGCCAATAATCCCCAGAAAAGCGAAAAATGAGTAGGAGTGGGCGCAGATTTTGACGTGTGGTGGAAAAAATAAAATCTGGACAATGGCTACATCCCGTTATTTGTTATCATAACGTGACTATAGCCTGGCAAAATGCCACTACGTTCTTATACAGCGCTACTACATCTACAGCGCTGGCGGAAAAAGTGGCATTTAGACAGCACTTGTCGAAACTCTTGGCGTTTAATTTTTCATAGTCTCTCCACGAAAAGGGCGGAAAGCCATCGAATGTGTACTTCGGGCTGGTATTCGTCATCTTCATCCCTCGGCAAGCGGACGTATACTTGACGGAGTACGGGAGTAGCAGCAAACGCGAAGACATTGGACAGCACATGTGCATCCAGCCTGCAGTTTGATGTTGCGACAGACCCTGACTTCGGACGCCTCCTTTTGCTTCCCAACGAGTTCAACGGATCGGAGGATGAAAACACACTCAGGAGTGCAACCTTCGACTCTGTCGCGAGTTTAAGAGCTCGGCTAACGCGAGTATGATGATACTTCCTCAGTCGATGGATATCCGTAGATTCACTGGGCAGTGCAACCACGTCAACGCATTCGAGGTAATGGTTCACCTCCAGCATCTTCGAGAGTTTTTCGACCTCTACGTCTTCGATAGGGCGCCGATGGCGTAGCAAGTTGAGCCGCAGACGTCGAGCACATTTCGCAATCGGTGAATTAAGCTTTGCACAACTGCGCCAACGTCATTCCAGTTACAGTCCAGCGCTGGAAGAGACTGTTTGCTTCCTGGCGACCGGAGCTCCAGCGAAAGGCATGCACCTACGGCTGGGCAGCTCGGGGGTGAAGCCGCGGACCAAGCTGGTTTTCTGCGTCGCTGCGTGCGGCGGCGTATGGCGGCGGTCTTTTGACCGTCAGCCGGAAGGCGGGGCCTGTGGGGGGTCCACGGTGGTCTACATGTAGCCCATCGCGCCGTTCCCATTACAAACCAGGCCACGGGTGACGCCGTGGGCCCTCCTGGTAGTCATAGCCTACAAAGGTTGCGTGCGATACTGGCAGGTCACCAGATCGTCGGGTGCGGCACTCCAACGTGCGCACACCCTCCACAGCACTCGTAGTGACGCGCGGGAGCATGCTGTCAGTCAACGTGGCCTACGCTACATGGAGCTGGCTGCGACGGGGTGGTCCTCTCATGGTGCACTCATGGCGCGGCGGGGCGAAGAAAATCGCAGTGGCAGAGACCCAGATACGGCTGACTCGGGGAAGGTGACGACACGTCGCCGCATAAAGCGCTGCTGGGGCGCTCGCTGGTGGCCTGCAACACATTGGGAAGAAGGAACGCAAGTCGGTCCAGGAAAATGCAGTGGAGAACTCAAGCTTCGGAGGGCAGGCGCTGCTGAAGGAGCAGCGGGACCGCGTTCGCTGTCCGCGGTACCAAATCGACGGAAGTCGAGTAGACCGTTTCAACTATTCGGCGGGGCATCGGGAGATATGAGCTCGGTGTTGACGGTGGATGCGTCGGTCGTTATCTTAGTTAGGATAAATGAACTCAATCTAACCTCAACCTTGAAATGAAAAATGAAAGCGTCGTTAAACTCCAGGAACAGCGAGCAGATGCCGCCATGAGCAGCTGTTGGCGTCGTTTTTGTTTCAGAAAGCACGAGATCACTACGTTTGACCAGACATCCCCCAAAGCCCGGAACCACTGCGTTGACCAGTTCGCTACCCCCGTAAAAGGCCAAACTGAGCATGGCGTGGTCAAAAACAGCGGCTCAACGCCCTCGCTCGCCTGACCACTGCTCGTAAGCCGCCAGTAAACGGGGCTTCCTTCCATCAGGGTTGCATCTCTATGTGGGACTTGGACAGCCGCAAAGATCTTCGTCTGGGTGGTCCGATGTCAAGATCGACGCAAAGGCTTCGGCGTATTCGACCGCCAAACTGTCATGGAAAGCAAGTACTAGCGACTCGAGTGCTGAGGACTGGCGAGCTCGATTCGAGAAAAAGGCGTAAGTGAGCCATTTCCATTTGCGTACGCATTCAGCATGATTGATCCTATCGGCTGGCATCGAGATGTACATGCAAAGTTTTTTGGTGCTCTTGTTCGTCACCATAGCCGAGCATATAGCCGAACACATCGCCTCAAACGTGCTACTAGTATTGAAATCACAATGCAGGTCGACCGAGCCGAGTGTTTGTGGTGGGGATGTATCACTCGATGGAGTATCCACGTGGTAGCCCGTGTAGGCACGTTGGCGAGGACGACGCTCGTTGTCGAAGATGCACCACATCAATCTCCCGAACTTGAGTGTTGCCGCAAACGCATCTTCTCGAAGGCTGTCGATCAAACTGAAATGCACAGGTACGAGAGGGTTGGACTCATCACCAAGTCCACCATGCGATGTGTAATACGAGATTCTCCAAAATTTACACAGCGACCCTGGCTGAACGTCGACGTCCCTCGTAGTTCCAGTAAACGTCTCCCACTCCTCGTGCACCTTCAATTCAGCAGTCCAAATATTCTCCAGCGGCTTCAGATCTCGCGGCTTCAGATCTTGGTCTTGATTAATCTCTGGTGCCGAAAATTACACTTTTACGGGGATCACCACGTCCACGCCAGGCTTGTCCTTCGGTAAATTACCAGCAAGATCTGCAATTCGCTGCAATGTTTCCAGAAACCCCTCGCTTGCATCTGCTCGCTGCAATGTACCCGGACGAGGCCGTCGTTTAACTTTTTGGGATACTTAAGTACGCGCATTCCGTCCCCCTCTTGAGCAGATAAAGCTGGAACCGAACAGGAATATTTTCCTCGAAAATTTCATCGCCCTCCACCCCTAGATCCACGTCACAGTGATGCTTGAGCAAAAATCTTCACGCGTCATTATCCACGTGGCCCACAGCAGCCAACAGCGCCAAAGCCTCCTGAAACTCCTGCTTCTTGGCATCCAGCTTTTTCCCTGCCACATTGTGCACTGGAGCGTACACTGCGAGGAAGCGTCGCTTGTCCGCCCAGTCACCCTCGCCATCCTCCGGGGCCCTGTAGACGATTCGCCCGCGTAGTACGTCCGTCCACCGCCTCAGGAACTCCCACCGTTGCTCAAGCCCCTCCACCGTCACGAAATAACCAGGTTACGCTACGCGTGGCAGCGGGGTTACTCGGCTACTCTCATACTTCAAGAAGTAGTCCGTAAATGTTAATGCATAGTTATTAATACGCTGTAAATCCAGTGTACGTCACACGCATGTATTGTAGTCTCTAGGCAGCACCACCACTCGTGACCCGCCACTTCCAGCAAACCAAGGAATCACTCTGACTGACAAAGCGGAACCCTCTCGCTCGAAGCCACTCGTTGAAATGCCAATTTGATCGATCTGCTAGAAACTCGCAGCCTCCGAGCTCATGCTGGCAGTGGAGAAGCAGCCACTCCATGATTTCCAGGCGAGAAGTCGACAAGATGCACGCTGAAGGAAACCGAAAGTCTTGTGGCCGCTCTGCATACAGAAACATGACAATCTCAAAGTTGCCGCGAGACACAGCGTCTTTGATTGCCGCGGGGCTGCAGCCCTCGCTTCGATGTGTGTGAAGCCATCGGACAACTTCGAGATGGCCGGCGCTGCACGCGCTATCCATTGCGCGCGTCGTGCAGCCTTCCGTACGTTCATAGTGTAAAAACTTCACAACGTCGAGATAACCCCTCCCTGCTGCTGAATCCATCGCTTCGGTGCTGCATCCTTCATTTCGATTTATGTGTAGGAACTTTACAACCTCCAGTTGGCCTCGAGATGCAGCCATGTCGATCGTCGCAGCTGTGCATCCTTCGCTTCGGGTTTCATGAAGATATTTCACCACTTCTAGGAAGCCACCGACGGCAGCGCGATGCATTGCTGCGTTGGTACAGCCCTCTCTTCGGTTCTCGTGGAGAAACTTGACGACGTCAAGGTGTCCATTCGCTGCTGCTCGATCCATGGCAGCAACAGAGCAGCCTTCAGTCCGGTTGTAGTGTAGCCATCTTACCATCTCAAGGTTGCCTCTGGCTGCAGATGTATCCATCGCGGTCGTCGTGCAATTCTCCGTTCTGTTCGCACTCAGCCACTTGACTACATCCAAATGGCCACTCTCCGCAGCACTATCCATCGCTGCAAAAGTGCATCCTTCACTACGATGAACGTGTAGCCATTGCACAATTTCCAGAAACCCAAAGCTCGCAGCTTTGTCCATGGTTTGAGTAGTACATCCCTCCGTGCGATCTTCGTGTAGCCATGACACCACGTCCAAGTGCCCGTTCTGCGCTGCTCGATCCATGGCGGCTTTTGTGCAGCCTTCACTTCGATTGGAGTGCAACCATTGCACCACTTCCAGGAAACCCTTCCTCGCAGCGCCATCCATTGCTGCAGTAGTGCAACCTTGACAGTTATTTTCATGTAGCCATTTCAACATCGCCAGATCTCCGTTCTGGGCAGCCTTCTCAAACGCAGCACCCATACGACGCTCACCCAAGTCGTCATGCAACCACTGCACGATCTCCATTCGACCGTGATCGGCTGCTACCCCCACCGTTCGATCTCCTGGCCGAGCGTACCCATCTTGCACCGCCCACTTCAAAAACCACAGGCAACCATCTCCTGCAGCGCGATCGAAGTTCACGGAGCGATCCTCCAGCTCACAATTCATGACAACCCACTGTGCTAACTCCCAGTGATACTTGTCCTGCGCCGTCCTCTTGGCGCCGTCAGCACTGACTCCATACAACCTGTGTATCCATTCCACCAGGCCCTGATCTCCTTGCGCCGCAGCCACGAGCATCAACTTGGCAGCGCACTCTTGATGGGGTGCGGCATTAGCTTTCAGCCACTCTACAGCTTCAACATCCTGCTTCCAGATCGCTCCACCCATCTCCATGCCGCCCCAATATCCGAGATCCCGGTGGTGGGAATGTAGCCATTTCAAGATGCCCAGGTGTCCTCCAGCTGCTGCTGCACTGACTGTCTTGGTAAGGAAGCGGTTAGGACAATAGTACTCCGCGAGCCATTTTAACGTCTCCAAGTCTCCTTGCGCAGCAGCCGATGCCGCTGCGTCATTGAGAATGGACCACTTGTAGCTTGTATCCATGTTGGCTTGCTCTCGCGCACTCAGAAACTTTACCAGGCGCAGACTTGGCGTGTGCGCGTAGCCCGTAGCCACTGTCCACTGGAGCGAGACAACGTCCACGAACTCGTCGATGCTGCGAGCAACATGAGGAAGATCACCGCGCCGGGACGGTAAACACTCGCGGCAGACCAGAGCGACGGCAGTGAATAGCGGGAACCCAGCAGACGTACCCATCATTTCAGACTGTAAAACGAAGAGAGTGTTAAAATGCAGTTAGTGTGGGAACCAAAATAAAGCCATTTTGCGACGAGGCGAGTCCGAAGGAGCATTAGCAATTCTTAGCTCCGTGGTTCAATACTTACAGAAGTAAGCATGGCGGGCCCTAAAATTATTGGGTAATTTATTAATATTTGTAAAATAATTATTGGATAATTTATTTTTACTCATTGGCGTAACATTCAATCAACATTCACCAGATAATCATTTTGGTGTTTTATCCAGTCAAAAAAAAAATCGGCAATAATGACACGGCAGCACCGCTGGGGGTTGCTATCCCCGTGGTGCTCGGTGCTCGGTGCTGCGGAACCGGATCAGCTACCGCTGGCCCGAGCGCGAGGAGGAAGTCTGGGACATCGGCCGTCGTCGCCTGGAGGTTTATCTGCCCACCGCCCGCGACAAGTTCGAGTACGCGGGCTTGAAGTTCCCGAAGTATGCACTCCACAATCGGATGAATGGCCGCATAATCCTCTGTCTTGGTAAGCTTGACCAACTGCAACGACCAGCAAAAGACCTCCACCCAGCGGTTATGCCATCAAATCCGACAGAACACTGGTCCAGTACTCAGCGGCTGGAGAAACCGAATGCCAACATCAAGGCCACCCATCGATGAAGCACGACAGGTACGGCTTCATGAACCTTAGGTGCTGGCCTACTACTCAAAACCACTTCTTTTTGTTAGCTTTCACGTCTTCAAATTCAAAGAGCTTCAGTTGGATCGTTGCAGGCACGTTGCCTTGGCCACAGCAAAACGAAGCCAGGCCGCTAGAGTAGATGATATTAGTTGCTTGAAGGCCTGCTCCAATAAGATCCCGTGGCCTGGATGAAGGGGGCGATATACACAGTTAAACGCCAATCCGTGGATTTTCACAAGTGAAAAAATAATTGATAACACAGCGGTAGGTACACTATAATGCTACGACGAGAAGTTTCACTAGAATTGGTGTGAATTCAAATCGGCACGGGAACAGAGTATTCCCATGTGTCGCGAGTTGGTTTGAAGGAAAGAGGAATAGACTCGACGAAGAAGCGGAGGGGCTGCAAACAGGAAAATCTTCGACAGCAGATTCTCATCCAACCTACCCAACGAAGAGAGTGAAATATTTTCTTCATGTTTCCTCTTCCTGCTTGACTCCTTTGCATACTGCGGGAAAATCACACTCAGTAGCGCAACTTTAGCGTCAATCGGCAGCTTCAACAATCGCATCATGGGCTTGAGATGATGTTTTCTTAAGCCAGACACATCACCGAGGTAGCCCATCGGAGCGACTGCGTCGAAGTACTCCAGGCTTTTGTTTATCTCCAGCATTTGGTGTATCACGTTAATCGCGTCCTGAGGAGTTGCTTCGTTAGCCCCATTTTCTCTGTCCCAGTCACCCATCCAAATGTAGAGATGCTGTCGAAGCCGTCGAACGCATTGTGCGAGTGGGCTACTGTTGTCGGTTAGTCTTGTCAACAAGACACGAACATCGTCCCAGTCACAGCCCAACTCTGGCAGTCCTTGGTGAGTTGCCCGATAGTCGCAAAAGCTGAGTCGCGCCTCAACCCGGTGTCTGCATAGAGCGAACTCGTCCAAGTTCGGGCAACACTGGAAAATCACGCGGTCATCCAGTTGCAGACTGTCTTCTTTCAGTGAGAGAAACCTTAACGGACGACCGACCGCTGCTAAAAACTTTGGAAGCCCCTCATGGTCAACTTCGCACGGGCACGGGAATGAAAGCGTAAGTGATGTTACTCCACGCGAGCTCGCTCTCACTGAGGTTGTGTGCGCGAACACGAGGTCGCTTCGTTGAACTTGGCACCACCCAAAGCCAGGAATCATCACATTCACCAGCGTACTCTCTCCATCGTCGCTGAATGTTCGAACGGATGGAATAGGCTTGTCCAGTGATATCGGAATGGAATCCGTCCATGGTTGACCTTGGTCGTCAAGATCCCAATGAATCTCACTGTAGGCTTTCAGTGTCGCTTCTCGTTCTTCCACTCGGCCTCTGGAAGTCCCACACAGATCCTCCTCTGGATGCTCCGATGCTCCGATGCTACGATGCTACGATAGCGCTGAAAGCTTCCATGTCCTCGACGGTCATGCTGTCCACGGAAGTGAAAGCCAAACATTCGAGCGAAGAGTATTCACGAGCTCGCTTGGAGAAGAAGGCATAGGCCAGCCACTTCCAGCTTTCGCCACTATTGGTAGCGTACTTCGTGCTGATACACAGATGCATAGATACATTTTTGGCCGTTTGGTTGGCCACAATAGCCGAGCACATGGACTGGAAATCACGACAGCGCAGGGCGTGGTCACAGTCCAAATCAATCGTACCAAGCTGAAGTGGAGACGATTCACGTTCAGCTTTGCCGTCCGAGGCGAAGATCCTATTCATCGGATACGGTTGCTGCGGAGTGTTGAAGAGGGCCATCATTAGCTCTCCGAAAGTCAGCTTCGAAGTTCCCTTGACTTCATACAGCATGCCCAGCTGGCCCATCCACAAGGAAACTTGAGAGAACCACACATTCTCCTGCACCAATGCAATCACCAACTCGACGTACTCAAAGGGCGTCCCCCTCTCTCCAAAGTCCAAAATCACCGGCTCCATCACGAAAGTGCAGCGCAGCGATCCAGACTCAACTTTATTCTCCATGTTCCAGTCGTATATCTCCCACTCCGCTGTGACCAGTTTTTCCGCGTTCCAAATGGCTTGCAGCGCCCTCACCCCATCCGAGGGGTCACTCGTCTCAGCGAAAGCAGTCGCGCCGGGACTTTGATGTCAACACGAGGCTTGTCTAGCGGTAAATTACCAGCCAGATCTGAAATCTTCTGTAACGCGTCCAGATATTCTTGCCTAGCTTCGGTCCGTTGGTAGACTCCAAACCACCGAACGAGGTCTTGTTCCAGGTTTTGGGGGAAACTGTAGCGTGTATCCCCTTTGATCATGTAAAGTTGGAATAGAACAGCGATTTCTTCTTCGAATATTTCTTCTCCTTCCACGCCGAGGTCCACGCCACACTGGTGCCCCAGCAAGTATCTCCACGCGGATTGGTCCACGTGCACCACAGCAGCCAGTAGAGCCAAAGCTTCTCTAAACTTCTGGATCGTGGCCTAGAAATCGTTTTCCGCTGCTTCGCTGAGACTTCGCTCGTAGTTACGTGTCGTACTGTCTTTGAACCGCGCAGGGGGGTAAACTTCCAGGGAGCGTCGCTTGAAGGCCCATATGGCTTCATCCGACTTAGGCCAACAGTACTTGATGTGAGTGCGTAGCACCTCCGTCCATGGAGCGAGGAAGTCCCAGCGCTGCTCCATCGCGTTCTCAGATGGTTATACCAAGCGACACTGGTGTACATGTAATCAGTTACACTTTGGCTATGAAACGTAATCATGTATACTGAGGTGTATACTCCTCGAGGCGACAGATAACCGAGAGTGCAGGCGAACCAAGGGTCGCCATCGCAGAGCGGTAAAAACCCACCTTGGAGAGCAAAGGACACTGGGGCAAGACCTATTGAGAGGCATCAAAGAATTGCTTGTTCGACTAAGGAATCGGCTCACTTGACCCTGCCAGGCAGCGAGTGCTTTTATCAGCAACTTTAATAAGGTTATGCATCTGTCAGCTAACATGCTTGATCTTCCAGAACTTTGACTTCATCCCTATAACCACTGTCAGAAACTTTGTGGTCTTTTCAATTCACGTAAAACAATTTCTCTCTCGGTGAAGCATCTCAAGACCCTAAACGGCAAGCTGGCACTTCCAGTCATCGAAATAGCAACAGCGCTATTATAGTACGAACAAAAATGAAGAAAACACACTTCGAAGTGGTTTTTCTTCATTGTCCAGCTTCCACCACTCGACGAAGCCCTTATATTTCTTGAAACTTCACGGTCTGCACATGGTTGGAACGAAGAGATACGCGCACCGACCGTAGCTTCACGTTCACTAGGCATAACGGACATTCATTAATTCTGGCTGAAATCTACGACACCCTGTCCAGTCATCGACCATTCCTTCATTTCGCACTTGCATCGTGCCCAACAGTGCAGACTATATGGGAATGTCAAACAACTCTCCCGTCGGCCCATCATCGTGTGAACCATGAAGGTACACCTCCCGCAAAAGTCGAGGTGCAGCGAACTGCAAAAACTTGGAGAGCACGTGCTGGTCCAGCTGGTAGTATCCTCGGATTGTTTGCAAAGCACGACGCTTCCGCGTTTTGCTTGTCTTGGTAGTCATGTGGCGAGGAGTGAGCACACTCAGGAACGCCAATTTGCTCTCAAGTGGGAGAATGAACGCACGTTTGATAGGCTTCAAGTGGTGTTTTTGAAATGAGGCAACAGCTCACTTGAATGACGTACTGGCGTGATGATGTCGAGATACTCCAGAGTTTGGTTTGCTTCGAGCATTCGCAGAAGGCCACTCAAAAGATTATCAAAGTCTTGGCGGTCGGGAAGCATCCATGCATTCAGTAGATACACCAAACGCACTCGCATTCGACGCGCGCACTTTGCCAGTGGGTTGTTCGAATCCCCAAACTGGGTTGACAGAGCTGCAACATCATGCCAGTCGCACGTGAGATCAGGCAGAGGTAAGCCGTTCGCGTGATGCTCGCTGAAGTTAAGCCGCATATCCACCCCGTATCCTCCATACATCGCGAGCTCCTCTAGGTTTGGACAGCTTCTTATAATCCAGTTCTCGTCTATCTCGCCCCTGGCATCGTTCAGCGCTAAAAATTTCATGGGAGGCCCCACAACAGCGATGAATTGAGGCAAACCGTCAGCCTCGTATGGATCAAACTTTTCGAGCCTAATGTGAAGCGAAGGCACGACCGATGCACTGGGCTCCTCCTCGGTAGACTCAGCAAAATCCAGATCGCTGCGCTGGACTTGGCAAACCCAGGGATCATGACATTGACGAGCTCACACACTCCGTCGTCTCTTAATGGACATACTGGCCGGAAATTGGAGGCCAATTCTTAATGGAGGGGCTGCGATAGGCTGCAAACCAGCTGAGCTGATTGATGAAGTACGGCAGAACTGGAGCCGGATTGACCTGGGGTGGCTGGATGACGAAATGACGGAGTTCGAGGTTCGAGAAGCGCTCAAGCGATGCAAGCGTGGCAAGGCAGCGGGGCTGGACAGGCTGGGAACTCGTTCTACCGAGACTTTGAGGATAAACTTGTACCCATTATGACCCGCTTTGCCAATATGTGGCTTCAATCAGGAGTGTTCCCCACTTCGTTCAACGAGACCTACATATTCAGTATCGCGAAAAAGCCGCAGGCAACACACCCGCTTGACTTCCGGTCGATATCGCTTCTAAATAGTGACTACAAGGTACTCATGAAAATTTACACACAGCGTATGAGGTCATGCGTCGCGGAACTGGTCCACCCAAACCAGTGTGGCTTTGTACCAGGGCGCATAATTCATACTGCAATTGACTTACAGGAGGCAGCAACGGCGTCGGAGCGTTCCAGAGATCCTCGAAGCACTGCCCAAGCACTGCTGCTTGATTTCGAAAAGGCCTACGACTCAATTGACAGGGAATTCATGTTTGCATTGCTGGAAGCGAAAGGGTGCCCGCCCAAAATGCTGACCATGCTGAAGCAGCTCCACGCCAACACGACCGCAACGTTCCTGGCCAATGGATACCCCTCTAAGCCTATTCAAGTTACAAGCGGAATAAGGCAGGGATGCCCCCTGGCCCCTATCCTTTTCATCATTACTCTCGATGTTCTGTACGATATGTTAGAGGCCTGTCTTGAGTTTGAAGGTATTTCCCTGCAGGGCGTAGATGGTGTCACGAAGTTGAAAATGGCTGGATACGCCGATGATACGGCAGTGTACGTGGAGAATGGAGATAAACAACACGTGGTCTTGGAAGTGGTGAATAAAGTCTCTAACTATTCTGGATTACACGTCAACATTGGCAAGTCGGTAGCGTTGCCACTTGGAGCAGCGGAAGATGCTACACAGACACGGCCACCAATCGAACAACCAATTCCAACGGATACCGAATGTCGGTACCTAGGTCACTGGACGGGTGATCTCAAGACAGCGTGGTCCAGAGCCTTCGAATCGCTCACTAGCCGATTGATCCTTGCTAGTAATTCTGTCCTGGATAGGGTCAAGCTCGCTAATGCCCTAATCTTGCCGAAGATTGCCTTCGTTGCGCCTGGCATGCTTGGCCATCGACAGAATTAATCAAGGAAGCAAGTGCCCGGATTAAAAACTTCGTGTAGAAAAGTTCTTTTGCGATGCCTTCAACTCCTATAGCAGGCTGGTTGCAGTGCAAAGTGGCTGAACTTCCCCCAAAACCAAGGTGGATTATCCATGCCAAACGTGGTGACAGAGCTGTTGGCACTTGGCGCTAAAACGGTTGAAGCGTGGGCGCTCACAACGAATACCACAATCAAGCACGCGGGCGACATCCTCCGCCAGGTGCAAGCTGAAGATGGTACGGAGATCTTCTCGCATGTGGTACCAAGACCTAAGCAATTACCTGCGTGGAAAGCGCGTATCACTTCGCGCTTCAGGAGAGACTTGGTTCCAGTATGCGTGCACGTCATCCAGTTCGAACGGTGTCGAGCTTGCGCGAGAAAATCTACGCAATCAATGTAAGCTCAGTCACGGGGTTCGTACGAGGTGGAAAAATGGAGGCCTAGAATGTGATTTATCCTCGCTGCTCGAGGGCCCCGTGGCAGACTTGGGGAAATTATTAAGCAATGAGCATGGGAATTTATAATCGACGGTGTTCTAGACTCTCGCGTCTATGACGTAAGGTATCTGTGTGAAAATACGAGATTCAGTCCCCCGAGCAGGAAATTTTGAGTTGATCTCCGACGAGTCGGGGAGATAGCTACACCCAGATGGATCAAACCTGGAGTAGTGGAATGGTCCTCAGCCAAGTTTCAATACCCAATACCATCCAAGCAAGCGACGCAGTTTCGCGAGTAGCGTTGTCGCTACTCTCGGCATTCCCAGGATTGCTTCGAGCGCCAACCCCGTCTCAAAGCATGCACGTCAAACATGATGCAAAAGGGTGCTGGAAGTTTATGCTCACGCACAAGCCGGGAACTGCACTCGTTCCGCGCAGTGACACAAACCCCATCCCGATTGGACAGCAATGTTTAGAAGGCGCGATTGCCAAGGCCATCGGCAGCCAGCCTCACCGCACAATTTGTACCAGAGGTCCGAAATAATAATTGCGATCCAATAAATAATTGGGCTTTGCAATACTATTTTTGCAATTATTATTGAAGATCAACGATTCCAATACAATACAGTATTGTACCAATTATTGACAATTAATATGAAAAAAGGTTGCACGGCGCCAAACATAGCAAAGTACGTCATAAAATGATAGCTAGGTCTACATACGCAACGATTAAGGCGTAGTAAAAACCATAATGGGCAATCAACATCTTTAGAAACCAATATGTACGCAAGTCAGAACATCAATGACGCCCAGATGTAGTGAATCCTGCCGAACACATCACATCAGGGGACGGCAGCGGATGGCAATCCACTAGGGACTTGAGCTTAATGTTTTGATATAGTGATTACGCCTTTGAGGCAATTGTAGAAGAAAAAGCGAAGTGGGTCCGCGAAGCAGTTGATCATACAAAATGCTTAGTCTGTAACCAGGTGCACACACTATGAAGTGTGTCTGTGTGAAGCTTGACTGGTCATGATGCGGTGAACCCATTACCTGTGGCTCGCGTGGGTCACCGCCGCGACATGCTATCGAGCCCTTAACTGCGGTGATACCAAGGTGAAACCCTGGAATCCACTACACCAGATTTACGATATATAGCAAGATCCAGATATATCTCCCTCACGTATTACTACCGGTAGGTTGTTTTAAGCATCCACCATGCAAAGTTTTCTAAAGCAACACCCCAAAAAGTGTTTCTAAACGACTCTGTAATCATATGACGCACAGAAAGTGGTTTATTTCTTCTGTAGAAATGCCTCAAATTGAAGAGCAGTATATTTATATTGCGGCAACTTTTATTATTTCTCCTTGCTGAATTGTAATTTTTATTACGGTCTAATCTCGTACTCAATTCAATATAGTACTGTATTTTCGGACCTCTGATTTGTACTCCTCATAAGTGGATCACGAGGATGTCGCTAACTTGGACAGGAAAACGGAGATGGAGACTAACAACCAAACAATACAAGAAGAAGATAGCAGCCACACGAGCAGAGCAAGGGAGGCTAGTCCTGACGCGGGCCCAAGAAAAGCTGGTTGCAGAAGATGAGATCATTGGAACCGCATTAAACAACATGACGTGGGATCAAATTCGTCACATCATCGGAACAACCACGTATGAGCAGCAGGTCCTGCATAGATTAAAACTTCACGGTTTCAAATGGTGAGGTTTGTATAAGCCACTTTATCCTACAGCAGTAAGTTAATGAGCTAGATACCACCGTCGCTTCCGAGCCTATACATCTCGTCCGCCCGCCGCATAGTTGAAACGGTCCATGCAACTTCTGCCAAAATTCCACACGGGCAGCATCGCGGTCCCTACGCCCCATCGGCGTCGCCTCCCCCTCCCCGAAAACCGAAGTCTTCTCCACTGCACTTGTCCAAGCAGATCTGCGTTCCTTGCTGCCGTATATGTTGCAGGCCATCGTAAAGCGCCCCTGCAGCGCTGTTGATTCCCCAAGGCGCTCCGTATAGCTGCCTTAACACTGCAATTTCTGCCCCGCCGCACCATGAATTTCGCCGGTATCACCCACCCACGTCGCAGACCAGCTCCTTGTGTCGCAGGCCACGTTGACATACAGCATGTCTCCGCTCGTCACTGCGGTACTGAGGATGGGCTGCGCGATGCACGCCCAGCGACCCGGTGACCGGCCAGGACCGCGCACATGCCAGTAAGGCATCAACTTCCAGGTGGGACCACGGCGTCACCAGTGGCCTGGTTTCTACAGGGAAACGGCGCGGAGGACAACACGTCCCCCGTGGCCCCCCCCCCCCATGGGCCCCGCCTTCCGGCTGACGGTATAACCGCCGCAATATGCCGCCGCACGCAGCGACGCAGAAAACCAGCTTGGTCCGCGGTGCCACCCCCGAGCTGCCCGGCCGTGGCATGCGAGCACACCGGCCAGGTGCACGCCGTCCACCGGAGCCCCGGTCGCCAGGAACGACTGGCTCCGCCGTCGTCCAGTCGTGGCCAATCAGAGCGCTCTCGATGCTCACCGGCGCACTCTGATTGGCCGGACCGCTGGGTCAGCCGGCTCTATCGCCGGACTGCCCGCTGATTGGCACTCCAGCCGGCTTGAGCTCCACGGCGCAGATTGACGAGTAGATTAAAACTCCACCGCTGTGGAGGGTGGAATGAGGCTTCTAATTCTATGGCCTGCCCCCACGAAATCTGCACAGGGTTAGCAAGTACACCCAGCCACATTTTCTGGTCGTGTCCAATCGCGAAGCTGGCCTGGGGTAGTTTTCTTGAAGGCTGGAGGTCTGCACATGGAGGACGTGAATTTGGAACGGAAACTTAGATTTTTTTCCCTGAAACTCAGGTTGCCACGTCGAAAGATGTGCAAAACATCGATTTGACGGAGACGCGACTAGCTTCTCTTTTGAAGTCGCGAATTCGTATTGGAGAGCAGGTGTTGCCAGTGTAATCAGCTTTATCTGGCGGTTCCGAGTAACTGTCTTGTACTCAGAGACAACCACGAAGTTTGACCAGCACCTCCTTCTCTCTCAGCTAAAAGCAAAACTGCGGCGTAGCTATACGCAAGTTACTATGGATACGCCTTCGACACGGGAAACAGACGCACAGTGGCAAGTCACAAAATCCATCCATGGAGAGCTACTAAAGAATGCGCTCCAGCTGCCAACATCAACGCTGGTGACGCGGCCCCCGGTCGTGGGATTCGTCCATGGTTGCGCTAGAGGTTCTCCCAGAATTGGAGGCGGCAGTGGAATACTTTGTGCCGACCCGCACAGCGTAATTTGGGCTACTAGTCTAGTCTTTCCTTCCCCAATGTGAACATTCAACCCAGCGAGTTTCGTGACACTTTTTCGTCTCCTCGGTGCAGCTGACAGACTAGGAGTCAAAGGAATTCATGTTGCCGGAGGTTATGATCTCGTGATAAGGACGCTGAATACTCGTACTCTCCCCCCCCCCCCCAGGCTGCTCGGCTACGGGGTTGGTTTTTTAAATGCAGACACATGGCTGACAAGGTCCGAGTTGAGTCATGGATGCAAACCTCCAAAGCGGCAAACCAAGGTTCGTGTAGTCTGGCAACTGCAGCGGTGGAGTCTGGGCAGACGCTGGAACCAACACCAGAGTACCTCATCTTGACATTCCCCAGAATGCCGCAGCTTCTGCAAGAAGGCCTCGTGGAATGGTCTAATAGAAGGGGAGACGCGCAGGTTCTGCTGGCAGACTCCGAAGAGTAAAACCACGGCAGTAGGATTGTTAGGACTCGGAAGCTACCAGTTGTCCAATATACCTCATCATCATCATCATCATACACTCCGTCGTCACTGAAAGTCCGGACAGAGGCAACGTCAGCCTCGAACGTGAAGGGGCGGGCATCTCTTCGCCGTTGGCCTCGATTATTGAAACGATAGTAAACTGGAGATCCTGCTTTCAGCACCGCAATTCGTTCATCAAGCTCCCCGCGGGGGCAACCGTAGAGATCTTCTTCAGGGTGCTCACGAGTTTAAGATGGCCGAAAATGCCTCCACATTCTCCTCAGCGATTCTCCCGATAGAAATCAGCGACAGATCCTCCAATGACGACGACGCGCGCGCGCTCTTAGAAAAGAGGCCGTAAGCTAGCCATCTCCACCAGTGTCTGCTACCAGCAAAATCATCATGGCCCATTTGCAAGCGCATGGATGGCTTCTTCGACGTCTGGTTGACTGCTATTATATCGCCTTAATCTCAAACTCCTTCAAGTAATACGGACATTCCAAGTGGACTGTGCCTATCCGAAGTGGGTCCGACCCAGGCCTACTTGCACCGCCCGACGCACTCCGAAATGCATGAGCCACCAGCTGGCCCATTAGCTGCTTCGACGCGGTTTCATCAGATCTGAGCTTGCGATTAATCGATAGCCCCAGTGACAACTGAGAGACGCGAGTATTTTCAACCACCATGTCCTTCACCACTTCCACAATATTCTCGTCGATGTGGTATCCATTAAATTCCGCAATCACCGGTTTCAGCACGAAGGTGCAGCATAAGCACCCTGAAGTCACATATTTCTTCCTTCGACTTTGTTGGTACTGCAACGTGTTTAGCCCCACACGCTCGGGGTTGGTCGCGACCGTGCTGATGCGGTCTGAAGTCCGTCTGGCCGTCGATGTCAAAACGTATGACACCGCACCGGTGGGTGTCCGACTGACAGCCGCACCTATTTTATTTAGATGAACTAGTCGCGATATCTGCTACCGTCTAACTACAATGCACGTCTACATGCCGTGCACGAACTGAGTTCCGATCTTCTCGCCGTCTCTAGCCACTCGGGTGTACGCCCACTCGCGCCTACCCGACTCGTCGCAGCCGTCGAGAGACTTGGAAGCCACGTGCTGCCTCGTTCGTCACTCTGCCGTCGTCCACTGCCGTGTAGCCATCCACCGAGTCCGTGGCGGCGTCTAGCCACGCTTCGTCCACATTTCGTCCGTTCGTCTCACGCTCGCTCCCGAGCGCGCTGTTGCTGACTTGTCCGGCTGCTCGCTAGCCGTCCAAATCGGAAGTGAGCTCACATGTCGAGCTCGCAGTACTCATGCTGCCTGAGGGGCCGGGGTCCAGTGTTGCCGATCCTGTCGACCACGCTGTCCGCTGGATGCACGTCCCACTCCTGCACCAGCTGCAACACCGCCAATTGGCGTCGCGGCCGAGCTCGCTCGTGCCCGTGGCGTCCACTTCCTTACAGTACGCTCTCCATTGCTCCTCCACTCTCTTCTCCGCCGCTCTGATGTCTCTTAGCAAGTGTTCACACTTGCCCTTACCGGTAAGACTTACCCCCGGATAATTTACGGAAAGTAAGCGGGAACTTTTTTTAGGTTAGACTTAAGATGCGGGATTGAATCAACTGAGAACCCTCTCACCAGACTGGTGACCAGTCGGCACTAAGCACCTTTCTCCCGTCCACGCAATTTAAGCTGACGCGGGGAACAGTGACGCTCTACGTGGCACTCATTTCCACGAGTCTATCGAGCTCTGAGCGCAGCAATGGCCATACATATTATGGTGGAGGTGGGACGATACTCTTGTCTTGTTGACAAGGCTAACCTACAACAGTAGCCCTCTTGCGCAATGCGTTCGACGGCTTCAACTGCGGGTCTTCTTATGCCGGAATTTCCTGCTGAGTAGGTCCACAACAAGAGAAAGGTCACAGCTCTGTCCATCTGTTTGGTGCGCTGGATGCGAACGTATTATCGAAGATTTTCCCGTTTGCAGCCCCTGCACTTCTTACTTGGGAATACTGTACATGTATCCTGTTCCCGTGCCAATGCTGATGTAACTTCTTGTCCTGGTACTGTACTGTACCTTCCGCCGTGTCATCATTTCTTTCGCGCATGTGGGAATTTACGGATTGGCGTCCAAAGTTGTGTTTATCGCCTCCAAGGGATCTTATTGGAGCAGACCTTTAAGCATTAATGTCGTCTATACTAGCGATCTGGATCGTCCCTCTGTGCTCGAGGCGACTAAATCTACCCTGATCCATCTGAAGCCCTGTACAAGCACATCCGAAGACGTGAAAAAACTAACAAGATAAGTGATTGTGACGAGACCAGCGCTTCCGGGGTCCCTAAGTCTCATCACGCCGTTCCTGCCGCGCTTCACCGACGGAAGGCTTCATGCTGCCATTAGCTTCTCCAGCGGTCGAATTGCAGCGGCTGGCGTGGAGGCTTTTGTTAGTCGTTGCAGTTGGTATGGATTATGGAGGCAAAGGACCCAAGCTGGAATCCAGCGCCTAAAGATCCCTTCGGCGATAGGCCTTTGTCATGTACATAGATACTGTATATGAAGGTCCTCGTACAGCCGAGTACATGTATTACAATACATGTACATATCGCAAGGGAACGCATCGATTGCAAAGATCGATTATGGGGACATTCATCCGTTTGTGGAGTGCATAGACTAAATACATGCGGGATTGAATCAACTGAGAACCCTCTCACCAGTCGGGACGGCACGGAAAGCACGTTTCTGAACAAGTTGAAGACCCCCCCCCCCCCAACGCACTTGGAGTTGACTCGGGGAGTAGTGACGCTCTACGCGGCAATCATTTCATCGAGTCAATCGACCTCTGAAAACAGCGATGGCCATTTAGTGTTCTTGGTGCCTGCATCAAGCGTCGAAATCTGCACTGTAGGGCCTACAGCGTAGGCATCTTTCGGTGTACGGGACCCGCATGTATGAGACGAGGTTCAAACTTCAGACTGTACTGTACACTCGTGATAGTCACAATCCCATAGGAAACTTCAATGAAAGGGGCTGCATCAAGCACCAACTTGGTGCTTGATGCAGCCCCGGCCCTTGGTGGCCAAGGGCTCCTTGGGTGTCTCCTTGGCAAGGAGACCACGTACGCGCTGAGGCCCTCTACTTACCGGTACAGTATTTGCACACCGGCAGCGTTGCACAATGGAGGTTTGTTGAGGAGGGCACGCCGCCGCAGCACCGAAAGGTAACATGGCGCAAGACCAATGCCTGTCCCATCTATTGTTCACAGGTCGAAGAACTGTGCTTGGCCGGCAGACATTTTTTGTAACTTACCGAAACCGGGTATATTCTATCTAAAATAGGGGAAATGTTAACCTAAACAAGTACATCTAAAAGCTTTGAATGGCTACAACAAGTATTACTCTGCATCTCAGCGGTTGATTGCTAACTTTCACACTAAAACCTAAGGTTACCACTAAATGCTATGATGCTATAATTCATTTTTGTGCTAAGGATTTCACGACTACACTATGCTGCCGTTCCATGTTTGGCGAGCGTGTCTAATGTGAGACGATGCACTAAGCTCTCAACACTTGAGGCGTACAGCTTACGTAGCTCAAGCTAGCAGACATGATAGCACGAGATATTGCCAAGCGTTGCCCAGCGATAAAGTATGCTTCAGCGGACTCGGAGGGTGTTAATAATATCTTCACTGCAGATTTGGATAGCTGCATGTTATTATAGGTGGGATTCTGTACCATAACGAGCTCTGGTTCGAATGTAGACGATGCGATGAGTTGCGCAAATTAAAATAAAAAGAGAGAGCGATCTATCTGCCTGTTGGATGAGCTCATTTTGCGAAACTCTGACGATTGACTACTAAGGCTTCGCGGGTGCTGCGATAGCTCGTCTAGACTTGTCTAATCTGCATTGCAAGCGACTTCGGTGCGCCGCACATGCTGCGCTCCAGTCATTCTCTGGATACTTAGATACTTCCCCCACTCAATACGATAGTGGCATCAAAATTCATAGCAGCAGGGTTGCGTGCTTTAGCCCTGTTTGGGGAATGAGCACTTCTCTTTCCGTGTGAAATTGATGTGGACTACATACATCACTTTTTTTTGGGGGGGGGAGGGGGGTAAGAGGTCCTCTATTTACGTTTAACGAGAAACTATAGAGTCCTGGAATCGCTGTAGGGTGTACATACACCACTTTGTGAATCTATCTGCGATTATCGGTATCTATCCGGGTGCACTTCAACTTGAGTACCCTTAGCTTCCGGCTAAGTTTCGATGTACCAATATATCGATTACGCATGTAAAACCTCAGGAATGGTTTCGAGCAGTGAGCTACCAAAACGTTTCGTGCTTTTGACGATCTGCAGTAGCTTTAACTCTCTCTCTCTCTCTCTCTCTGTATATCTAGCTGGCTTAGCTCAATAGTTTGTGAGTGGATACCACGTTTTTGATCCGACCCAGAGCATTTAATTTTGTTCAGTTTTGAGGCCAAAAGCTCGTCCTCAGTAGCTTCTTAACGTAGTTCAAGAACTCGACTTAGTCGACTGTCAGCAAACGATTTATTTAGCAACTATTCGTTCTTGCCAGTAACGTTATCCTGCTACTGTAATGTTCATCGATTGATTTCTGAAGCCTTATTAACAGAAATGGCTACAAGATTAACTTGCGATTTGAACATGTTTCGCTGAGATTATTACTGGTAAATACCAGTTCTCTGGATTTTATCCAGAGTCCAGGAGTGAAGGCCACTGAGGTGCCATTATTCTCACATCAAATACCTGCTAAATATGGGTTTGAGCGCTGCTGATGTTTATAGCTAAAATACCTGTTATACTGGATAGCCTGCGATCTAATCAAATTATGCTGCTATGTTGACCCATCCGCTTGAGATTAAGTCAAATTACCTATTATTTTGCATACCCTTTAATCAAGTATATATACCTGTGATAGATAGTTTATCCGCCACTCAAGCGACATCCATCGGATTTTTTTTCGCTCCAACAACATGCCAACGGGATCCCGCCCCAGTTGCTAGAGGGGCATTGCTTCGAAAAATGTTGTATCTTCGCTTCTCAGCACCGCCAAGTATCCTATACACACTCATACTTTTACCAAATTGGTTTCAAAAATATATGCACGAAGTGCCGGGTTTGCATCAGATTTTATTAAAATGACCGGGTTTGGAGTTTATAATATGGAAAACGGTATAGGCAGCACGGGGACCGATGCCACGAGCGAGCGCAGCGAGCACTGGTAGACAGCGCGCGTGTTCCCAACGTTGCAACAAGCTGATCAACTAGAACTTGCATGTCCGAGTCAACCGTCGCCGCCATAAATGAAGACAGGAAAGAGGCTTGACGTAACAGCAAGGGATCTCGTGCCGCATCTCGTAGCTTTCGACCTCTTTCAACCGTAAATCAATGTATAGTCTTTTGCTTAGTCCTGGTTTCCATGCTACAGTAGTAAATAAACACTTTCCGAATCATTATAAGTGGCTTTGGCGTTGCCACCGTTGGCCGCTGAATCGATTGCAACAAATTTCCGGGTGGGCATCGTTAAATATCCCCCACAGTTCCAGGCTAAATCGTGCTCGAGCATTCAGCAAGCCAATATATCAGTACATAGCTTATTTAACTACCTGACAGTAGCCGAAAAAAAAAACTAAAATATCACTCAAACCAACGCTTACTGATTCTCTTATCCACCATATCATCGTCCATAATAAAACCCAACCTGCTCAACATGAATTCAATCAGCTGGACAACGTTAATGGTGATCATGCAGTAAGGCGATCGCTAACTGAGTAAGATGGAATCTGTACTTCCAGCCGACCGATCAAGTGCACGAATTAAGACCGTTTGATACTGAATAGGAAGGTACAAAACATCATTTGGTTATACTTCGGTAGTGTGACCCGTACGACCCAAGGGCATCTCCTGAGCCTGCTTCGCAGCCGCGGCATCTGCCCAGAAATTGCACCGCTATTAGTAAGAAGAAACTGATTCACAACATAACACAGGGGAAGTTGAGGATTGTAGCAAGCTAGCCAACCCTGACGATCTTAACGATGTCGATGCCGTCTACGTAGATGTAGCCGCGATTATTGACGATTCCTGTCGAGTTGAACGGGGTACCGAGCTCCATCAACTTACTGGAACGCGTTCTCGAGAGACGGCATCAGCTCACGGCTCCGGTGCTGAAGCTGCCTGCGCATGAGGCCTGAGTCGCATGACCTCTGGGTCTTCACTAATGATGCCGGTCATATGGCTCTTGCCACATGCCATAGCTAATGATGTAGCTGCCAGTGGCCGATGCTTTCGTCGTAATGCCTAACTAATAACACTGTAACTTTATATGCACAAGAGCGACGTAAAATCCAGAGCTGTTCCGGGCAGAGCACGGCCTTGTTTCAGAGGTCAACTTTCGATTAATTCGACCTGTGTACTCTCCCGGAGCGAACGCTCCGGGTCGCCTATTAACCAGTGGTTGCGAGCTGTGCGTTGTGACTGGAACAATGCACTTGTCCTATTGACAAGAATACTAGCCCACTTGTGCAAAGCATTCGGCGGGTTCGAGTGCGGGTCTTCAATTCGGAGTGGGGAACGACTGTTGATGATGAGATTATTAAATAACGATGCGGCGTATGTTGGAGATGGACGAGAGACTAGAGAATTTCAATCTCATACATGTAGTCTGGTAGACCATCGCGCTATCGTGATTGACTTGATAAATACTATCTCCAACCAATTACAACTGTAGGCGACCTTTAAGCTGCTGACTAAGGCTAAAATCAACTGAGCAAACCGCTATCTGCGGTGTCTTCATCGGCACGACATGGGGCACCACGTTTTTGAACAAGTTGAAGCCCCCGGCGCGTGGGGACCAAGTGAACGTCCGTGTGCTGCCTACATACAGTCAGTAGCAGTACCAGCACTTGTTATCGCGAATGCTTTTCTCTGACAGCCCTCGGCGCGCTCTGGACTCCACGCACTTTATGTTGCTGCTCATGGAAGTCGGAGAATGGATATCTGTCTGGATCGAACGTCGAAAATCGTGAGCGCCGTCTTTCGGTGAACGGAACTCGTATCTATGAGACGAGGTTCAAACTTCAGATTATGGTAATCACGGGAATGCAAGCATCACAATCCCTCAGGAAAACTTCAAGGAAAGCGGAAGCACCAAGCACCAAGGCGACGGTACGCCTGATTAATGCAATGCCGATGGAAGGAGGTACATGTACATGTAGTGCCTGCCATCTACAGGGTAGTGGACTCCTTCGTGCCTCTGCTGATGTACGTAGCGGCTAGGAAGCCGACGCGTGAGTCACCTTGGTCATGCTCATTTTGCCTCCTTCCAAGCACAAGCATCACGTGGACCCTACCAAGCCAGCCGCCATGTTGAAGTCGTGGCTCGCCGCTGTCGTCTTCACGGCCCTGGGGCTCTCGACTCAGTCCGTTGTCTCTGCGGACGAATGGGACGCGCGCGCCGACGCCATTATCGGCCAGATGACCCAGATCGACGTGTCCGAGGTCATGACGGAGGACGCCTGGGAAGTGGACGAAGACAAGGTGCGCGAGTTCGCCAAGATGCGCGTGGGCTCGTACCTGACCAGCCCGCTGAACAATGGCGGCGTGAACGGCACGTACATGTGGACAACCGAGAAGTGGCGCGAGGTCGTGACTAAGATCCAGGACATCACCATGGAGGAGAACGGAGGCCACCCGATGGTCTACGGCGTCGACTCGGTGCACGGCGCCATCTTCGTCAAGGGCGCGGTGCTCTTCGGCCAGCAGATCAACGGCGGCGCTTCGTTCAACCCCGACCTCGTGTACGAGCAGGGCCGCGTGACCGGCAGGGACACGGAGGCGTCGGGTGTGCCATGGATCTTCAGTCCCATCCTCGGCATCTCGCGCAACCCGCTCTGGCCGCGCACGTTCGAGACATTCGGCGAGGACCCGCACCTCAACTCGGTCATGGGTGAGGCCATCATTCGCGGAATGCAGAGCAACAACAACACAGCTGCCTGCATGAAGCACTGGCTGGTGTACACCAAGACCCCCACGGGCCACGACAAGGACGCGGTCCAGGTGAGTGACTACGACATGCTGACCTACTTCCTGCCCCCGTTCAAGGCCGCCGTGGACGCTGGCATGCTCAGCGCCAAGTCCGGTATTGAGCAGGTCGTGGGCAACAACAGCTTCAGCTACTTCAACGGCCTGTACCCGATCGGCACGTACTCGGAGGCGGACCTGGCCACGGCCAAGGAGATGGCCAGCAAGGCCGAGTACACCATCACTGTCATTGGCGAGGAGACGTACGTGCTCATGTCGACCGAAGCGTGAGACAGCGACAAGCGAGTGGCCTCCGTCTCATTACGCGCCGTGCGGTGGAAGTCCGTGAGCTGGTCGATTTCGGCGTAATCGGTGACCATCATGCCGTCGAAGCCCACATCATCACGCAGCAGCGCGTTCATGACCTTGGTGTTCTGCACGGTCGGGGCGCCGTTGATGGAGATGCCGCCGAGACGTCGTCGTTGTTGCCGATCAGCTCCAAGTTCTGCTCACCGGGCACGGGGGTGTCGTACAGACCCAGCTTGAGCTTCATCTTGCCCACGCGGCGAGCGGAGGCCTTGAGACGCTCGAGGTACTGGGTGCTCGCCCGTGCTGAGCGTGAACGTAGCGCACAGCGGGTTGGCCGCGGCCGTCTCGTCGCAGTTCGTCTCGGGCTTGATGGCTACGACGTAGTCGCAGTCCTCCGCCACCTTCTTGAGGCCGTGGCCGATCTGCGAGTAGTACACGCTCCAGTCGTCCGACATGAGCGTTAAATTGACGGTCTGGGTCTGGCCGGGCTCGAATCGCGAATTATTTATTTAATTTTCGGCCACCATATTGGTACCGTGGGGCAAGTTAAACCATCAAACTCGATGAAAGAGTTCCCACTAATCTGTCACCGGTACTGAGTAGACCTGAATAACGTACCTTACCATGTCAAAGTCCACCTTACTGTACAATGTGGCCGGAAAGCCCTCTACCGCTGTACCAGGCAAGAGTCTGGATTTTCATGAGAGACACAGGACGGGAGCAAAGACGAATTCACCTTCCGTTTCTCTACCGAGCTTAAGCTACGTTCAACGTAGGTCATAGAACAACACTCCAACACATTTGATCATACATGGGTACCGGTAGTTTTGGGAAAACCGGGTTCCCGATGGGTACCCGGGTTCCCGCCAATTGTTTCATTTGCCGACGTGTCTTCTGCGCTCTTATTGTATGAAATACGATAAATGTGGGTGGTTTGTGGCGAACTGAACACAACCGTTCCTCGGGAGCAAGGGAGAATTAAGAAACCAGGCCGCACTAGCATCGCACGAGAGCACCACTGTAGACAATATGGCTGAAGAAACGCGAATGAGTGTCCAGCTAGAGGAATCGGTGCATCGTACGTACTCGAAGGCATCGAACGTTCGCCCGCAGAACACTTCCCGGGCGTACACGAACCAGCAACACGAGTTCAAGCAATGGTGTAACAACAAGGGCGCCGCTTTCAACGACCTCACTCGACACACGGTCACTGGACCCAAGGTTCGTCTTTTTCTCGAAGAGTGCGTCATTGGGCGAGAAAAGCGTCGCAAAGGCCGCGATGGGAGATGTGAAAAATTGGCAAGTCTTCCGTTAACAGGTACGTTGCTGCTATGGTAGACTTGTGACGGCAGCAAAAACGCTTGAAGATTAATAACTACACTTCTCCACGGGATGATGCTGTCACTACGCATCTCAAAATTACGGAGTATGAAGAGGATGACCGGCGCCGGAAAGACTTCGCCGATCGCGGTGCGGATACAATGCTGGATGGCTATACGACGACTGAGCAGATCCAGAAAATTGCTCGCTTTTTTTGACATCACGGAGAGATTCTGGAACAAGTTTAAGGAATTTGCTGGTATTTGTGCTCTCCCATTTTGCGCTTATGCGTGGTGAATCGGCCCGTCGTATGGAATTAGCGGGTCTCCACTCAATTTCACTGGAAAATGAAGGCTATTCGGCTTGTCGAGCCTTGGTGATGGTTATGAGGCAAGGCAAAACGAACCAAGTGGGGCGGATCGAAGTAGGCGCATGTATGAGGAACAAGAATGCCGATATATCACGGCCTACTTGGGTTTTACTTTTTCTGGCGGTGGCATGTCGATTTGGAGTATTTTCCCGATTTTTCGAAGTCAGTACAATGGTATCCCGTGAAGCTGCTCAAAACGGGGAAAGATCCAACAAAACCGATGTCGTATAAAGTTCACCGAGAAGCCATTGCTAGTGCTTTGGAGATCATTGGTCTTCGCAGTCGCGCTAAAACGCATGTAGGGAGAGGCTCCGGTGCTAAGATGGCGGACCTCGGGGGGGGGGGGGGCGGCAGTGAGGCCCAAATTCTCCGATTGGGGAGGGGGAACAACCAGGCCATGGAAAAATGCTACCTCACGTCACTCCCACGAGAAGCGATGCGCACTTTGGCAGGTTTTGAGCCTACCCGAGGAAGTTATTTTATACCTCGAGCCTGTGTTGAACCACTGCGAGATCTTCAGCAGAAGCTTTTCCCATCGATAGAAGATTGGCATGCAAAGATGCATGCGGGGGAGTGTGAACAGTCTATCGCTGGTGGTGGATTTCTCGAACGGTTGCAATATCTTCGGGTTGTGATACTCCAAGACGCGGTTGTTTTGGCTGATCAAATGCCGGGGCATCCAATATAGAATCATGAGATTTTCAACAGTGAATCGTTTAAGAGATTAGATAGGTTTCGAAGCGTTCCTCACCCTCACTTTACCTTCACAGCCGTTTAAGTTCGCACTCGTTGCACTTTTTGCGCACAGATCAGTGTGTAATCAGTGGGCAAAATCCCTACATTTTGCGAAGCCATCAGAATTTGATCCTCAGATGCACCTGTACGAATTCATTAAGTTCACGTGCGAACTTTCCAATTCCGAACATTATCTATACAGGTAAACTGGTCAACTGTATGCGCACCTATCTAGCGCAACTTCCAGTACTCCGGTCCCGATTTTGCTCATTTTGCTCTGAAGGTGAAGGTGCGGGTGAAGCGAATTTCGAAACCTATCTGTTCAAGAGAGATGTAAAGGCTGCTATGAGCTCCGTTGATGATCCAAGTGAGCGAAACCTGGAAAAAAGCAATGCCCGCGGTAAAAGCAAAGCTTGATGGTGTTTACCAGGAACTCAAAGCATCAGTAAACGGCATTCAAACAAGTCTGGAAGGTGTTCAAGGTACTCTTGCTGATGTCGTCAAAATACTTTCTCCACTGAGCAATGGATCGGCGCTTCTCCAAGTTAAAATTGTTGGTGGGGGCCAGCCGGAGAAGCCAACCGCTGATATACCATCAAGCAGCGAGACCGTCGCTGAGGCTGACAGTTCCTGAGACGTTGTAAGCTACAAGCTTAGCTGTGGTATTCAAATGGTCCGCGAGTTGTGGAACGAGTGGTCGTACGGACTACCAGGTGGTTACGCGGTTAAACACCTTGAAGAAACGTTTGGCACGAAATGGTGTGATAGCCATGAAAGGCGTTTCTTCAATCGACCACGCAAGGTGATTGATCTGGTAATGAAAAAGGCTGCTGTACATCGCAAGAAGAATCGGATACACGGTAGCGATGCTATTGACCAAGCTCTCGCCGACGTTGAAGCGATTCGTACAACCTGTCAGAAGTCGCTGAACTGGTTATCTCAACATGTAGACCAGGTTGCGCATGAACTAGGTTTATAGTTGGCTGGTAGTGGCAGCGTACAAAATGTCGGATAAACCGGTGAGAGCAATGTATAAATTACGAAAACGACTGTATCGCAACTTACTGCGGTGTCAATGTGTGGTACCTCAGTGACAATGTGCGGTACCTCAGTGACGATGTGCGGTACCTCAGTGTCAATGTGCGGTACCGCAGTGAGCTTTGGTGGTAAGTACCGCAGAGAAGTTTTGCGGTAACAACCGCAGTGTAGGTACTGCACTGTACCGCTGTGGTGGATAGTGCAACAATGCTTTGCGGTAGCTACGCCAGCGTGTCATCGCGGCACTTGGTGCAATGTGACATTGCGATAGCAAAATAGGGATGGTTGGGGCACGCGCCACGACCAGACGCGGGGAATCGACCGAGCTCAGTGCCAAATTATCCGTCTGCTGCAAACCTTAAAGCCATCGCGCTCCGGATGAGGTGCCACAGAGGGTTTTGGGTCTACGATAGTGACCATGGCGCAGACGTCGCCTTTTCTAGAGCCGCACGCTTTGCACGCGAACAAGCTGCTCAAGACGATCCCGGGGTCAACATAGCCGCATGTAACTGATTACGATCTCGTGCTGGTAGGGCCTTGCGAAACTGCTGGCTAGGCGAGCGCCCTGATACCCGGAGGAAGTACATGCTCGACAATCCGGACACAGGCTTCTCGCTGGACGGAAACCCGACGGGGATAGCCAACGGGCGTCAAGCCCGGACTCGGTATCCAAGAATGGTTCCAGCAGATGTAACCACCCCGGAGGAAGTGCACGAAGAATTAACGACGGAGACGGCACTTCCGACACGTGCAGTGTTACATATTGACCAGCAAACTCGATCGCGACTCCGCGAATTTGACGAGTTTCAAGCGGACTTGCTAGTTGCTGCATTCACCGCCGAGATCACTTCCCTTGGGTATGCAATCCGCCAAGGCGACTTTGACCAAGTTGTGGCACGCTCGGCCGAAGTTGTGGAGTGCATAAGCGCCCAGATAGCTGTCAGCATGCCTAACGTCGAGCGAGGGCGACTTGAAGTAATTGCGAGGTATAACGCACAACATCTAAGAGCAGCTTCAACGCAGATGGCGTTGTACACCGATGCTGAGGCCTCGAGTGCCGTGCAAGAAACGCTCGCCAGCGTCACCTCCGTAGTGTCACCGTCAACTGGCGATCAACCTCCCGCTGGTCGTCTTCGTCAACCACAAAGAAAACGCATGCAAGAAAACCACAGAGAAGAAGCGCGTGGCAAGTATTAGTGGAACTGTCGACACGGGGGACGACCGGGCTAGTTGCAACTCAGAGATAACGTGTAACGAGACTACTGCTAAAAGTGCAAATAACTCATGTGGAAATCCTGATTCCAGGTCCTGCAGCAAAAGAGACAGTGAAGATGCTGCAAGTACCAACGTCAACAACGTTACCAGTCAGAGCGATGTCGATCGGAGCACCACAGGCGCGGGTGAGAGATCTGGTGATGCCAGCAGCGACGGCGACAGCGTTGACAGCGTGAGCAGTGCGTCGGGCAGCGAGTCGGACAACGAGTCGGACAGCAAGCCAGGCAGCAAAGGCCATGAACCTGATAGCGCGAACAGCGAGGAGAAGAATGCTGGAGGGGCGACAAGCGACGACGATGCCGAATTTGTCGCGCTAAGCCAGCCTAAGCATGAAACCAAGCGTGCCACCCCGAACAAGTTTTTCAGACCGCGATCGTCAAAAAAAACCCCGCTGGTCGTGTGGAAAGACCCCCAAGCAGAGCGCGTCGTTCATGTATACCCGGACAATTTAGACAGTCTGTTACCAGAGCGTCCGTTGACGCAAACGGCTTTGGGCTATTTCATTTACCGGTTCATGGCGAGAGAGCAAGGCGTGGTTTGCTGATGTGGGTCTGAGCTCTACGGACTGATGGAAATTGCAAGGTACACCCGAAACCCACGCGTGAAACTGCGATTGTTCGATGAGTTGGCAGAGCAGTTCGACTGGAGTACCTATCGCTATGTACTTCTGCCTGTGTCTGGACGCAATCACTGGGGCCTGGTTATTGTTGAGAGCTTCATGACCGCGGGGCCCACGAAGCTTTACCATGTGAACTCGCTAAGAAAGGCTCATAGTCCTGCTTACGCGTTTGACGTGCTAGAGTGGTTCTTGGCAAACGTTCACGAAAAACAATCAGGATCAGAGTCCACTGCTTTTGCGTCAAGCGCCTTCGCGTTTGACACAACCCCCCAACCGTCGAACATGGTGGATTGTGGAATTTACGTGCTCTACTACATGGAGGTGATTTCAAAGCGTGTTGCCGAAGAAAAACCTGCTTCCATACAGCAGGGTATTGCGTCGTGGGTCGCGTCGGTGTTCAATGTCACGAAAGCCTCCGCTTACCGCAATGAACTTCACAGCAGGCTTTCGCCTGCATGACCACAGCAATCTCCTGGGCGTAGCCAAACAATTGCAGGGTTAGATCGTCGACCCTCTTAAGCGGAGCTCTCAATACATATTGATTTTGTCAGCAACAATGCAGCAGAAATGAGTGCTACTGCTTGACTGAAAGATCGAACTGCGTGCACGAGGCCTCTTTACTTTCTGCTGCAGCTTTTGTTTTAATTGTTTTTTATACATCTCAATGAAATTCTCGAGCTCGACGAGTGTATCACCAGCACTTCCACGTTACACGCGCCAGATAGAGAATTGGAAAACACCATACCTACCTCTTGAGCCAAGCTTTATCATGCAGCTGTGGACATGACAATACGTGCACTATGCTATCCCACATCCACAGCCACCCGCTCGATGCCTTCCTTGCGTTTACCTTGGCTTACTTTCCGCTACTCGTGTGCGACTGGCGGACCAGAAATATGCCTCTCCAGCTTAACATTCACGGTGCGGACAGGCTCCCCGCGGTTTGCCACTTCATCGTCGTCCGTCTCCTCGTCTCCGCTCTTGTGCCTGATATTTCTGGTCAGCAGCAAAGAGCCCCTCGAGGTGCTTCTCCTGCTCTTCTCGCTTTCCGTAGCTCTTTTAGTAGCTTGAACTGCTCACTGCTGCCCCCTACGATTCGTTAATCACCACGACACTCTGCATGATGGGGACACATAAAAGCCTCCAGACGTACATCACCGCTAGCGACAGTAGTGGGGCCGTAGCTGCCGCCCCCAGACACTCAAAGACGACCCCAACACCGCAGTCACTGACGAAGAAAAATGGGAGTTTGACACGGATAAACCACAATGCACTCGACATGTAAATCCAGGTGATTATGTAAAACGGAGCTGCGCACCAGCTGTCAGTTATTTCCCAGGTCTTCGTGCAAGTGAGATTGTGCGGAGACCAGGTCTCGGACCCACTAAGGGCCCTGGTTGATAATCATTCATTCACACTTCGTTAGGACTGTGTCTAGTACACGTGCTTTCGAATTTAACCCCAGGGGTACAAATGTCCCCCCTATTCCTAATTTTATTTCTTCCCCCATACTAAACCCTGTATTATACACGCTAAAAAGGTACAATTGTCCCTGAGTCCATGTATTGTTTCATTTTAGCGTTACTTCGCTTACTTCACTTACTTTTTATCGCTACTTCGCTTACTTCATAATACAGGTTTATTGTTACTTAACTTGCTGTTACTTCAAATGTGTACATTACACAACTACTTACTTCCAGCACGCGCGCGCGCTGGTCGATACCGCCGAATACCGGCCTAATAATATAGGGAAATGTATGCCGGGCTAACAGCGTGCTATACATGCAGGCAGGACCATGTAGCGCCGAATATATAGGGATTTGTATGTCGGGCTAGCAACGCGCTACCAGCAGCGACACAGGACCAGACAATAGCGGTTGCATTGCAAAGCTGAGAAAGAATTAATTAAATAGTGAGGAATGCAGAACATATGTTACTATTAAATGTTGTATGCCTATCGAGTTCAATTCTAGCTAGGTGTACGCACACAAGCTGGTTCGAGAGCTCGGCCATTACGCTGTTGGAAGACGCCGTTGGCTGGGGCGTGCAAGCTGGCCCCGCTGGCTGAACCTTGCTAGCAGTGCCCTGCTGGCCGCAGTACTCGGCGTAGCATAGCAATGGTGAGCTGAAGCCTACAATACAAACCGTTTGTCATTCGGTCAGTAGCGAAAAAGTGAATGGAAGAGCTGTCTCGATTTGCCCTAAACAGGACAGCATCCTTGGAGTTATGCTATATTGAAGTCAAGTATATTTGAGACGGTTTCAAACGAAATGATGCTTAGGCGCCATTTAGAGTTTTCGAGATAATCGCGTTTGAAGTTGACCAATCATTTTTCGGAGATAAATGGAGACCAAAATTTCGAAAGTGAAAACCACACGTAAAAAGCGTAAAACCACTCTTGTTCGATTGCTGTTAGCGCGAGCTTTCCGACAATATACGATACGTTAAAATTGAAAAAATATGGAGGTCACGCCCCAAATAAAATCGGGAATTTAGGCGGTCCGAAAATGGAGATACATGTATTTTTTTCTACACCGATGTCACTCCGCGCGTTCATAACCTTTTGGAGCGTTCAATAGCTTAAACGAAGCACAAGACACGCCGCTTTCGATTGATGCGGTTAAATCGCGATTCGTACGTAGGTTCGTAAGCATCTTTTCGTTTGAAACCGTCTCATTTATCAGCCCGTGTACCAGTCTGTAGGGATGGGCTGTCGTGTTAACAGGAGTCCTGTTACAGGACTAGCACAGTGAGTGCCAGTCTATTTACCAATCCATCTATAATACCAATTCAAATGTGCTGAAAGGTCGTACAGTGGGATAACCTGTCGTGTTTCTCGTTAAACAGGACAGCGCTACCCGACTTCAACCCACAACCCGCCATTCGTGAATTTACCGCGCTGGGAATCGAATGCGGGGAAGCGCTAGCAGGTATGGAGCGACTACCAGCGCGGCAACGCAAGGTTCGTGGGGTATATGGAGCGTGCGGTGCTATTTGCTCTGTTGTTTGCTAACTATGGGTATTATCTACGTGTATGCAGCTCGCATGGTGGCGTGCAGCCGAGCGGTGGCGGCGGCGAGCGGTGGGGCGGCACCACAGGTTCGTGGCTGCGATGCATTTTCAGCCGTGTTGCAGGGGCTATTTGCGGTGTTTGGGCAAGCTACCTAAAATAGTACATTTAGGGCGAAATTACGGAGGTTTATTTGAGTTTATAGTGAAACCTTATACAGTTACCATAGTTGGGAAATATACTGGCTTAAGAAAAGGTTGCCCGTCGAACCTGCTTACGTCTTAGTATACAGCTTATGACAGTGAGTACAAGTATTGCACTGCTGTGGTCGACTTAGCTTCTTCAGAGCTGGTGGAGCTATCGACAGCGCAGTACGCTCGTGAAGCAGTTCTTGTCTGGGGCTCCAAACAGGAAGCTCATACGAACTATGCTAAAAAGTACCAGCGCTTGTCAAAATATGCAAATCGATCCCAAAAGCATATTTCTGTACCAGCACTGCTGGTCCAGCAGCCCGTTTTTGGTTTTTAGCATCTGTACGGCTAATATAGGAATTTGTATGTAGCCTGCTGCAGTTCCGCTGTCGATATCACCTCCCATCCCAAAGCTCGCAACAGTACAGCACAAGAGCAGGTACAACGCTGTACATGTATCTCGCGAGACCTCTTCCGCTTAGGATGACCAAACCAGAAGAACACCTCTTGGCTGTTGATGTCGTCGAACACTTATCCACTCATATTATGTGTACTGTACATGTAGAGCACGCTGCAATTTCTACTCGTATAACATTTTGCCGCATAGTACAGCAACACCATGTTATCCTGAAAGCCATGACTGTCGCGTGCGTGCGCGAGTGTGTACCTTCCTCTGCGTGGGACCCTGGTGGGAATCGTGGGGCATATGGTAGAATATCATCAAATCTCCGACCGCACTTAAGATGATAGGTATACAAATCCCCAGTCAAGCGCGGTCGGAGCATAACAGTATTACCCTACCCCTTCCCAAAGTGTTATGCATACACAGTCCAAGATAGATTAGTCGTCCCGTTCGCTCATTGGTCGGAGCCTTGGGATGGATGGCACGGAGCGAGCGTAGTGAGCCCCCGCCTGCGGTTTGACAGTCCGTGTGCGCACGCGGCTGCAAACCCAGGACCCAGCAGTGCTCTACCTAGCAAGCGGAGGCGACGCGTGCGAGCCGCAGCGGGCTTAGGGTTCTGGCCCAGCGAGCGCAGCGAGCCTTTAGGGGTTTTAGGTTCGCGCGTAGCGCGTAGCTGGGTGATAGTTAAAGGTGACCCCCCTCCTATCCGCATGTTTTGTGTACGAGTCGGAGAAAGTCGGAGTCGGAGGTTTTTGGGTATGGTTTCCTGGTGGTGTTATTATTAATAACAGGTTTTTGGGTATGGTTTCCTGGAGGTGTTATTATTAATAACACCTCCAGGAAACCATACCCAAAACCCTCCGACCCTCCGACTTTGTGTTACACACGCCATAATAACTTATTATGGCGTGTGTAACACACAACATGAGTGTTGTTCATGTGCACTGTCCCATTAGAAACCGGATCTTTTCTATCGCGTTTTTTTTTCGGACTCCAAGTCCATTTCGCAATTTGCACCGCCGATATGCGTTGGTTTACTTGGGCTGTACTCACAGTCTTGGCTGCCGTCCTGGCTGCCAGCAACGCTACCTCTCTCGATCTTGGCCAGAACACAGCGGCGGATACAACTTCAGACTCGCAAAACGATAGCGACGCCTATGGCAAGCGATATTTAGCTGGCGTGGTTGATTCACCGCAAGTCGACTACGTCAAAGAAGAGCGCAACGTGCTTTCTTCGGGGGTCTCAACTTTGATCAGCAAATTGAAGAGAAGTGTCCGTAAGCTGAAGCTGCACTACGAGGACTTGCGGAAGAAGAGGTTCTTGACCAAGATGGAAGTCATGTTCAAGGCGGGTACGACGCCCGAAAAACTGGCTGATCTCTACGGGTCCACTAAAAAGGTCAAGCTGCAGACCGAGTTCAGGCAGTTCTACAAGTGGAGGTCGGGCTGGACGGAGCAAGCGCAAAAATATCCGAAACCAGGAAACCTGAAGGCAATTCCAAAGTTGGAGCGCCTTGGTTAAGCACCATTTGGCCACTCCAATCCTGAAACTAGCTACTTCAAGTAGTAATGTAAAGGGAAGTTTTCTACCTGGGTTGGCTGTGCGCTGTTGGAGCTGTTGAGGGTAAAAAAATATAATACGTCTGCATTATTTTTATTCAGCTCGGAAGTTAAGACTGACTGCCAAAGCCTGCTCATTTTTTTGAATGACCAGTACTGGGACAAATAATTTCATCGGCATTGGTGTGAATTCAAATTGGCACGGGAACACGGTCTTCCCAAGTGTGAAGGTATAGACTCGCCGAAGAACCGGAGGGGCTGCAAACAGGAAAATCTTCGACAGCACATGCTCATCCAGCGCACTCATCGAAGAGAGTGAACCATGTTCTTGATGCTTTCTCTTGCAGCTTGACTCTTTTGCAGACTTCGAGGCAATCACGCTCAGTAGCGCAACTTTAGTCTCGATCGGCAGCTTTAACGCTCACATAATGGGCTGGAGATGATATTGTTGAAAGTTGCTGATGTCAACGCGGTAGCTACTCGGAGCTACTACGTCGAAGTACTCCAGGGTCTCGTTCAGCTCCAGCATGCGCCGCATCGCGTTGATCTCATCCTCAGAAGTTGGTCCGTTGCGCACCTCACCAGTTCCATCGTCCCAATCCCTGCCCCAATCGAATAGCTGCACTCGAAGCCGTCGAACGCACTGCGCAAGTGGGCTGCTCTTGTCGCGCAGCCTTGTCAACAAGGCCAGAACATCATCCCAGTCGCAGCCCAGCTCTGGTAGTTCTTGGTTAGTCGCGCGGTAGTCACAAAAGTTGAGGCGCGCCTCGACCCGGTGTCTGCATAGAGCCAACTCGTCCAATTTCGGGCAGTATTGAAGCATCATGCTGTCATCCAGTTGCAGTTGCGATTCTCTGACAGAAAGAATCTTCAATGGCAACCCAACGGCTGCTAAAAAGTCTGGCAGCCCAACAGGTCCAACTTCGTTCTCGACCGCGAATGTTAGTGTCAGTGATGTTACTCCACGGGAGCTCGCTTTCATCGCGTTTGCTTGCGAGAACACGAGGTCGCGTCGTTGGACTTGACACCACCCAAAGCCAGAGATCATCACATTCACCAACTTACTCTCCCCATCGTCGCTGAACGTTCGAACAGATGCAATCTCCTTGTGTAGTGATATCGGACTGGAACCCGTCCGCGGCTGACCTTGTTCATTGAGATCGCAATGGATCTCACTGTCCGCCTTAAGTGTTGCTTCTCATTCTTCGACTAGACCTCTTGGAGTTCCACAAAGGTCTTCTTCCGGATGCTCCGATGCCATGATAGTGCTGAAACCTTCCATGTCCTCGACGGTCATGCTGTCGAGCGAAGTGAACTCCAAGCGATAGAGCGAGGAGTATCCACGAGTTCGCTTGGAGAAGAAGGCATAGGCAAGCCACTTCCATCGTTCACGACTGCCTCCATCGTCCGTCGAGCTGATGTCTAGATACATGGAGACATTCCTGGCCGTTTGGTTGGTCACAATAGCCGAGCACATGGAATTAAAATCACGATAGGTTAACGTGTGGTCACAGTTCAAGTCAATCGTGCCGAGCTGAAGTGGAGAGGACCCATCGCTAGATTTGCCATCTGAGGCGAAGCTCCTCTTCGTCAGGAGGCGTGGCCGCTGCGGAGTATTAAAGAGGGTCATCATCAGCTCTCCGAAAGCCACTCTGGATTCCTGCACGTTGTCGAACAGCGTCCCCAGTTTTCCTGCCCAGAAGGAAACTTGCGAAAACCACAAGTTTTCACGTACCAACGTGATCACCAAATCGACGTACTCGGCTGGCATCCCTCTCTCTCTCTCCAAAGTCCAGAATCATCGGCTCGATCACGAACGTGCAGCGCAGCGACCCAGCCTCGACCGCTTTGTTCTCCACGTTCCGGTCGTACATCTCCCACTGCGCCTTAGCCATTCGCTCCGCGGTCCAAATACCTTGCAGGGCCCTCACCCCATCAGAAGGATCACTCGTCTCTGTGAAAAGCAGTCGCGCCGGGACCTCGATGTCAAAACCAGGCTTGTCTGCTGGTAAATTACCAGCCAACTCTGCGATATTCTGCAACGCGACCAGATAGTCTTGGCTGGCTTCGGTGCGTTGGTAGACGCCGAACCACCGAACGAGCGAGATCTTGCTCCAGATTTTGGGGGAAACTGAGGCGTGTATCCCCATTTACTAAGTATCATGTAAAGCTGGAATAGTACAGCGATTTCTTCTTCATAAATTTCTTCTCCTTCCACTCCGAGGTCCACTCCACACTGGTGCTCCAGCCAATATCCCCACACGGATTGGTCCACGTGCGCCACAGCCGCCAGCAGAGCCAAGGCTTCTCTGAATTTCTGGATCGTGCGTTGAAAATCTTTTTCCGCTGCTTCAGTGATGGCTCGCTCTTGGTTGCTGTTCTCGAACCGTGCAGGGGGGTACACTTCCAGGAAGCGCCTCTTGAAGGCCCAGATGCCCTCGTCAGCCTCGGGCCACCGGTACTTGATGCGGGTGCGTAACACTTCGGTCCATGGCGCGAGGAAGCCCCAGCGCTGCTCCATCCTCCTGTGCGTGCTCAGATGATTATACTGTATCCGGTTACAAGTTAAAACGTAACCATGTATAACCACTGGTTAAAGTATTAACCAGTTACACACGCATCGAAACCAACCGGGATGCAATGTAACTGGCGTATTGCCTCTGTCGATAACGGCTATTGCTATTGGATGTTGTATTCTTGCCGATTTCGTGAAAGGATGCTGTCTACTATCGTCTGCTACGTTTACGCAGCTCTTTGCTCAGTTGTCATTCACACCGTAACAGTTATAGTTACGCCACTACAGGTAAGGACTGAAAAACAAGACAAGAGTCGTACAGTGTACACCATTTGGGACGGTTTCAAACGAAAAGATGCTTACGCACCTAAGTACGAATCGCGATTTAACCGCATCAATCGAAAGCGGCGTGTCTTGTGCTTCGTTTAAGCTATTGAACGCTCCAAAAGGTTAAGAACTCGCGGAGTGACATGGGTGTAGAAAAAAATACATGTATCTCCATTTTCGGACCCCCTAAATTCCCGATTTTATTTGGGGCGTGTGACCTCAATATTTTTTTCAATTTTAACGTATCGTATATTATCGGAAATCTCGCGCTAAAAGCAATCGAATAAGAGTGTTTTTACGCTTTTTACGTGTGGTTTTCACTTTCGAAAATTTGGTGTCCGGTTATTTCCGAAAAATGATTGGTCAACTTCAAACGCGATTATCTCGAAAACTCTAGGCATCATTTCGTTTGAAACCGTCTCATTTTTGGACCAGATCTGTGCGCAGGATTATGCCTCGATGTGGTTGTGAATCACCACGAACTCAGATACCTGACTGAATTCAGGAAGTACCACCTGGAGCCAATCGATCGCTCGTTGAAACTCCCCATAGAGAGTAAGATTACGTTTCTGAGCGTGATGACCCTCCGACCAGAGATACCGAAAGGCAAGCTGCGGCGACGTAGATTGTCTCGAGCTCAGCGTGTGATATCCAAATTGGACCACCACGCGGTGTCTCGAATTTTCGAGTTTGCCTCGCGTCCGGTGCGCCGCGAGGTTTATCTTCGTCACACATGCGAAGACAACTGGAAGGAGGAAACTATTCAAGTCTTGATCTAGCTGCACTACCGTAGTCAACCTTTTTCCTGGTGGGGTCGTAGGTAGCAACGCATACACGCTGGAGCGCTTCAACTAAACATCCTGAACAAGTTTACTTGTAACTCTGTCGGCTCATGCACCACGGGCGACGGTATGTACATTCATTCGGTGGCGCTGAAACGTTAAAAATGCAGCGGGTGTTCCTCCGCCCGAGTGCTGGTAGAGCGCCAACGCTACAGTCCCTCCGCAAGTTGATACGCCAAAGTGACGGTGGGTCCCGCAGCTTTGCAAGTGGATCGCCAAGTCCAAGTGCTGTACATACAGCCACCCATCGTCGAGCCCCGTTGGCTGCGGTGCTAACTGCGGCTGGCTTCGCAGCATTCAAGGTCACCCATTTTACTATTAACTTACTAGTTGTTTTGTGCGCTTAGTGAACGAATAAGGTTATGCAAGTAAGCTTAGGCCTACACAAGTATTCTGGGCCTGACGAGCGCACGCTCGAGTATTTGCGCTTGTCGAAGTTGAGCGCCGCGAGCAGTGAAAAGGTGCGCAGTAGACTGGACGCATTCTCAAAAGCGATGGTTGTATAATGTTTTTGTGTGTCTGTTAGAGAAATCTTAAGCAGAATCCATGTAAGGAGTGTCAATCTTCCTTACCCACTGAATGATCTGATCTCACGGTTGACGTTTTATTTATTGCTTGTCAAAGATCTTGAGCCGGCCAGTGCTGCAGTGTGTGGGTTTCTGTACGCGGAATTGGGCCCGATTGACGAGGCACTGCGGTACTTCGACGCCACCATGAAGAAGATGCACACAGTGAGACCCATCTCAGTCAGCTGTGCATTTGGCGTGTCGGTCCAAGCTGCCATGGGCCTCTGCTACAATGCAAAGTACGTTTCCAATTGTATCTGGTTTGGCTGTGTGGATAACAAGCTAACATTGTGCAAATTGTGGCTGATAGAGGACGCGGCGATATTGCGGAGCAAATGTTTGAGAATGCCATCCGTCAGTGCGAGAAGTGCCAGGGCCACTACGCGTTAACATGGCCCTCAAGTCTGGAAGCGGAGACGCTCGCCCGTCTCGATAAGACTCGCTACGCATGTACGGCGTCATATTCGCGTCGATGGACCGTTCGACAAGGCTTTGGCACGAGAGCAGCTCCGGCGTAAGCGGTTACAAGACATTATCGAGGGTCGAGCGCCCTGCAGGGTGCCAAGGCTGTTTTAACACGTTCAGTACTTCCAAGAAACTACGTACATGTATGACAATTCTGCTGGAAACGAGCGCAAGCACAAGATGAATGGGGAACAATGGAGTGCAGCGCAGCATTGAACATGAATAAGGTTGTGGGTTGAATGTTATGCAAAAATATCCAGCCTGTTCGTCCAGAGCTTGCAGCAGACGTGCGCTATCGACCTGGGCAAGCTGATAAACACGACCCAGGACTTGAGGGCGTTTGTCGGATTTATCGCACTGAAGTTTGTTGTGGCCAGGAATCCCACACAACGAGCAGTGTAATGTATCTGATCGCGCACGATCCATCGCAGTTATATTTTTTAGATCTTCCGAGGCCGGTCTAAACGGGCCCCTCTTGTCCAACTCCGTGCCGCACAAATGTTAAAATCAAGGAGGTACGACCGACGAGCTCCAGCATGTTCCACCTGGGAAATGCTGGGCAGCGTGAAGATACGGTAAAAGTTGTTTTGACACGAGATCTCGGAGCGGCCTCCCGTCATTAAAGCTTTGAGCACCAGCGTCCAAAGTCGACGAAGGGCCCAATCGAACCTTGGCCGGGTGGAGTTGTTTTGGCTGTATTGTGCTCTACAGTTTTTCGGACTGTTTGTGCCAAGGTGATCAGATCCCCTACCTTTAAAAGAAGACGTGCGTGGCATTTTATTTTTTAATGTAAAAAAATAATAACGTTAGCAATCAGCGACACGGCATCCGCCTCCAACTCTGTCAAGAACCTCGAGCTAAATACCACAGAGCTACCTACAACTGTACCGAGTGATCGGCACCACAACGCAAAGCAGCGTTTGACTGACATCGGCAGCTCCCAACTGCTCAATAACGTTGATGAAATGCGTGGCACGAATCCTTCGGGGGTCTCAACGTTATTCAGCAAATTGAAAGGCACCAAAGGCAAACTGCTCTGCGCCGACTGGCAGATGAAGACTTTTTATTTTCGTTGAAGATGTTCATGACCAACATGAAACAAAAAAAATGTACGAGGGAGGCGCGACTCCCGAAAAACTGGCTGAGCGAACAAAATATAAAGAAAAACTTCAATACCTGCGAGTGAAGCGGAATATAAAAAAGATCAATACATTTTACTGTGAATCCAACTTTCATCACGGATAGATTCGCCACTGTAAGTGGGATACTACTACTACTAGTTAGAACTACACATGCAAAGCCATTGTATCGTGGGTAGTGGGTAGTGTATACAACGAATGATGGTGGCTAGAATCCACGACTTCCCGTCTCTCACTTGGCGGAGAGTCCAGCGAATCCGCAAAGTTTATCTAGTCATCCGAAAATATGACGGTACTGTACGGATCGCGCGATTTTTCTGTTCAAGCGATAAGGAGCAACTGTACTCCATTCTCATGCCGACATCCAGTCCCGGAGGCTCATTTTGCGATCGGCTCTCAAGCGACACTCGAGAATTCAACCAGAGACCACCATGCGTCAGGCCGCCTTCCTGGTAGTGCTAGCGGCCGTCCTCGCTGTCTGCACTCACGGTTTGGTCCTTGGGGAAGGTGTTGCTCGTCGAGCCCAACACTTGGAGAACGACCCTCATAGCGACCCCGGCATGAACGCGCGTCGTCACCTGAGAGGCAGTGCGAGCGCAGTGAGCAAGGCTGCAACTTCGACTAACCCAGAGGACGAAGAGAGGGCGATCACTCAAAGTCTCGACAAGTTCAAGGCTCTGTTCAAGAAGTCGCCAGACCTGACCAAGCTGAAAGGTCAACTAGGGACCAAGGCTGAGCTCGCCAGGATCGAGAACATTGCGCGGCAAGATCCCGTCCTGAAGGCAGCTTTGAGCGACCCGACAAAGGCGAAGCGGTTGCAAAAGAAATTGTTGGCGAAGACTGAGGACCCCCGTGTACCTAGCGTCATGGAGGCAGTCTAAGCGACTCTTGCTCTGGTTGTGGTGGGATTCATTGGATTTGGCACCTCGATGATCATCAAGAGAGCGAGAAATAAATAGCTGGTGCATTTCATGTGCCCTCAAAAATGAATACAATTCCAGCGATGAATTCTAAAAGTACGATTTCCAAAAATGATTTCCAAAAATATCTGCTAAAAGAAGCTCACAAATAGCGATATGGCGTCTCTTGAGACTAGATGATCATGCTTTCGGAGCTTTTTTTCGGAATGTTCGTGAAGCGCGGGCACTTTTGGCCGCAGTCGCCCATGTGGACCAGAAGGCGTTCCGATACTTACTGGAGACTCACTGCGCCGTGTACCTCGGGAAAGAAGGAGAAGAAGTTTTTGAAGAAGAAATTCCGATTCGCTTTTACCTGACGATTCGAGACACAAAGTACCGCAAGGAACAAATGGAAGAACTGACTCAAGATTTGGTGATGTTCTTCAGCTCGGACCAACGCGACTACCCAAGCCCAGAGTTCGATGACGCACTGGAGATGATCGCCAAGCTTGCTCCAAGTGGTAGACGACGCGTGGACATTGAAGTACCGGTACGAGTGTGGTTTGTGGATCTTGAGGCGGACGCTGTTGATGGAAGGAGCGGTAGAGCCTCTTGAGGCGATCTCAAAAGCTGAGCGGTTGATTAAAGACAGCTGGAAAGACCATGATCCAAAGCCGGTCGAGGGGATGAGGAGCACGCTCGTGCTGGAGCCGATGGTAGCGGACCTCTCCGCGTTTGTCATGACATCCGAACTTGGAGCTCAAGTGAAGAAAATGATGTGGGAGAATGTGTTTTTTTCGTACCTATCCCTCACGATGTATGTGGAGCGAGAACGCATGATTGACGAGCGTGACGCAAAGCTGATCCTGGGAAAGCTGATGACTCAAGTGTTTGGCACTTCTCGCCGGTCTGGGAATCTGACTAACATGGGTTTCTATTCCACGCAGCGGTCGAGAAGAAGCAAACCTCTTCAAGTGGGTTCGCTGTATCTGGGCTACGAAGATATCATCCTACCCTTGGAGTTCGAGGCTATGTGTTCAGCATGGTACTCAATCGTACTACAAGACACGTTTCGATGCGCCTGGCACTGGTAGCAGACGACCCAGCTACAACTGCGCGCTGGTGGAAATGGATCGCGTACGCATTCTTTTCGAGTCGAGCCCGAACTTGTTCGTCTCTGAAGTCTCTTGCTTTGATTTCGATTGGGAGCATGAGTGCCGCGGACGTGGAGGCGTTTTCGGCTGTTTTGGCTTCTGATCACCCCGAAGAGTATCTTTCTGGATCTCCACGTGGAGTAGTTGGTGAGAGAGATGCCGTTTTGAATCTGGCGCTAAAATTCAGTGGCGATTCAATAAATAAGGTCGACCACGCAGGGGGTTCCGTGCTCTGCAATTTGACTCTGAGATCCCGTTCGTGCGAACTTTCAGCGACGATGGCGAGAGCGAGTGGGTGAACGTGTTGATTCCTGGCTACGGCCGATGCAACGTCGACCTGGAGTTTGATGGTTCGAAAGTAGAGATCGGTGATTCAGGGGGCGTGACAACACTGACAATTGGCTTTGACAAGCTGGACCCATCCAACTCAGATGGCCTGTGCGATTTCCTGAAAGTGGTTGGGCCTTCACTACTGTTTCTGACGATTGATGGTCCAATCGAAAACCTGAACGCGAACATGATTCTCCAACATTGCCCGAACTTGGTGGAGTTGGCATTGTGCACATTGTTCATTGATGTACGACTCAACGTTGTCGAGTTGCGCGCAAACTGCCAGACAATACCACCACTACACCGGTATTGGTATTTCATCGAAGATCTTGCGTCCGCTATGAGCAACGAGGCCCATCCATTTTCTAAGTGTGTGCGGCGGCTTCGAGTTCGTCTCGTCGAGGCGTGGCCTGGGTGGGATATCGTTCCTGCTAACTTCTACCCTGCGCTTTCCGACACCGATTTCAGTGCGATGCTCGAGATGCTGAAGGTCAACCGAAGCCTGGAATACCTCGATGTGGTTGTGGACCACCACGACCTCCGATACTTGAAGGAATTCAGGAAATACCACTTGGAGCCGATAAATCGATCGCTGAGACTCCCGATAGAGAGCAAGATTGCGTTTTGAGCGTGATGGCACCCCGAAGCGAGACGACAAAAGGCAAACTGCAGCGACGGAAGGTGTCTCGAGCTCAACGTGTGATATGCAAGTTGGATCACCACGTGGTGTCTCGGATCTTCGAGTTTGCCTCCCGCCCGGTGCTCCGCGAGGTTTATCTTCGTCACATCTGCGAGGAATTTTGGGACGACGAGACGATTCAAATCGTGATTTAACCGTAGTAGATATGTCCTACTGGGATTGAAGGAGGTAACAAATCGGTGACACTAGCTTGATTAGCAAGGTACCCCATCGTTGGGGTCCATTTCAGCTCAGCCCCACATCACTGGAATGCAGCGGGTGTTGCTCCGCCCAAGTGCTGGTCGAGCACCGACGCTACAGTCCCTCCGCAAGTTGCCACGCCCAAGTGGCAGTGGGTCCCGCAGCTTTGCAAGCGGATCGCCAAGTCCAAGCGCTGTAGCTATTAGCCCCCGTCGGGCCCCGTTGACTGCGGTGCTGACTGCGACTGGCGTCTTAGGCCTCGCAGCTTTCGAGGTGAAGTAATAATACTTTTAACTATCTGCCAATTATTGGCTGTAAAGCTACATATATAAGTACTGATCTAGCAATGATATGACAAACTGGCCTACACCAAGTATTGCGGGCCTGACGAGCGCACGCTCGAGTGTTTGCGCTTGTCGAAGTTGGGCACCGCGAGCCGTGAAGAGGTGCGCAGTCGAATAGATGCATTCTCAAAAGCGATGGTCGTATAATGTTTTTGTGTGTCTGTTAGACCCTCAAAGACGTGCCTTCGCTAAATCCGAGTACGGAGAGTCCATTTTTCCTTACCCACTGAATGATCTGGTCTCTGTCAAAGATCTTGAGCCGGTCAGTGCTGCAGTGTGTGGGTTTCTATACGCGGAATTGGGCCCGATTGACGAGGCACTGCGGTACTTCGACGCCACCATGAAGAAGATGCACACAGTGAGACCCATCTCAGTCAGCTGTGCATTTGGCGTGTCGGTCCAAGCTGCCATGGGCCTCTGCTACCATGCGAAGTACGTTTCCAATTGTATCTGGTTTGGCTGTGTGGATAACAAGCTAACATTGTGCAAATTGTGGCTGATAGAGGACGCGGCGATATTGCGGAGCAAATGTTTGAGAATGCCATCCGTCAAAATACACCTTTTCTGTCCCTAAACTGGCAGATCACGGTACCACTCTCCTCTTCCACTACAAACGCTCAGTCTAACATTTATTAACAGGCACGACCGGCATGAACCTGACTGCGGACCCGGCTCTGCGGCAGCGCTGGGACTTCCTGGCGCCGTGGTGCAAGGCGCTCGAGGGGCGCATCCGCTACGCGTGGGCCGAGCGCGAGGAGGACATCTGGGACGCGCCCAGGCGGCGGCTGGAGGTGGAGCTGCCGACGCGCAGCGACGTCGTCCAGCGCTTCTGGGAGGAGCCCCGACCTCTCTATTCTAATGAAAAGGACTTCCAGGCAGGTTATCAAAAAGTGAGGGAAGCCCTGGCGTTACTATCCGCTGTGGCTCGTGTGGACCGAGAAGGCTGGAGGTACCTGCTCAACGTCTTGTGCTACGTCGAGATCGGCATCGAAGGGCAGGAGTCGTTCGAGGAGGAGATATTGCCGCGGTTCCTCTTATTCTTGATAGAGGATAACGATAAAGAGGACTACAGGGAGTACGTCAAGACTCTGAAAGATGATATTGTACAATTTTGTGGAGTGCACCAGCGTGAACGCCCCAGTCGAGCGTACACCAAGGCTCTGAAGCAGATCGCAGCTATCGCCGAGGAGCTCAAGCCTGGAAGTACTGGAATTGACATTGAGATTCCGGTTCAAGTGGGGTTTCGAGTCATGGATTTCATGTTTTACGGAGTGCTGAGCGACATTTTAGGGGCGCTGGAGGACATTCGTGCGGCTGAACTGGTCATCGAAGACGAGTGGGGGACGTACGAGCAGAACCCCAAGAAGAAGAAGAAGAAGAAGAAGACGGTGGCGGTGGAGCCTGGAGCGCTGAGATGCACTTTCGTGCTAGGACCGATGATCGCGGATTTCCATGACACGCCCGTTTCGGTAGATGTGGCTAACAAGATGCAGGCCATGGTGAGGGATAATGCCAGATTTTCGCAGGTGAATCTGTGGACGCATGTTGATCGGACGCTGGAGAAGAAGAAGCACGATGGGAGGGTCGCTTTCAGTCAGCTCATGGCGTCGGTGTTCGACAGCACTCTTCGAACTCCTGAGCTCGCGAATGGTAGAGAACTTCCTCAAGCGGTTCAGGTGAGTGGCGACTCGGAGCCGCTGCAAATGGGTACGGTGCATTTGGAGTGCACGAGCTTGGTCGGACCTCGCAACTTCGAGTCTATGTGCTCCGCCATTGCGACCAGCCAGACGACCAAGAGGCTCTCGATGCAGCTGGAGATGGATCTGGACGACAACTCGAGTGTGCACTGGTGGAAGTGGCTGGCGTACGCGCTGTTCTCCAAGCGAGCGAAGGCATGTTCAGCCGTTGAAGCGCTTGCTCTGATTTCGATCCGCAGTATGAGTGTTGAAGACATCGAGGCCTTTGCAGCCGTGCTGGTGTCCAAGCATCCAGAAGAAGAGCTCTTTGGTTGCTCTCGTGGCGAAGGTGAAGAGCGAGATGCGACGGTGAAGGCAGGCTCGGCGCTCTTCTGGGAGATGAACAAGCGAGGCCACCCTCGTCGAGGGTCCCAAGCTGTGACGAGCGAGCTCCCTAAATGTGTGAGGACGTTCAGTGATGACGGTGTGAGTGAGTGGGTGAATGCGTTGGTCCCTGGATACGGGCGGTGTTTTGTCCGGCGTGGAGATTTGGACTTTGATGAGGCTCCCACTGCACTTGAGACGTCTTCTGGTGTGACGGAACTTCGTATCGGCTTTGACAAAGTGGACCCGTCAGTGTCGGATGGCCTGTCGGCTTTCCTCGCGACTATTGGCTCCTCACTGAAGGTTTTGACTCTGGATATGACGCATCTCGAGGTGGACGTGAACGCACTGATTCGGAGCTGCCCCAAGCTTGAGCAATTGACGCTTTGTGGATGCGAGATGGCGGACATGCTGCTGGACTTCAGCGAGTACCGCAAGAGGAACGAGCCTATCCCAGAGCTCTCGTTTGAGCATGAGAGCCTCAGTGCACTCGCTGTTGAGCTGAACAACGATTACAGTCCACTGACGAAGTGTCTACGCCGGCTGCAAGTCCACCTCATCGACCAGTGGGCTGCGTGGGGGGTCATTGTTGCCGACCACAACAACCGCCCCGCCTTCCAGGCCGGCTTGAGAGCACTCCTCGACATGCTCGGAGTGAACGAGACGCTGGAGTTTCTCGACGTGATCGTTCCGTTCGGACACTTCATCTACCTGAACGACTTCCGACAGTACCACCTGACGCCCATCAACAGAGCCGCCAAACTGCCCACAGAGACCAAGACTGCCTTCCTGAGCGTCTTCTCAGCGCGTGAAAAGCTGGCGGAACGCAACAAGAAGCACAAGAGGCGAGTGACGAGGGCGACGCAGTCTGTTCGGCCTTTGTGTCGGCTGGACCAGCACGTCTTGTACAACATCTTTGAATTCGCAGCTCCCCGTGTCCTCCGCCAAGTGTATCTGCGCGACCCACCCCGCAATGAGTTAGATGAACCAGAACGACTGCCGATTTAGGCGTGGATATGGACTGAATACGCAGTGGAAAGCTTTGACAACGGCAAACTATACACTTTTCATGCATTGGAAGCAATTCACATGAGATGCATCGCTCGCGTATCTCCGCCCTCCTCTCCTTTATCTCTGGTTCTACTGGCAGACTACGCTTCACATACAACCTTCTCCTTCTCCTCCTCCTCGACTCACTCGACGCACTACTTGTAGTGCACACGCTGCGCCAACTCCGCGCTCTCCGCCGCCGTCAAGTCGTCCCCCAGCACCTCCTTGATCGCATCCAAGAAGTACTTTGGGCACCCGCCGAGCTTGTTCAGCAACTCGGCGTCCTCACGGAACAAGTCCTTCTTCTGAAGACGCAGGTTGGCCACCATTCGGTACCAGAACACCTTCATACTGGCGGCAGGAGACGGCTTGCCGGCGTCCAAGAGAGACGTAAGCAAGTCCACCGCGGCAGTGTAGTCCTTCCCGAAGAAGGCGTCAAGACTGCGCTCCAGCAGCGACGGCGCGGCTGGCTTGATCCCCCACTTGTGGCACTCGTTCCACGATTGATCCAGCGGCCGGTAGTTGCTGGTAAGTACAAGGCGTCTGAACGCCGAACCCGAGGCTGGAGGGGACATCAAATACGTGTCCTGGGCCGGGTTATAGATCGCGAACGCGCCGTCGACTGGGATCAGTCTCCACAGTCCCCCCTCTCCTGGTAGTTCGCCTCCACGCCACGTGAAAGCTCTCTTCTCTCCATACCCCTCCGCTGTCTCGGACGCAGCGACGTCGGACGCGATCAGATACTCCTGGGAGTACACGCTGAGGATGTAGAAGTCCGTCAAGCTTGGACTCGCGGGGACGAAGCGCCAGATCTCTTTGCTTTGGTCTGCCTCCCACTCATCGGCCCAGCAGAAGACGCAGCGACGCGTCTCGTCGTAGAGGAAGTAGTCCTCTGCGGCGAACAGCATGTTGTCATTTAGAGCGGACGAGATCATGACTGGAGCGTTGCTGGCCAGTGCGCGCACGGCGGGCGAGACGCTGCGGATCCAGCAGATCTCGGCCAGCATTAGCGTCTTGTCACGGGCTTGGGCCATCACCTTGTCGAGCAGCGACGCCACGGCCACGGCGTTCCATCTTCCTCCAGCTTCCAACAGGAACTGGCAGCCGACCACCGTCCACTCTTGGTTCGGGAGGCTGGCCAGGAAGCGGAGCACGGCGTCTTGCAGCGCGAGAAGCTGCACGCGCTTGGTGGAGAGCAGGTTCTTCAGGAGGATGTCGCCACGGTACTCGACGTCGCGAATTCCGAGAAAGCAGCTAACCGCTTGCGGACAGGCGTCAGGACTGGTATTACCCAACTGGATGCCCGCCCAACGGATCGCGTTCTCGTCGGGCTCCATGTCGCTTGCTGTTGGTCGGTTGCGTTCGTGAAAGGAAGTGACGGCAAATGAGAGAATGAGACTTGGAGATCTGAGTGAAATTGATCGCACAGTTGGAAAAATGCACTTGGGACAAGGATGTTACGGTTGGTCAGCTCATTCGTCTCGTCACTTGGTCATCCGATCGTCAATTGGCTGCAACTACTCCTTGGCGTCGAGCTTCCACTGTTGCTCAAAGTTATGACGTTTGCCCAGCATCCGTCACTAGGCCCAGGTCCTGCTTGAAGCAGCCACCGTTCTGCAGCTTTAAGTTCGCCGCCATTCGATAGCACAGGACCTTCGTACGGTCAGCAGTCGATAGCTGGTCTTTGGCAAGAATTTCAGTGAACAAGTCCACTGCTTCAGTGTACCTGCGCGCGAAAAACTGCTGCAGAGCCATCTCAAGCGCCGACGGAGTTGCGCTTACGCTCCATTCGCGGCTGGTAGATCGTTTGCCATCAAGCGGGCGGAATGGGGCGGCCACCACGTCGCGGCGAGAGCCGTCACTAGCTTCGCGTGGGGAACTCAAGAAGGCGTCGTGACTGGCATTGTAGAGCGTGTATGTCTCCCCTTCTAGCGACTGCAAATGCCACAGCCCAGCAGCATCGGGCACCGTTTTACCAGGATTAGGAGGGCTTTCTCCATGCTTTACGAGCACGCGCTTCATCGCAAAGCCGTCAACATCGCTCGTAACGGGAACTTGTGAAGCGTAGAGGTATCCCTCTGCGTAAACGCTGACGAAATAGAAGTCGGAGGAGGTTCCGGTCTGGGCTGCAACCAGGCGCCACAACTCTTTCTTGTTATCGTTCGCCCACGTGCCTTTCCAGCAAAACGGAGACCGATTTTTCTCGTCAAAATCGTACGAACTGCCAGCGACGTAGAGCACATTGCCATCGATGGCCGAGGAGATCGTAACCGGGGAGCCGCAAGCTAAAGCTCGAGCCGTAAAGCTGAGGTCTCGAGCCCAGACGATCTCGGCAAGCATGAGCGTTTGACCGACCGCGCGCTGCATCACCTTCCGTAGTACAAGTGCTACCACCCAGGAGTCCCAACGCCCGCTCTGCTTCAGCATGACCTCACAGGCGGAAACGATCCATCGGTCTTGCGGGAGTCCGTGCACAAAATCGAGCATTATCTCTCGAAAACCTGAAGGCATAGTGGCCTCCACACGGAAGATTTCCTCCAACGTTTTCTCTACATCAGTCGAGTTCTGGAGGAGCTCTTCCAGTGCAGGGAGCTGTCCTTGGGTCAGCAGCTTTTGGAGCTCAGCTGGCGTCGCCATATCCTTCTTCAGGCTTTGGCTCGTTGCTTGGAAATTAAAGAATGATTTGTCCAAAGTGCGATGGTTAACGGTTGGTCACATTGCGTCAATCGTGCGACCACCGGCTCAATTTAATCGAACTGATGTTTATAGGAGTACTTCGTTGATATCTCCTCGACCCAGATACCTTCGCTACTTTGGGAGTCGGACTCGGAGCCCGAGGCTGAATTGCAGCTAACCGCAGCCCAAAGTGACGGATCCGAGGTTTTCGTGGCGTCTCCAGGGTGGGAGGTTCCAGTGGTCCAGAGCGGAGACTCGTCGGTTGTCCACACACAACAGGGATCACCAAGTTCTTGGCCGTTCGTCTGTCCGTCTTGGTCGGAGTCAGCCTCACAGAGTTCCTTGGTCCACACCAAGCCGGCGTCTTCAAAGTCTCGACCGAACGCGTTGCGTCGAGGGAAGTCGTCCGTCTCGTGGCCGATCGCTGGCGAGTCCGGGACGGAAGCACCGTTCGGTACGTGCCAGACGAAGTTCGGCATGGCGTTGCTACGAGAATACAGCAACGCGGTTGAAAAGGCTGCAGTGAACATGCTTGAGCGTGTTAGCGTCATGAAGACGGCCTTGGTTTGGAGTGATGAGATAGAAATGTGAGTGGGTGGAGAAGACGATTGCTTTTGCCGATGCCTTCAAACTTCTACGAATAGTCCTGGGATGGCGTCAGCGCTGCAGCATCTCAAACGATTCATCCAACCGGTCGAACAAGCTATCCGTAGCACGAATGCAGCACCAACCCGGCAACTATTAGTACTTGGTAATCCATAGCTCTATTACGAAAGGCTTCTAGTTTGTTTCCTCCAGAAAAGATCCGTCTACCAGGCTAGCTGCAACACCGCAGTGATGAAAGCACACAGCAGCGTCGAAATGACATCCGGTTGCTTCCAACTTGAGGCCGCAGACTCTTCGTCGCCCATCGAGATGTCGATCTCGCTGTCTTCGCCTTCGTTCGGATCGTTCTGGCTCGCTTCCGCCTCCGCCTCCGCTTCCGCTGTTGCTTCAGCTTGCGCTCTCACGACTTCACAGTCGAGGTTCGCCCAGAGAGAATCCTCGGACTTCATGGAGGCGTCACCCGGGTGCGAGACCCCTTCCGTCCACTGCGGTGTACCGCCCTCGACCCAGACGCAGCACGGATCTCCCAACTCTTGCCCATTCGTCTGACCGTCTTCGTCCGAGTCAGCCTCGCACAATTCCTTCGTCCACTCGGTGCCGGACTCCTCAAACGCGATGCCGAACACGTTGCGAATAGACTCTTCACCGACGGTGTCTTCGTGCCCTAGCGCCTTGATGCCGGGCACATTCTCTCCGTTCGGAATCCTCGACACATACATCGGCACGCCGTCGACGTCGGAAGGTAGCAACGCACATCCTGCGACAGCTATTGCAAAGCATGCCGCCTTCATGTTGGAGAGCGAAGTACTTGGTGGGGGTCTGCGCTTCGATTCGGGTTGAGGTATGAGCTCCATTGGAGACTATCATACAGTAGTGGGCAGATCAGGACTCGACGCCGATTGTTCTCAAAATGGAAACTGAAACTTCTCGTTCCTGTTGCCTGCCACTTGTTTTTGCGTCTTCAAGCCTGAGGCCAGCTGAATTGAGATGGAGAAGCGCTGGGGGTTCTTGGCTTCATGGTGTTCTGCGTTGAAGCGTCGTGTGAGCTACAGGCTTCCAAGCTACCGCCCGTTGAAATGGTTCTCATCTGAATTCTTGCAACAAGTCGAAGTGCCCTGCTCCACGCGGGAGCTTTGACTACTCGTGGGATCACTACTTCGAAGGCTACGATGGAGTCGACGAGTTCCACTTGGTGCGAGAAGCCTTGGCGCTCGACTCTGACGCGTGGAGATATCTACTAGAGCGACAGTGCGATGTTTATCTGGGGTCGGAGGTCCCTGCTCGCTTTGTGCTGAGCAAGGATACGGGCCACGATGGGAAACCCGGTGAAGGCCAGTACAACCACGACCTTCTTCAGTTCTGCGGCGTCGATCAGCGTCGAAATGTCAGCCGCGCGTATTCACTCGCCTTGGCTCGGATTGCCGCAACCTTGAACACATGATACCGACATCAAAGTGCCTGTGAAAGTGTATTTCGTGGCACACTGGGGTGCGTCAAATCGTGGCTCGGTGTCTGAGCTTGCTGACATTGTGAATACAGAGCAACGGATACAAAACGAGTGGGCTGTGTATGTACAAGGGGAACAAGCCACAGTCTCGGTCACGTTTGTATTGGAGCCGTTCATCGCCGAAATGCTGGAAGATGGCATTACTATTGAGACTTCAGAGACTGTCGTGGGGCTGCTCAAGCAGAACGCCTGCTTTTCAGATTTGGCTTTATTCGCTTCTATCGGCCCCGATCTGTTCGCAGACGCGTATTTTTCCAAGAAGATGCTTGGACAACTCATGGCAAATCTCTTTCAACATCTCGTACGCTTTGCCTTGACTTTACCGTGCCACTCGATCGAACGTTCAGTGATAATGGCCAAAGCGAGTGGGTCAATACCATAGTTCCTGGCTTTGGACGATGCCATGTGCGGCGTCAAGACTTGGTGTTTATCGAGCCTATTTTTGAGGGTGCCGGCTCAAGTGGAATCACCTCGCTAGTTGTCCAGTTCGACTGGGAGAAAGGGGCTGTTCCCGATGGACTTCCCCATTTTCTGAAGGCGGTGGGTTCCTCGCTGACTCATTTGACGCTGGTTGGGCCGCTGCCTCTGGATGAGCACGCGATTCCTCAATCGTGTCCAAATCTGAAAGATCTGTCGGCCTCTGGTGAATTTGTGGACATTTATCTTGACTTGGCAGAAGCTCACCAACCGATTCGCTCGTTGTCTTGTACGTGGCAAGACGTGGGGGTCTTTTGCAGTGACGATGTTGGATAGCAACAATTCTGTTTCAACGTACATCCGCCGAGCTCGAGTTTTTCTCCACACGGTTCAGTTTGTCCCAGATGAGCTCGCCGACCACATAGCAAGCTGGCATTCCTCAGTGTATTTGCACCTAAAGTGGACTTACTGGCGGACGGCAAGAGAAACAAGCGTAAAGCAACTCTATCGAGCTCATCGTGTTGCCAACTCGACCAGCACGTGCTGTCGACGGTATTCCAGTTTGGTGCTGACCCTCTTCTTCGAGAAGTGTAGTTCTGGTGGTCTGGACGGTCGGCACGATCGACTTCCTCTGTAACGTGCAAGCCGGATAGGTTGCAGATACAAATGCTGGTTCGACAAGAGATTATCTGATCTCTATGAATCATAGAGATCGTCTCATTGTGGGACTGGTAGCACTGCCACCACAATGCCAGAGCAGGAACTTTTATGACTCTATTTCTGGGATAGCAGTAAAGCAGCCCACATCCTATTATTTGAAGCTGATCAGCTGAAGCCTCCCTTTGAAGTTAACATCAAAACAATAAAATGTCATGGACTCAGACATGCAGATACTCAAAAGAGTAAGTTAGTGTTGAAGCTCCGTGCATCTGGATGCAGCGAGTGATTCGAACACGTTGAAGTTCTCAGGACAGAATCTCTCAACCCCAACAAGAACCATCCAGCATTGCTATTCATTCCTGAATTTGCTGTCGCGGGCTCGCACTATGGATGTTAGAATGTGATGAAGACGCTGGATCTTGCTATTCTGCTCGTGATAATGCAGTGGGCACATGCCGCAGGTGCTGCAGTCGCCTGTCGCTACAGCAGGGAATGATCTTGACCACAACCACCAAGAAACCCTCCATAATTTCTGGTGCGCATCAGACTGCATGTTGCCTGCCAGTGCTGCTGCTGGAGCAAAAACAAGAACACAACGGTGAGTAGCAGTCATGACATTCTCGATACCCGGACCCTATCAGAGTTTTAACGCCTTGTTGTTGCATTTTAGTTACCATTGCAGCTGCCGCAAGTTGTCGCGCAATTACCGCCCGGACAAGCAGACTTGGGAGACCCGCGGGGTCATGAAGACGGATTTTACCAAGCTCGAATTCTACTTCTACGAGTGTCGTAACAAGTTCGGTGAGCTCGACGACGCATACGTGAATTTCGGAGGAAGTTTTCGTTCGAGCGATTATTGTGTGGGGTTTATGCTGCGTTGTTTGCTATTCGTGTACGATCGTCGTCATAGCTACACCCTGTCAGTGACCAAGACGGTTGGTGCGAGAAGGTATCATTTGGTAGTATTAACAGGAGATTACATGCTTACTTCGCAGTGTGCCGTAAAATATGTGTTAATAGTGGTCATGTCGAGGTTACACGTTATTATTTTCACAAAAAACGTGTTTTAAGTGTGTCTTGAATTATTTCAGAGTACGGGCTGGTGTGCACTTACATTTTACGAATATTGAGGATGCACGAAGATCAGAAGTACGCTATGGTGCAGTGCAGTACGCGAAATGGAGACTTGCAAGCTCTTGCTCGTTCTGCAAAGGGCTAACTAAGAGCGCGTTTTGTTGTTTTTGTGTATTTCTTGTCCCCGCGTTTGCCCCAGTTGAGGACAGCTTGGCGCTCTGACTCTCCAACTTGCTAAATATACTTTTTGGAGTTGTAATGCGAACTAAGCCTACGCAAAGCTCTAGTTAAATCAAGACTGCGGTGCCATTTCCGTTCCACAGAAGATATTTTCTCAGCGCCTCAATTACACTGAGGGTGCCTTATTGAAGACGAGTACACAGCGGGAAATGCTAAAGCCACGAGACAAAAGTACTAGAGACCCGTGACAGTACCACTAATCCGGTACAACCAATCTGATGCAGTCGGTAGGTAGCTGCAGTTTAGGCCCTGGCAATCACCATCTGCCGAGTAGTAGAGCCCCGGGACAGACGTGTAGTACCTGACGTACTAGGGCCCCGAGACGGACATGAAGTACATAAACTACTAGTTCCCCGAGATGGTCACCGAGTACGTAAAGTTCTAGCGCCTCTAGACGGCCATTGAGTACCCGAAGTGCTCGAGTCCCGAGGCAGATACCGATTGCCTGAAGTACTAGATCCCCGAGACGGCCATTCGTACTCCGAGTGCATGCCGTACTAGAGCCCCGAGACGTACTCCAAGTATGCGTCGTACTGAAGCCCCGAGACGCACTCCGAGTACGTAAGGTACTACAGCCCCGACATGGAAATGGAGCATCTGTAGTACACGAGCCGCGAGACGGACACGGAGAACATGCAGTTCGAGAAATTGATATTCAGAACAGGCAAATGTTGTTAATATAATCCTATAACGTTTGTTCGCTCTAAACGCTAAAAGCCCCAGTCACTGACAGCGGTCTCCGTCGCGTCGAATCCGTCGTTTCGGTAGTGATGAAGATGTTTTTCGCCCCCATGCGTTCGCGGACCAGTTGCACTGTGATCGGCACGTTCGCCGTGAATCGGCACTTTTGGAGCTGTAGCCGTCCCACGCTCCAATTCGGTTAGTTCAAAGGCAGACAGATCTCGTTTCGTCCCCGACTGCCCATATCCTCGTTTGTGGGCCCTCTTTTGCTTTTTGAGCCGAGCGCGGCGCGCCTTGATATCTGGTTTAAACACAACAGGCCTTGGCGGCAGGGGTCGGAAAAAATAATAGCAAAACAATTATTATGGTATTATATCAAGACTTAAAGGAAACTCCTCCGCATCCGGATTCACAGCGATGACAAGGATGCCAGAAACCTTCATGTCGAAAAAAATGGGATGATAGTATGAAATGATGTCTCCAGCCCGCAATTGCTGCCCTCCATTCTTCTTGATCAACGCAGCAACACTAGGAAGGCGATGGCGGGCCTCCATTACCAGCCCAATGATAGCCACCTCGTACTCGCGGTTGAGTAGTAGTTTTGCGAAGAAGAGGCTGACGGAGTAGTAGTCGAAGTTGGGGTGTCGTTTGGAGGAGGCTTCAGGGGCAGCGGCTGGTCGAGGAGGGCGCGAAGCCGGTAAGGGGCAGCTAGGGATGATAAGAGCAGTGAGGTTGGTGATAAGAATAAATCGGAAGATGCACCAACGCATATTCTTAGCATCGCTTTCGCGAATCCTACTTAATCACTGGTTCCGGTAGGTGATGTACTTCATGTCCGTCTCGGGGCCCTAATACGTCAGGTACTACTAGTACTCGGCAGATGGTGATTGCCAGGGCCTAAACTGCAGCTACCGACTGCATCAGATTAGTTGTACAGTAATCTGCCCGAGTAAGGAACGCCTGATATATATAAAGACGCAGAGTATATAAATTGATGTTAAGTTGAGTATACTTTTCCAATGTACTGATTTAGTTATTTCAAAATGAACTGATAAGCAGCTTTACCTACGAGTCCGGAATGATTCCAACAGTGGCGTATGGTCGAAGCACTAACCTTTGACCAGGCATCCTCGCACCACAACAGCGCTGTCAACTGGTCAACCTCGTAGGGATTATCTAGCCCTTCACCAAGCCGGTCTAGAGCCTGCATCATCTTGCGGGATAGAATGTGTCGCTTAATACAATGAATAATTCCTTGGTCCTTCTCCAGCGGCCGCCCCAGCAGGACTGCACTTGACTTGATTATGCGGCATATCGTTGTCTTGCCTGGGGCGGCCGGGAGGCTGAACTCCACTCAGCCAGGCCCCTGTAGGAGAGAGCAGGTGTGTGGGCTGCCTTGTCGAGGATGCCCATTTTCTCAGACCAATTGAGGCGGAGACGCTTGGACGGTGTGGACTTCATGGGTGGAGTGGGGGTGGAGGTGGGCTTGTGGGGCGAGGTGCAAAAGCAAAAGTGCGAGTCTACCACTACGGTACATGTAGTTTGAAGTCTAGTAAGATCGCTAAATGCGCGCCATTTTTCAAACGAGGGTGGAGAGCTGATGATTGGCACTGGATTTTTCACCTTAGTACCTCAGTACCTTGCAGTACCTTGCACATCCCCCTATCGCCACATCGACTGGAAAATAATATTAAATATGTGAGGCTATTAGTTGTACACCTGTTCCTTATTCGGGCAGAATTCTGTACCGGATTAGTGGTACTGTCACGGGTCTCTAGAGCACCTCACGGTGGCCAAATGGAATGGCAGGACGGAGAGCGCTGGAACTGGGGTGATACTTACCATAGCTCGTATAGACCAGTTCGACTTCGTGGTGAAGACAGCCTTCACGTCCTTATCGAAGCGTTGAGGTTAAAATTTCCACACCCTCGCCATGCCATGGGTCGTGTCGGACTTTGGAAAGCTGAGGCAACAGTCTATAATATAGAATATATTATATTCCCCTCCTACCTGAAAACCAGCTGCTTTACTAATGGCGCCCAAGGCGCCATTAACGGTGCTGTTGTGCTGTCGCATTAAAGGTGCTCTAACCACCTCGATGCCATGGCCCATGGCCACCGAGGTGACGGATCCCTCTCCATTTATCTTCGTCTCAGTATGGAGACTCCCCATCCAAAGGAACGGGCGGGCGGAACATGCTGTCATCCCAGTTGTCGCGGCAACTGGCTCAGAGGGATGTGGAAATGGGATTGTTCCGAATCGACTCTCCAAACACTCAGACGACGGCTCCATTTCGATGCACTCGCGGGGCTTCCTCCTCCTCCTTGTCGTCGCCTTCGTGGCGCTCACGTCGGACGTCTCCTACGCCAAGAATGCCGTCCGATCCACCAACGTCGAGACCGCGTCCGACCCCGCGATTCTGAGCGATGACAGCGCCCACCGCAAGCTGAAGACGGACGCGACAGGAATTGACGCCGCCGCGTTAGAAGACGAAGAGAGAGGAATCAAAATCAAAATACCCAGCTTCCTGTCGAAGATTTTCCAGAAGAGCCCCAAGGCCAGCAGCGTCGTGAGGAACAGCCCGGACATTGCCAAGGGCTTGAAGGACCCCAAGGTCAGTCAGACCGTCAAGGCGCTTGAGGGCAAGAAGGGGTTCGCCGACTATTTGAAGAGCTTGCCTGGAGTCAAGAACATCGCCGAGCGGCTGAGGACCAAGTCGGGGCCGATGACCTCGACGAACGTGAAGGAGCTTGGAGCGGTGGCCATGAAGTCCTCGGGCACGTGGAAGGAAACGCTCACGCATTTGTGGGTGAAGTACGGGGCGGGCTTTTTGTTCGGACTCGGCATTTTCTTCCTGTTCTCGTGCGTTTACCATGGCGTCTTCCAGTAATCCAAGCTCTGCACACTCACTACATGTATTAAAACTTTGGCCGCAACAAATACGCCAGTTTGTACCTCAACTTTTCAATCGATGAAGCGAGTGAAAGTGTATTCTGCAGTGCTAACTGATGGGCATATTATTGGTACAGTGAAACGCCGAGACGACGAAACGCCGAGACGACTTTAGTCATCCTCAGTTTGCGAGACAACGGATGAAGCTTAAAAACTGTTCCAGATAACAAAAGAGCTGGACACAGTTAGCTACTGAAACTTCCATCTCTTTTGCAGAGAGTGCGGTACGAGACTACCGGTAACTAAAAACGGCAGACCACCAACGCTTTCAATACAGTATGACGAAGCATGCTGCCTGCAGCTAGTTGTTGTTATGGAGCAAAACCAACCACAATACTCAAGTAAGATCGGAGCTAGATACCACACGTATGTACTTAGATGCCCATTTGGAAGAAGCGGCGGTCTTCGGGGACAAGCTCTGTGCAAAAGTACACCCGTCGCATCGCTGGGTCAGCAGCAAACCTAAAGATCTCGCTGGTCCAACTCGCAAACACGCGCATTCGATCGAGAAGGTCCTTGCTTGAGCTTCTTGGTAGGGAATCTTGACGAACTGACACTCAGAAGCAGGACTTCATATCATCGGCTATTTTGACGACATGCATGATACTGGTACAAGTTTCAAAAATCAGCGGGGCTGGATCAACTGATCTTGATACACGTACACTGTCGTATCAATATCATATCAATAATCTGTGGTTGTGGTAAAGTTTAAAATTATTGCGATTTGATCGGTCAAAATACCTATGTTGGCACATAATATGTACTACTTGTGCGACACAACCCTGCCTTTGTCTTTTCGAGAGCCCTAGCTTTAAGAACGAAAGAGATGAAATGAAATTAGCGGTTATTTCGGCTGGCTACTCCCGGACCCGCGCATGAGAGCGAAAGAGAACGAAAGAGTGAAGCTCCATCGAATTGGGCACAGTTGTCCAACTGCAGTTGTTCGTGAAAGAAAGCGAGCGCAGCATGACAGCAAGGAAACTATGATAGTTATTAAATTTTTGTAGATTATTTCCGACAATTTTAAGACTGGGATCGCCCAGGCAAAGCCGGCATCCTTCTGAAAACGAAGCCTGAGAGCGAGTTGGCATTTTGGTAAAGACCTCATTCTGAAGGCAACCACGTGCAGAACTTCTATCACGAAAGTTAACAGTTCTGAGCAAGCTACTATGGTATCAGATATAATATTACCGGATATCAATCTGTTTGTGTGGGCGGATCAATGATCCTGATCCCAAGCTTCTACAGTAGTGGTATCACCTGATATTGATACAAGTAATATATGCATATTGTATCATCGTATCAATGGGTATCACCGGTTGCTATTAAGCCCTGCTCAGAAGAGCTGCCTTCACCTCCCGAGTTAGCGGCTTAAGCGGAACCCATATGGGCTGCAGATGGAACTGCCGGAATGCGCTGAGATACGAACTGTACTGGGGTGGCGCAATGACCTCAAGATGCTCCAAAGTGCGATTAATCTCAAGCAATTGTAGCAGCGCAAGCACATCTTTTTCAGGGAGGCACTGGTAATTGGTTTGCTGGTTGGCCGGCACGCAGCGATACAAATGAACCCGCAACTTTCGTAGGCACCTCTAGAGCGCGTTGCTCAGGTCAGCAAAATCCGCCAAAGATGCAGCCAGATCCGCCCAATTGTACGTCAGTTTCAGAAGTTTTCGCTTGCTTTCGTGAATTTCAGCGATATTGAGTCGGATGTCCACGGCACCTTCATAGAGTACTAGCTCATCAAGTGCAGGGCAACACTGAAGTACTATGTTGTCGTCAAACTCTGCTTTCCCTTTGCTGATCGTCAAACACTTCAGCCTCGGTCCAATCGCTGCGAGAAATCGTGCAAATCCACTTGTGTCCGGAACACGATTATCATCGAAATCAAGCGTGAGCGATCTCAATTCGTTCAAGCTACTATCCATCCCACTCGCACGAGCTGGGAACGTGAGGTTGCAGCGCTGGACCTGGCATTTCCCGTGCCCAGGAACTAGCACGCTCACCCACTCGCTTTCGCCGTCGTCGCTTAGTATCCAAACACAGTGGACGGGCTCATCAAAGAGGAGGACTTCGGTCTAATCGCGTTGGTCAACTCGTTGCCAGTGAACCGGTGCGTTGGCATTAACTATTGCCTCGCGCGCCTCCATTTGCCCCCGAGGCAATCCGAACAGGTATCCTTCGGGGTGTTCGGACTCGAGCACAGCTACAAATTCCTCAGCATCTGCTTCACGTAGGCGCGAATGGACAGCTCCTGCACCGCAGAGTGATGTTGTGCTCTCCTCGAGAAAAGTCCGTATGCAATCCACTTCCACCAGAGACTTCTATCAGCGGTGTAGTGCTCGGGTTCCTAAAATCGCAGGTCAATTGTAAGCTTCCGGGTCGATTGGGTGTGCGCTATCGAAGAAAACAGCATCTCCACGCCCAACTTCAGCAACGACGGGAAACAAGCGAGATGCATCGATTCGACTTTCAACGGGCTTGACGACTCAGAGCTAGGAGCCGCCGGGCGGCGATTGTTCGCCATAATGTTCCTCATCACATGCGCGAACGGCCCCTGGTCCGTAGGTGCGCCGTCTACAAAGTCCATATCAAGAGCCAGACCCACGTGAGCAACTCCAAGCTTGCTGCGCATCATAGCCAGCAACGCACCGGATAAGTTGGGGTCAGTAGCAACCGTATCCAGGAACTCCACGATACCTTGAACGTGCACCTGAAGTCCCCGGCAGCCAGGGGTTGTTCACTGTACCCCCTCCACTGTTCCTCAATCCCCGCTTCCGCCCTCATACATTCAAAGAACTCGCTCACCTGGGCAAAACCGGTATGGAAGTTCACGTAAACTGGAATCGTGATGTCCACTCCATTGTCTCGCTCTGAAACTTCCGTGTTCAGAGCTGCGATCTTGGATAAACAGGTCCGATACGCCTGACTGCTCGTCTCTCGTAGCGATGTCCCGCAGAAGAGCATGAAGACTTGGTGCGCTACTACCTTACGACGGACAAAGTCATCGACGCCGAGTCCTAGGCCCCGCTCAACGCGTGCATCCAGGATAAACTCGAAGCGAACGGGGATCCTCTCTTCGAACATCTCGTGCCCCTCTTGCGCCAATGGCACGCTGATGTCCTTCTCGAGTAGAAATCTCAAGGTGTCATAGTCCACGTGCTCCACGGCCGCCAGCAGTGCAAAACACGGTAGAGTGTACCCCCTCTTAATGACTCTCCTTTAAAACAACATTGAAAATCAGCCTCAATGTGTGGGATCAATAACATTGATGGGGTCCAATGTTGCGTGATCGCTAACATTGACGCAATGTAAATTTTCCAGACGTGAAATTTCATGTTTGGAGCGACTGCAACAGCTCACATTTCAGAATCTACCGGGTAGGAAACAAGCGCCCGCGCGCTCGCTCAGCCTCCGCGTCGTGCGACCATCTGCAGCGGTCACCCGCTCAACCTTATTCTAATGTGTGCATGTCCTACTGCGGTGCTTATATGCGTGTGTGTACTACGTATGCGGGAGCAAACGCCTTCCCAGTGCGTTGCGTTGCGTTAGGCGCGATGCGTGTTGCATGCGATCGAATGCGCTATCTTCCAAGCAGTCGTAAGCGCTTTTAATGCGCCTCTAGCCAACAGCGCAGTTAGGTTAAAGGGGGAGGGCGAGCGAACGCGAGCGCGAGCCTCGCTGAGCGCGTTCACCGATCGTCAACACCCGCCGATCAGGCGGGGGCGGGTCTGCGCGAGCGAGCGAAGGCGAGCGCTGCAACCCGATATTTTTTTTCCTAGACACCGCGCCTGGCCGAGCCGAGGACTTAGTGTAAGGCACGAGGGGGTGGGGCAGGCCGCACAGCGGCGCCCCCCGAAGTACCGTCGCTAAGTCCGCAGGCGAAAGCCAACGCGAGAGTGTCCTGCCAACTAGGAATAGACAACACGTGGCGCCCAGGTAGAGCTGCGCGTAGATCCCGTAGAGCCCATTCCCCTGCTGCATGTGTCGGCGCGTACACCATGACGCGCTTGCCGCGTTAGCGGCGGAAGCTGTTAGCGCACGCCCCGAGTGATACAGCGTGCTTCGCTGTCGTGCTGTCGAGCTAGCTGTCGTGGCGACGCGCGTCCACTATTGTCACATTGGTAAACCAAATATTCTGCTACGAGAGATACCGTAACATTGTGCAATGTTAGGCAGAGGCACCATTGTTGCGCTCAATGTTACGCAACGCTTTCAATGTTGCCTTAATCAGTGCCCTCTTAAATGGCGCATTCTGTGCCCTTTTGCACAAGTTCAAGCCAGTAATCAACATTCTTTTAAAACAAACATAATCTGTACGCAGAGTAATCATCATGTAATCATTGTCAATACAAATTCTAAGTCATACGCATACATTCTATGTATCCTGCAAATCACCGTAGATGGCATGTCCCATGAGACACACCGAAAAGGCTCCGTAACTTTGTAAGAGGACGCCTAGAGCGCCCTTTTAGAAGGAAATATCAATGAGTTGTATACTATAATTTATTGAGGATACTCGCGAAAGGGTTATTATCCAAGATGTGTTTGCTGATTGTTATTATTAGTTGGAGCTAAATTATGTAATATGCTTAAATAGAGGGCGAAATTATTGTCTGGGACTGTATAATACCACCAAAAAGGCACCCTCCTGCGGTCGTTACTGTACAGTAAGACCTCGTTCCTAACGGGATCATGTGAGGATCATGACCCGTAATTATGCTACCTGATTGGCTAAAATAGATACATATGGAGCCTGGTGCCATGACCCCATGATCCAAGCAATGGCTCATGCCCCAATCTCGGATCACGGATCACTGCCAAATGCCGTCAAAGGATTTAGACTCCAGCAGCCTTCGTAGCCACGGTTTTGACTAATGTTCGCCCGAGTGTACACTCTATGAGTGCAAGGAGTTCGTTAAAGCTATTGTGGATCCTAGAAGGCTGTACTTAAAGCACTACTGCAGTTTTGCGCAGTCTTTCTCTACTGTAGCCACATTGAAGCAGCTTGCATCAAATGCATTGTCGAAGTGCAAAGCAGCGTTCGATCGCAAATGCAAACGAACACAGCTCGTGAAGCTCATAATGGCGGCCGCCCTCAACGCGAACTCGAGCCTTTCGTTATGTATTTGGACATGGATCACGATCTCGTTAGGAACGGCTTTGAGATCATGCTTCCTTCCACCCCAAACCACCGCCGAGACCATGCCCCGGTGATCTCGTTAGGAATGGCCCAAAAACTCTCGACGTGTGACGAGAGTTACCCACCGCCTGGTGCCGATGCCTTCGATCATGATCTGGTTCTATTCTGTGGCACTCACCAGTGTCAAGACCACAGCATTCCTTACCTCGAAGCACTGAAAGATCTCGCAGCTCTGGTTGGCCACGACAAGTCGGTCGCAGATATCCAGGTGCCTGTCCGCGTGCTGTTTTCTTCTTCTGAAGTGTAGAGAAGACCCGCAGCTGGGCTGTTGACGTTCTCAGCGCCGAGAAGCAGATCAAGCAGCAGTGGGAGATGCACGATCAGACCCTACCATTTGAGTATGAGGGGCTGCGCTTGCCTCGATGCACTTTCGTTCTGGAGCCGATGGTGGTTGACTTTGCTGTAGACCCAATCACCCCGGAGACTGCGAGCGCAGTGGAGACTACGGTGCAGGGAAATATGTGGCTCTCACAGATTTCGTTGAAGGTCGAAATGGGTGACGACTTGGAGGGAGATTTTGACGATTCCTTTGAAGACGACGACCACGAAGACAATGAATTGATACGAAAAAAGGGTTTCGGGCGGATGATGAGCTCGTTGTTCGACAGTACGCGTCGAGACCGCCCGCCTCGAGAAATTCACGGAGAAGGTGATTCCGCGTTGAAAGTACCATTATCCGCTCGTCAGCTCGATGCTATTCATCTGACTTGTGCCTCATCGCTGAGGGCTCGAGAGTTCGAGGCAATGTGTTCAGCGATTGTGGTCAACCAGACAGCCAGAAAGTTGTCGTTGAGCTTATGGTTAAATTGGATTAGTGACGGAGACTTGACCGCTGTCAGCGCGCACTGGTGGAAATGGATCGCCTACGCTTGCTTCTCGAAGCGTGCTCGTGACTATTCTTCACTGGAATCGCTTGCGTTGCTCTCAGTCTCCAGTCTTACTGTTGCAGATATGGAGAGCTTTGCCGCTGTTCTCCAGTCCGAGCACCCAGAAGAAGAAGTCTTCGGTTGCCCCCGGGGTCAGGTTCCAGAGCGAGATGCATCGTTGCTGGCAGGAGCGGACATTCGCTGGCACTTTGACAGTCAGGGCGAACCCGTTCTTACGTCTCCTTGCTTGAAATTAGATGAGCCTGTGACGCTTCTTCGGACTTTCAGTGACGACGGAGTAAGTGAATGGATTGATGCTATGATTCCCGGTTACGGACGCTGCCAAGTGCGACGAAGGGATCTGTCGTTCCTCGAGCCTCGCAACAAAGCGCCAGCATCAACTGGAATAACGGCACTCACAATTGGGTTTAACAAAAGACAAGGAGGCATAGCGCACGGTGTCCCTTGCTACTCGAAGCTATTGGACCTCAGCTGAAATCCTTAACGCTTACAGGACCAAGGACACCTATTGACAAAGACGCGATTTTGCGCTACTGTCCGATGCTGGAGGACCTTGTGTTGAGTGACTATTATGTGGATGTCCGACTTGATTTTCGAGAGTACCGCCTCGTTAAGAACCCCACTTTCGACCTGCACTTTGACTGGAACGACATCACAGCTCTCGCAACTGAGTTAAGTGACGCACAGAACCCGCTCGTAAGTTGCGTCCGCCGATTACGAGTACACTTGAAGAATCGAGCGAATGAGCTGGATAACTCGCTATCAAATTACGACCACGTAACCCTGCTCGAGCGTCATCTACCAGCACTACTGCAGATGCTAAAAAGCAACAAAAGCTTGGAGTATCTCGAGGTGGTCGTCCCTCCGGATTACGAGGGATACTCGGAGGATTTCTACGAGCAGCACGTCGAACCAATTTGCCGAACTCGTAAGCCACTGTCTTGGCAGCCAAACTTGCGTTGTTGAGTGGGCTGATGCCTCGCAGTCCATATTTGGGATCAAAGCAGAAACGAGGGACTGGCATCGCGACGGCGTGCAGCATGCTCTTGCGAATGGACCCCCACGTTATTACGGAGATTTTCGCCTATGCAGCTGAACCGGTTTACCGGGCCGTGTACTTTCGGAATGGAACTGGCGACGAGCGAGATGAGCAAGACGATCTGCCACTATGACAAATGGCGTAGGCTGCATAACCCGTAAGCGGGCTACTACAAACAGGCAATTTCTACTGCGATCCAGTCGAGTATTGCAATATTTCTTGGGTGTGCAGTTGAGTATTGGTATTGCATTTACCATGCCAATAGTGTCCTGCAGTTTAAATTTTAATCCGCAATAAAACCCAAGATATTTTTTCCAATCACTGGATTTGGCTCTGCAAGTCGTTCTTGTAAATAATCTTGAGGTTAAACCAGGTGCCCCAGTCTAATTAGGAGGTCGGATTTAGTAAATCGGGGATCATAAATCTTAATAAGCCACTAAATCGGCCGATTTAGACATTCTAATCGGTTTTCACAATACATGTTTCGAAAAATTTACGGCTGCGCGGTGCACGAGGGGGAGAGTAACCAACATAATTGCTCTGAACCAATTCACTAGAAGTCCAAAGAAAGCTGGGCGAAGCTATATCGATTCCGTTAGCGTAAGCTAGCGCTGGAACAGTCTTCTATTACCACTTGCCGTTCCTGTACCATTCGTCCTCGAACTTTTTGGCGAACGCATCGAGTCTCGCCATCTCTTCCTTTGTAGCACCTTTCTTCGCTTTCGCCACAATGTTCTTGATTGCATCGAGCTGAACACCCTGTGCCACTAGGTCATCGGCGTCTTCCTTCAACAATTTCAACGCCTTCTGCCGTGGGCTGAACCGTGCCGTCGCTTTCTTCAGGACATCAGTAAGCGGTCCCCTCTCTTCGGTGCACAGGTCGTCGCTATTGTCAACGGCTCGCTTCCTCAAGAAACGCGTACCATTGTTGTCGGTGTGAGCTTCATTGGCTGATTCGACGGAGGCCGTCTGCACCACCTTGGTCGTCGTTGCTGCGGACGCGGTGTCGCTGCTGGCAAAAACGGCGGCTACCGCAAAGAGGATCTTGATGTACAGGCGCATGACAACTTTTCCCCGGAAGATAGAACTCGGGAGGATGTTAGCGCACCGAAGCAGATTGCAGAATGATCAGATCACAGCAATACCTGCATAGGCGTACGCTACAATACTAATCAACCAAAGCACTGGTCGCGATTTAACGCATCCGTATATGCACACTTCAAACTAAAGGGAAATATGCTTACAGACGATCCTCTTTGTAGTCATAGCCTCGAAAGACCACATTTTATCAATATTCAGAGGCATCACCATCTAGATCTGTACCATATTGGCGGTACATTATCGTTCAAGGTACCAGGGTAGTGATATTGCCACCATTCAGGCACTTGGTAAGCTTGTAGTGCACTCGATACTTGATCAAAGCACTAGATACAAGTAGTTGTTGCGCTGGATATTATAATATCTACTACTATATGGCGCGAGGAGTGGTGAGACACTGCGCTGTTCAGATGGAACTGGGAGGATTGCACAGGTAGCTCGAAATCTAGTCTATTGCCCAGGCAAAAACGATAAATGCACGTTCCAGAATCACATCATGTAACACTTTTTTTAGTTTATTAAAATAATATGTCCGCGAACTCGGAGAATCCAAGTCCATTCAAGGTCGCAAGCAACCCACGTTGTGGTTGAGCTTTGCCGGACACGCTTACGAAATGGACGTTCTCATAGTTAACGGTCTCTTGATAGTGATAAAGACCAATCTCGTATCACTAAGCACTATCCGGAGGTTGGAGGATGTTTTGACGTGAATTTGTATTAGTTTGAAGTGTTCATATACAGGAAACATCGGGAGAGCCTCCATTAGTGCAAACCAGAGGGTATCCCTATTCGAAATATCACTCCAAAGAGGGTTGTCTGTTCATGTATAAGAGGAAACTCCAAAACCCGCATATTTGAGTTTCAAATCCACAAAACCCGCATACCAGCATCTGATTCCAGATGCCAAGATCACTGCACACTGAACGAAAGTTAGCACTAAGCGAAGAGCAGCGAGCCGAATCCCGCGCGCAAGCGCGGTAGGGTGCATGCCCTACCTGCAAGGGTTTTTGGGTTCGCGCGGAGCGCGTGCAGGGTGATAGTTTATTGCTCTATCAATTGCTTTCGCTGCCGAAGGCAGCGTTGTATGCACCCCGCCTGCGATTTTCGAGCCGTGCGCGCAGCGTGCGGTCGTTAACCCAGGACAAACCATATCGAATTCTCGTGACCACTGGCAAAGTCAGCGCTCGAGATACGCAGTGTTTGAGCGCGCCACTTACATCTAGGAATCAGATGCTGCTATGCGGGTTTTGTGGAAGTATGCGGGTTTTGTGGATTTGAAACTCAAATATCCCCTCTAACCCCGTATTCTGTATCCTACAGAATAAGCATTGTCACAGGACATAATATCCAGCAAACTTGTCCTCTCTTTCGAACTTCGCATATGGATGTTTGTATAGCCGGTATTGTGCACATCTTCCTGTTAGATTAGCGATGGGAAGATAAACGGGGTTTATTCCGCGGTAATAGACGGACGAGTATAAACCACCAACAGGTTTGAAAATTCGGGTGGAAGCCTAAAACCGCCGCGTGTCAGCCACTCGTACTTTCCTTCATTCCGAAACTGCGCTGTTCAAGACGTCGCAATGCAAGCTTTGTTGGGGCCCGTCGAGCACGCCCAAGTGGCCAAGGACCATGGCCGAAGACGATCATGATGAGCGCCATTGTGATCTACAGGTAAGCGAGAGCGTGTACTTTGCTCTGTAACATCGTACTAGTGGTATATTGATTCTACGTTGCGATGTTGATTACCAGACCTGGTGATCCGACCCAGACGACGCTATGACCTCTCGCGTGTGGCCCGAATGGCAGATCGATTGCGGAGTCAGCGCACAACCTCATCGGTTCCTACGAAGCCGGCTACAGCCGGGTCTACCGCTATATTGTAGCTGATGCCGTGGCTACTCAAGAGGCTACAGAAGAAGCGCTCCTCATGTTGTGGCTACACCGGAGACTACAGAAAAAGCGGTAGATGCTACGACGGATGCTACAGAAAAAGCTCTCCGCGTGATGAGGTTACACCGGAGATTACAGAAGAAGGGACAGAGGCTACGACGGAGGCTACCGATGAAAGCGTCAGGGATGGAGCGGCAGTGCCGGAGGCTACAGAGCAAAGCGGAGGCTGCCAAAATGGCGAAGATGACCCACGGCTGGCGCGAACATTGAAGAGCGTGCGCATGTAAAGGAAGAAGTAGACGTTGGCATGAATATCATATATTGTCCTGTTTCGTACAAGAGGAACCGTGTGTAGTGCTTACGGGCTATTGAGCATGCAAGCTCCCTGGTGTTGTTAGAGAGACAATCGTAACAAGCTTGTTAGGTGGCTAAAGAAATCTAATGATGCGCTAATGTCAAGCACAAGGAAGAATTCGCCCAGTTCCTCCTCACTACGTCAGTTAGGAACAGGGCGATTTCTTCCTCCGCGTTTATCGCGACGTGCCGAAGATGGGTGGCTGGAGCCGAAGTATGCTGCCTTAGCAGCCTTGCAAGGTATTACCAGGTAGCAGGTTTTGAGCGTGCTCTACGCTCGCCACGACCAATAGAAGCTCACCAATTCGGCATATGGTGGATACATTGAGCATGTTTTGTTCACTTCGTAGCTGTTTTGTGCACAATGTACCCAGCGCTTGACCGCAAGATGCGAAAGGGCTTCCAACAGCAAATCTTTGACAGGTTTTGAAGTATAATTTAATCAAGTCTAATGCTTATTCTGTAGGATACAGAATAAGGTCTGGGGCTAGAAGGGATATGCGGGTTTTGGAGTTTCCTCCATGTATAATGCATACGCCTTGATAAAGTGAGAACGCGCATTCCAAGTTTCCGTCTGTTACTACTAGTATACGTATGAAATGACGCTGCACTTTGCTCCCTGCAGCTTTGGGCCAGCAAAGCATATCCGACACACCACAATTTTATCTTACAGGCAGGGATTGACAGTAACACGATTATCTTCTGAATTACCATAGTAATATACTAGTGGAAGATAACAGGATACTAAAGTACTAGTATCATCTCGACTACTATATTATTATTAATACATTATTATCTATTACTTCATAGTAATTTCGATGGTTGACCTTCAAAAAGCCTATATCGCTGTCGCTGAACGCTTCACACAGTCGGATTCTTCGTGCAAAAATTTTCCTTTTACGAGCATCAGTTCAATCTTGTTGTCAGAGCTGACGCGGGGATCGTGGGGTCGGTCAAACCGCTGCCAAATTGCCAGTGGCAATCCACAGCTCAAGCTTGTTGGTCCCCGTTACTAGAGCCGACGATTGGATCGTGTCCTCGTACAGCTTGTATAACGGGATGCTCCAGCTCTAAGTAAAAACCAACACCTGAAGTCACTTTAGATCCGTTTAATCGATTCATATTTTGCACTTACCGCTCTCCGTACAAACCGTGTAAGACGGGGATCATTCATTCGAGGCGATAGAGTACGCGCCGCCAACATGCCCTTAACCAGGTTCATAGCGTTCTTGAGCCATTCAGTGGATCGAGGGTAGCTGTAGGCGGGACCGACACGAGCAAAGCCGGTCTGGCCGCCAAATGTTTTGCTCGTGTTACAATATTGTGTACGACAGTGGCCCCGGACGTCAAAATATTTCCCTCTGCACTAAATCGACGAGAGTGGGCATGCGGTCAAACATCCCTGGAAGCGGAAAGATTGCCACACGCCTCTAGATTTCTTCTAGTGGGAGGCAGTAGTCAGCATTAGTAAATATGGCCGATCTGAGTTACTAATTACGCCAGTAGTATTAGTTGGATCCCCGTCCCAAAATAATAGCTACTGTAGTATTTATACAGCATTTTAATAGTGGTATCAGTGGAATAGTAGTTCAAAACAAGTTACTGGTAATCCCTGCTTACAGGGTGCGTGCTGGTTCCAATCATCTATCTATAACACACAGCTAAGCCATTTTGTAGTGCTCCGCAGTTCATTTTTTTGCATTTAGCCACTATGTACAGTACTGCGAGGTCGACAAATCCACATACATGATGCGCACGCAGACTTTATGAGATGAGCAAAACGATCTGCCGCTATGACTAATGGCGTAGGCTGCATAACCCGTAAGCCGGGGGGGGGGGGCTCATGAATCCGACTGTGGTGCTAAAAAAACCCTCAAATAAGTCGTTCTCTGCAGCGTGGTAGCGCCATGCGCCATTCCATTACAAGATTCATACTTTTATTGATGACATTTTAATCTATGTAGGTAGCGAGCATGGCAGTGTCGCGCGCAATTTCTGCGTAACGCATAGTTTGACCGCAAAGAACATTCTGTCGATATATGAACTTGCACCCGCACTCACAACTCACTCAGCTGTAGAATACAGGTCGTGATCACAGATCGTTCTCTGCGGTCAAAGTAGGTACTTACATGATTATCCTGGGAGGACAGCTAGAAGAGCTGTATGGACAGCCTCACACAGATTAATTCGTCGAAAAAAGTTGCTTGTACCTCAGGCAACATTTAAACAACATCTCCCCACACCATACTCACACAATCGTACACCATACCTACACAAATATAGCCATATTGACATCCCGACCGTACCACACAAAGCTAATGAGGACAGCGTTAGCGACAAGACAATGCAGGATGACCAATCAGCCTACAACTACACTGTATTCCATATATGTAGTTCCTAGTTACTGACGTATAACTGAGGACGTCTTACGTCCATGAGCTAAATGCCCGGTGTAGGCATCGCCCTCTGCTGATAGTTGTTCTGGTGGAGTACGGTCGCCTCCTGTGTCGCTTAAGCGACACTGACCACACTGCATAAAGCATCACCGACGGCTTGGATGCCTTACTCCCCTTGTCGCCGCTGGAGGCAACAATGTCGTGGCCCAATGCCCTAGCAAATGCTGCTGAACCTGAAATATGTGCTCTCGACACAAATCCATCTATCACCTTTTGCACAATTTTTAATATTGAGTCACTTTCCCTAAGAAAACTGATGGT